TGGCGACCTCAACCGCGGCGATCCCCGGCCGCCTCCGCCGCTGGTCGGCGAGGCAATCGCAATATGGAAGGGGTTTAAATGAAAAACTTTTTTTTTCACATGGTTGAGATCCTAATCAGGAACGATCGTAATCGTACGGAAAAAGTACACAGAAGGTCCCTCAACTTGTCAGCGAGGTACACAAATATCCTCGAACCACAAAACCAGATATGCAGGGTCCCTTAACTATATAAAACCAGTCACGCAAGGTCCCAGAGTAGTATTGACGCTGGATTTGGCCTACGTGGCGGCTGAGTCGGCGTGGGACCTACGTGGACAACACCTGTCAGCTTGTCCAGATCAGCCTACTCTCTCTTTCCCTTCTTCTCTCCCTTCATCCTCTCTCTCCGCTCTGGGCAGTACGGATGGAGAGGAGAGCAAGGCGGCGGCGGGGAGGAGAGCAAGGTAGCAATGACGCGGGAGCAGGGGAGAGGCGTCGATGGCGGCAAGGGGAGCAAGGCGGCGAAGCGGCGGCCGCGCCATGCGGAGACGGAGAAGAGGGCGCGATCTTGCCAGCAGAGGAAGAAGTTGCCCTTCTCCTCCCGGACCTTGAAGCCGTCGCAGCCGAGACCCTGCGCCACCCGCCTGGCCTGAAGCAGCGCGTAGTAGCTGAGCGGGACGCGGCCAAAGCCGGCGCCCTCCAGCCGCTCGTGCCGCTCCCGCCGCTCGCCGCCGTCACACGCCACGATGTTCTTGATCTCCTCCCCGAGTAGCCACCGCTCCACGCGCGTGCGCTCCACCGACCCGCGCGCCCCGCCCACCTCCAGGCAGTCGAACAACGCCGCGTAGTAGTTGAGAGCCTCCACGAACCGCTCCGTCAGCCCCGCCGCGTTGTGGCTCACCTCCTGCTCCGTCACCACCATCACCTTCAGTGACAGCCCCTATAGCGCGCCCAGGAACGCGTCCGCGCGTGACTTCGACGGGGACAGCCCGGACTCCGGGCTTCGCCTCTCCTTGTCGCCGCCCGCGCCGGCCGTGGCGTCGTCGTCAGACGCCAGGAGGCAGTGCAGCTGGAGGCTGAAGCAGATGGCGAGGGCCTCGCCGGTCTTCACGCGGAGGGACTCCACATCGAGGGCATCGAGGCGGGACACCACCGGGTTGAACTGGAAGGGCACGTCGAGGCGCTCTGCTTCTTTCGTGAGCGCCATGGCCGTCTGGGTGAGGAAACAGCTCGGGAAACAAAAATACAATCCCGGGGACAGATTTCCTCAGGCAACGGGACAAAAGCAAATCGCCACTATTTATTTCTGCGTACAAGCTCGCAGCTATGCATCGAGAGAGGAGAGGCATAGCAGCGGCGGCGGCATGCATATGCACATCCACCACAAGTGAACAAAAGAGAAGGAAGAAAATGCTCAGCTCAAGGAGGAGCAGCGTCCCTCCGTCCCACACGAGATAAATTAGCAGCAGCTGCAGCAGCAGGAGCTCGCGGCCGCGCAGGAGGAGCTCCCCGCCAGCCTCCTCCCCACCCGCCGGTGGCCTGCTGAGACAAGATCGAGAGAGAGAGAGAGAGGAGGAAGGTGATGACGTGGCACGCTGACATGTGGGGCCCACGTGGGGTCCCACGCTGACTCAACTGCCACATAGACCAAAACCGGAGTCAAAACCACCGAAGGAACTCGGGTGACCTGATTTGTATAGTTAAAGAACCTCGCATATCAGGTTTTGTAGTTCGAGGATGTTTTTTATCCCGATGACAAGTTGAGGGACCTTCGGTGTACATTTTCCTAATCGTACAAAGTCAAAGAAGATCGCGAATTGGGCCCACCACGGCGACGAATACAGCCTGCTTGACAAATGTCAACAAAATCGGTCCAAAAATGAAATCAGCCTAGCAATTATCCATCAACAAATTCGGCCGACCAATGCCTCAAATGAAATCAGCCCAGTTAGTTCATATCAACCAATTCAGCCTAGCAAGGAATTTGGCCCATGTACTGCCCTCAACAAATTTAGCCCAAGGAATAAATTTACCCATCAAGAAATTCAGCCCACCAAGGCCTCAAAACGAAAGCAGCCTAGTTAATTCATGTCAACGAATTCAGCCTAAAAATGAATTTGGACCACCTACTGCCCATCAACAAATTCAGCCTACGAATAAATTTGGCCCACTTAACATCCATCAATAATTAGGCCCACCGTTAAATTTGACCCAGATAGTTCATCAATGATTTGGGTCCATCACTTATTTTGACCAATTAATTCCCCTCAACAAATTCAGCCCGAAACAAAATTTGGCCCACAAATTGTTGCCAAAATTTTCAGGCCGAGAGTAAATTTGCTCCCATTTAATTTCAGTCAACGAATTCAGCCCGCCAATGAATTTGCACCACTTAATTCCAGCGAACGAATTCAGCCCACCATGAGATTTGGACCATCTTTTACCCCTAAATGAATGTGGCCCATAATTAAATTACGCCCAGTTAATTTCCTTGAACGAATTCGGTCCTCGAATGAATTCAGGCCATCGCGCGTCCCACTCGCCTAGAATTACCCTTGTGGGAATGGCTGGAGAGCATCCCATATGGATGGTCATCCAAAAAGATTTCTCCTCCATATCTTTTCTCACTCTAATAGATCATCCAAATTACATTCTCCATGTCACATTCTCCTATATTTTATTAATATCTTCCAACTAACTTATATTTGTGTAATTTCTTTTATAAGGGTTATATTTTGAATGACTAAATATATGTTTGAAATGAATATATTTGCAATCATAGCAAAATAAGTAAAGTGTAGAACAAAAGAGCAAAAATTATAGCAAAATAAATATTCCTTTTTTTTCTCATTCTTCCCCTTTCTTCCTCTTCCTTTTTCTTTCCTCCTTGCTACCTCCTCAGCTCCTCTCTCTACCCCACCATCCACTCTCTTCTCCAATAGCAAGTGGGAGCAAGGGCGCCAGCAGTAGCTCACGGGCGGACAGGGCGCCAGCAGTAGCTCACCTGCTGCCGCATCTCAGCGCCGGCGACGGCGGCACCAGGCGAGCGCGTAGGGGCGACGGCAGCACCTCGTGGGTGGAGGGCCGCCGGCGACGGGCGGAGCGGCTGCCGCATCCCGGAGCCTGGCGGCGGCACCGGGCGAGCGTGGAGCGGCAACGACAGCAGCTTGCGGATGGAGGGGCGACGACAACAACTCGCGAGTGAAGGGGCGCTGGCTACGGCCAGAGCGGCTGCCGCACCTCGGCGCGGCTGACGGCGGGAGCTTCCAGATCTGGTACATCCCTCTCTCTCCAGCCTCTCCACCGCCTTTGGGGACTCACTTTCGCCGGCGGCAAGTGACGATGACGATGGGCGGAGGTCGTTCCGGAACTCCGGATGGGGGCGGGAGTTCAACCCAAACGTGATCATTGCGATTTGGCGTAAGGAGAGAGGAACGCCAAATTTGGTATTCCTCTCTCCGGTTCAGCGGATGCGCTATCTTTGGATGATGCAATGGCCTATCTACTGGAGGTTCACTTTCATACGCTATTTTTCACATAGAGGACCGGATAGCGCTTCTGCTGGGGACGCTCTTATAGGCTTTGAGGAACCTGAAAGGTGGTGTAAATTTAATGTCTCCCAAAGTCCAAACCACATTTCGAAAGGAGAAATTCCAAATTCCTTGGAACTAGTTTGGTTCTCTCGTTTTATCCAAACACGGTTATGTCAAAAGGGATTAGTAGGGGCTACCAAACTAAAACCATGTTTTGGAGAGAAAAACTGAGAATTGAGAAACGAGTCAGTGCCCGCTTGATTCAACTCTACGAGCGAACAAATATAGTCCGCAACTCCGCATTTGAGATATAAAACCACATGAAAAAAAGCAGCCAATTGACCATGACTCACCGAACCAATCAAAGCTATCACAACCACAAGACAAGCAAATGCACCGCGATGAGCCAATGATAATACTGTACATTTGCAGCTGAAGGAAACTTCAGCATGATGAACTTGCAGCAGGGCTACACTCGCATGTTGTATGGAAGTGGTGAGTGTATAGTGTATACCATGACATGGAAAAGCATAGCTTCTACAATGTTAGTTTCAATACCACCAGATGAATGGCAGACATGCTGAATCAATTGGCTAATGGTGCTATGTTAGTATCTTACAATGATCAGGTGGAGCAGTGGAGGATTTGAAACTGGAATCCAAAAACAAGCTCTTATCTTACACCCTGTCGAAAAACATGCGCAGATGGCAATTCAACCTCCAATGCCTTTGCCTCCTAGGTAACCATTCATAATTTATGAACAGTAAATTTATTGTCCACAAAAACAGTTCACAGACAAAGTAGTCCAGTAGTTAGCTCATACTGTATGAAGCAAAATAGCCTTTTCGGATCTTCATACAAGACATCTCAAGAAAAGATTTGTCATATTTGTGGGCCTTCTTCATTATTAGCAATTATGAGAAAATGAGTGATAGCTGATTACACAATTGGCAGTTGCTAACATCATGGTCATGGATCTCTCTATCACAACTGTCAATGCTAGCCCTATCAACCATGGAGGCATGGACTTATCAGGGTAGTACACTATGTACTGAATATGCGGATGGTTAAACTGTTATTGTGGTAACAGGAAAATGAAACAGCTGCACACTAATATGGCTACAAATCCTGCTCTAACCCAGCATAACCCCATCAAACTCAAGAACCAGTATAACCCTGTAAAACAGAACGAACTATATTATACAATACATTGCTAGGCCCTTTAAAACTACTTCCTCCGTTTCACAATGTAAGTCATTCTAGCATTTCCCACATTCATATTGTTGTTAATGAATCTAAATAGATATATATGTCTAGATTCACTAACATCAATATGAATGTGAAAAATGCTAGAATGACTTACATTGTGAAACGGAGGGAGTAGTATTCTAGTAGATCTTCACAGCACAATGCAGTGCAGGGTAAAACGGCACTGCCAAGCAATTGCTAGTTTCATTATAGAAATCTGATATCATCACTATAGTGGGTATATTCGTCAAGAAACATCAACAGACATTTGGATCATATTATGATATATAAAAGAAAGTCACAACAAACAAGGATTGAACTTGATATCAGTGATAACATTAACCATAGCGATATCCGATTTCCAGCCATAACATCAGGCACTCGTGTGTTGTTCCTGTTTCCAGTTTTCTCCCCCCATTCTATCAAACACAGTATTGCAACTAGCAACCCTTATTATTACCAACCTCGCCCAAACAATATACCTCTAACCTTCTACAGTTTGGAAGGCTTGGGGAAGATATCCGGGGTGAACTTCTGCGCCGCGCTTATGCTCCCCTTGATCTTTATCGCGCCTCTGAACACAATTTTCATAATTCATCAGCCACCTACAAAAGCTAAATTCGAAAACAAATCTCTACTATTATAAAAATTAAAGATGTTTTTGCCGGTATTTTGGTACGTCATCCGTGTATGAATCGGTTTGTAAATTCATTTGCTTTTGGAAATACATATCCGTATTTGAGTCCGTTTTTAAGTTTGTTTGCAATCTAACTTGAGATGATCGGATTCCTAATTACAGCTCCTGATTTTCTAAAAAATATATATATCAAGCGAATCCTTACAGTGAAATTTCATCTTAATTATACCGTATAACAATAGTAAGATTAAAATAATTTTCACCCGTTGCAACGCACGGGCATTTTTTTTCTAGTACAAAGAAAAACATAAAACTTCTTCGTTCTTCTCCTCACCGAATGAACGCGATCTGTGGGTTCATCTTCCCCGTGGCGATCGAGAGGAAATCAGAATCCGTGAAGGAGAAGGTCGCATCTGGCTTCCCCTCGTACGGCCCTGCACACCAACCAACCAGAACCAGGCATTTCAGTACAGTTTAATCCGATCATCAAAAGAAGCAGAAAGATACACGCGCGCACACACCTTTGGTGACCTCGCCCTTCTTGAGGTCGACGACGAAGATCTCCTCGTCGACTCCGATTTTCTGCGAAAGGCGCGCCACTAAACAGGATCAAGACGGGGGGCGCTTCAATTCCACCCAATTAAAAGGGGATAGAAGGAGATATTGACCTTGGGGGCGATGTTGAACTGGTAGACGAGGCCGACCTTCTTGGCGATGTCCTTGCCGGCGTCGGTGGCCATGTGGAGGCGCATCTGCTCGAGGAGCTGCGCCGACTTGAGGCTGCTGCCGTCCATCTCCTCTGCCGGGCGGCGGCGGCGGAGAGCAGATTCCGGGGAGGAGAGGAGATGCGCAGGAGGGGAGGAGGTGGGGCTTTGCTCTGCTGTTCCTCTCCTCGTTGTGGGGAAGTGGCAGCTGCGGGAAGGGGGAGAAGAAGAGGAGGAGGCAATTAAAGCGGGGGGGTGCGACGACGCCAACCGCCCCCGGTCCCCGGAGGAGTTGCAGACACGCCACGCCGACGCCCACGCCGATGGTTAGCTGCTGGCCCTATCCGGTGGTTAGCTGCTGGCAGATCATCGAAAATCGGTGATAATAATTTTAAATATATTTTTTACCTGACTTCCTCCATCCCAAGATAAGTTAATTGACACATCCTAAGATTATAAGGCCCCCTTTATTCAAAAAAAATTCATAGAAATTTTAAGGCCCCTTTAAATCAAAGAATTTATATAGAAATTTCATAGGATTTAAATTCTATAGGAAATTTTTCTATTTGACCCTTTGATTCAAAGGATTGAAGCTTTCCAAATCCTATGAAATTCCTATGGAATGGCACATTCCATGTGGATTTTGGAGGAAATTTAGCAAGAGCTCCAACCTCTTGGAAAATTTCCTTTGAGTCTATCTCTCTCATCCGATTCCTGTGTTTTTCCTGCGCTCCAATCAAACGATCATTCCTGTGTTTTTCCTGTGTATTGCAATCCTCTGTTTTACACTTCAATTCCTGTTAGAATCCTGTGTTTTTCCTATTCCTCCGTTTTTTCTACCCTGCGATTCAAAGGGGCCCTTAGAGGATTTCATTCCTATAGAAATTTTTCCTATATAGCCTTTTGAATCAAAGAAATGGATCTTATGAAATCCTATGAAAATCCTATGGATTGCCTAATGCCATACAAGTTTTGGAGGAATTCTAACATGAGGTAAAACCTCTTGGAAACTTTCCTTTGAGTCTTTATCTGTCCTCTAATTCTGCGGTCCAATCAAACGGCCATTCCTCTGTGTTTTTCTGTGTTTTGCAATCCTCTGTTTTACACTTGCATTCTTATCAAAATCCTGCGTTTTTCCTATTCCTATGTTTTCTCATTCCTACGATTTAAAGGGGCCCTAAACGTGGACAAGCTAATACAATACTATAATTTTTCATGAGAAATCTGATATAGTACATCCATCCTGTTTTAAGTGCAATTGTGAGTTTCCGTGTTTAATGTTTGATTGTCCGTCTTATTTCAAAAATTGTAAAAAATTTAAAAAAAAATCGGTCACACATAAAGTATTATTCATGTTATATCATCTAATAACAATAAAAAAATACTCATTATATTTTTTTTCTAAATAAGATGGAAAGTTAAACATTGGACATAAACTGTGCAAAACTGTGGTGTGTCTGAAACGGAGGTATTACTCTCTACATCCCAAAATAAGTTAATATACTAGATGTGACACATCCTAATACTATGAATTTGAATAGGTTCAAGGATGTGTCATATCTAATGCTAGATTAACTTATTTTGTGATGGAGGGAGAGTGCTTTGTTTGTTTGATAAACACCGCCAGGGATTTGTTCAACTACATTGTCACGCCCCGAACTAGCCCCGAACGGAACTAGCCCGTGACGCTCCAAATTAACCTGTTAATCGATACCAGTCCCAGGAAACAGTGCTGGTATCACAGGGAGACAGAGTATCACAGCAACAGAGGTCTCTTTATTATAGAGTAGAAGTACAGTCATGTTGGGCTGCGGACAGATCCCGAGCTCACAACTACAATACAAAAGGAAAGCGGAAGCCAGGACTTGGGCCAATCATCACAGGTGCGACTTGGGAACTAGGCCGAAACCCTAAAACTCATCGTAGCCGACTTGCTCCTGGAAGAACTCCTCGTCAGCAGGATCCACTTCATCTTCTTCAGCAACTGGGGGGGGGAAATTATTTATATAGAGCAAGGGTGAGTACGGGAGTACTCAGCAAGCCAGGGGAAATAAGTGTTTAATGCAGGCTTCAAGGAAAGGCTGTTGTTTTCGTAATTGATTTTGTTTGAACTCTTTTCTAAAAGGTCTAAGTGAGTGGTTCTCAAACGACACGGTTGAGACAGTGCGTCTCGTCCGGTCGGAGTATGTGCAATGTATCAATCTTTAGGAATTGCAACACGGTTGGCACCCGGCCAACAACTTTTCAAACGGCCACCCGGGCCAACAACTTTTCAAACGGCCACCCGGGCCTAGCTGATCCCATCAGCTGCAGATTTTTCAAACATCGAACCCCTTTTCACAACAGCAATTTCACAAGCAGTAGTCAAACAAAACTACGCTAGGAATCACCTCACATCCGCCCATGACCGTGGGCACGGCTGTTCGAACAGTTGGTTAACCTCTGCAGAGGGGGTACACTTTACCCACACGACATTACTAACCCGGGTCACCCAGCCCGTGGGGATCAACCACGTCGGGAGACCTCCAAGCTTTCATGACAAGGCATTTCGAAAGCCGACACAGGTTTACCATATGCCGACGAGAGGGGTCCCAGACCAACAACAGGTTAGGTCCCAGACCATACTGTGCTAGGAAGCCCAGGGGTCCTCCCCGACACCACCCCAGCGAGTCCACATGTCTCTCGGCATTAAGGCTCCCCTGATAAGCTAGTTACTTAGCCAGGGGTGTCCCATTCCACCCATGTGGTCGTACTTGTCTTATGTTTGGATGAAATTCCAAGGAATCGGTCCTTAAGTGCGAGAGCGGGAAACCGTACACCCGGTACGTTCCCCGGTCCGCGGTTTTGGAAATTCATTTAGTTCGCAAGCACCGACCCAGGTGTCGGGTTTTCCAAGTCTTTTGTAAAACTCCAGTTTTACCCAAGTTGTTACTCAGATTTTAAGTTTGAAGGCGACCGTCGATACTTGCACAAAGTGCACGAGTATCGAGGCGCAACTGGGTGGCTACAAGGGGACATGGTATAGCAATTAACAAAGGAAGGATCAAATGCGACAAATTAGGTAGGTCCGCCAATCTGCCTTGCAGACGGGACAAACATTTTAAGTGTGATCCTATCAATGCATAATATTTCACAAGCAATATAATTAAATTTCAAATATAGGCTCAAGATGTTCAAAGGTGGCTTGCCTTGCTCGAGATCTGGAGCTTGATCCTCGAAATCCTCGCACTGCGGGTCTTCGGGCTTCGAAACTACACGCGAAACGGGACAACTCAACAAACGGCGAAAATAAAGCCCTATTAATGACCTCTAAGCGTGCCACTAGATAGATCTCGAGATTTGGGAAATTTTGGAAGTTGAACGGGGTCAAACGGATTTACGGTTGGGAAGATTTTGAATTTCTAAGATTATTGGATTTTTGGTCTAAAGGAAAAGGATTTAATTAAATCCCTTTTTGGAAAAGAAAAAGATTCCTGTGTTTTTCCTGCGCTCCAATCAAACGATCATTCCTGTGTTTTTCCTGTGTATTGCAATCCTCTGTTTTACACTTCAATTCCTGTTAGAATCCTGTGTTTTTCCTATTCCTCCGTTTTTTCTACCCTGCGATTCAAAGGGGCCCTTAGAGGATTTCATTCCTATAGAAATTTTTCCTATATAGCCTTTTGAATCAAAGAAATGGATCTTATGAAATCCTATGAAAATCCTATGGATTGCCTAATGCCATACAAGTTTTGGAGGAATTCTAACATGAGGTAAAACCTCTTGGAAACTTTCCTTTGAGTCTTTATCTGTCCTCTAATTCTGCGGTCCAATCAAACGGCCATTCCTCTGTGTTTTTCTGTGTTTTGCAATCCTCTGTTTTACACTTGCATTCTTATCAAAATCCTGCGTTTTTCCTATTCCTATGTTTTCTCATTACTACGATTTAAAGGGGCCCTAAACGTGGACAAGCTAATACAATACTATAGTTTTTCATGAGAAATCTGATATAGTACATCCATCCTGTTTTAAGTGCAATTGTGAGTTTCCGTGTTTAATGTTTGATTGTCCGTCTTATTTCAAAAATTGTAAAAAATTTAAAAAAAATCGGTCACACATAAAGTATTATTCATGTTATATCATCTAATAACAATAAAAAAATACTCATTATATTTTTTTTCTAAATAAGATGGAAAGTTAAACATTGGACATAAACTGTGCAAAACTGTGGTGTGTCTGAAACGGAGGTATTACTCTCTACATCCCAAAATAAGTTAATATACTAGATGTGACACATCCTAATACTATGAATTTGAATAGGTTCAAGGATGTGTCATATCTAATGCTAGATTAACTTATTTTGTGATGGAGGGAGAGTGCTTTGTTTGTTTGATAAACACCGCCAGGGATTTGTTCAACTACATAATCTTGCTTACAACCATTATCAAGGAAAGATAAAGGGCATGTTTGAATTGTATCCAAAATAAACCTTATCAAATTTTGGCAATACCAAAATTTTGACAATATTACAAGTTTTTGCAGGATTTCTTATTCATTTACCAGAGTTTGGTAAGAAACTAAATGGATGCACATATTTGGCAACTTTACCAAAAATAATGGCATGGTTTAAAATGGCATCAATCTGAACAAGCCCAAAATAAGACCCAGAAGAACACTCTCCTTCACTAGCATGTATGCTACCGTGTTCACCGTTCGACAGACCAACAAAACTTCGTCTCTTAGAAACTGTTTGAAAAGTATGTGTAGTTTTGTGAAATTTACTCTTTTTAATCTGGAGCTACTAAAACTTTAAATTGGAAAATTGTAGTATCTCCCACATCTTTTGAAAGATTATAAAAATCATTGTTTTCATATATTTATATTCCTCCTGCCGATAACAACTGGTGTCAAAAGCGGTCAATTTCAATTATGGTTACTAACAGAGTGACAACAAAGCAAGCACTTTGTAGTTTGTACACGACATGAACGATAGTGACATGGTTGTTTAGAAGATTCGTTACTTGAGTTCTCATGGAAGAGGGCGGAGTTTCCCAAACCGCCGGTAACCGCTCAGTTACTCGCTTACCACAAGATACGGTAAAAGGAAAACCACGATAACCTTTTTAAATTCAAATAAATTTTAAAAATAATTTAAAATGATAAAATTATACGGTTTTGTACGAGTTGGCACGATTACCATGGTTACCACGCGGTAACCATGCTTACCGCCGGGGCAGGTTCCGGCGGATTGGGAAACCCTAGAAGAGGGAGAGGAAGGAGGAAAATGATATTGTACGACATGTTCATTATCCATACCATTGTATGGTTGTCTAAACCATCAATTATTGCAGTTTTTGAATTATAAAGCCCATATTCATTAGTTATAACTATTTGCCCTGTTACAGCTACTTTTCATGTTCAAAATTTTAACCCAAATATAGCTATTTCTAGAGTAATGTAGTACTCCCCTCACCAACCACCCCTTATTTAATTTTTTACTCAATCTTATAGCTTATTTGGATTGGCGGATTTTCAATGGATTTGTGGAGGATTCAAATCATTAGGATTTTATTCATATGGCGTCCTTTGGATTGATGATACAAAACTTTAAAAATCCTATGGATTTTGGTTTTCCTATGTCGCATTTCCAAGGAAAGTAAACATGAACTCTATCTCTGGTTTCCTTTTAAGAAGTTCCATGCATCCTCCTTCCAATCTCTACTATCTCTTATATGTACAAACTTGCTTTATAATTCCTAGTATTCTTGTGTTTTAAAATCCTACAGGTTTATAAGAGTACAACATTAAATTTGTATTTTTTTTTCTATTCCTGCATTTTACAATCTTCCGAAAATGTTCTTAGCCAGGCCATTGCCACGCTTTTCACCCATCTGAGATATCAGTCTTTCTTCTTTGTCCTTAACTTAAATAAAAGGAATAAAAAATAGTACTTATAATTTAGAATGGAGAAGATATTTGATGAGTTGTTTATTCCATCATCAAAGATATGATATGCAAAGTTTATATAATTCCTCCGTTTCACAGTGTAAGTCATTCTAGTATTTTTCACATTCATATGGTCTATCATCAATATGAATATGAAAAATGCTTAATATGAATGTGAAAAATGCTAGAATGACTTACACTGCAAAACGGAGGAAGTATATAAGAACAGCTGTCACTGATTGCTCTTGTCGAACTGTGCAAATCGTGGTACACCCTACAGTACAGGATACAGGAAACACCACCGAGCCATCCTTGTCGGGGCACAGGAATTAGTACACTATACATGTCCGTCTCATCAAGAAGATCGAGCAAAACGTGCTCTCCACTAAACCAAACAGTAATTAGCAACAATTTTGTACGGCATATGCAGGAAAACAAGAAAGTTTTACTCATGTGGACTGAGAGAATGGATAGGCCAAGATTGATCATCATCCAGTCAAACCAGGAGTGCATTAATTTTTAAAGCCCTGATTAGTTCCCAAAAATTTTTTTCCAAAAAAATCACATCAAATCTTTGGATATATGTATGAAACATTAAATATAGATAAATAAAAAAACTAATTACACAGTTATAGGGAAATCGCAAGACGAATCTTTTGAGTCTAATTAGTTCATGATTAGTCATAAGTGCTACAGTAACCTGCATGTGCTAATGCCGAATTAATTAGGCTCAAAAGATTCGTCTCGCGGTTTTCAGGTGAGTTATGAAATTATTTTTTTCATTCGTGTCTAACAAGCATTTTCGACATCTGGTCAAACATCCGATGTGACACACAGAAATTTTCTTTTCGCGAGCTAAACAGGCCCGCTAGCAGGACAGCAACTTCGTCTCGCATATTCTTCAGTCACATCATCCGGAAGAACGGAAACTGTAAAGCTCAAATTACATGCAGATCACTGAAACTGAATCCTCTTAAACTTGGGTACAGAACAGAATCACTGAACTGTAAACGGGATGACATGTCAACGCAACAGCAACATACAGAGCAGATGCAACAGCTGCACAAAAACAACAAACACAGATGGCATGCCCCGTTTTCACCATGCCAGATTTCCCTAAATAAGGAGTTAAACAGATTAGATAGTATGCCTTTGCTCACGCAACGATCTCGCAGCTAAACCTAGTGAGTAATCGACGCCAGCATTCGACCGTCCAAGAGACTGAGCCATCACCATTCACCAACAAGGAGAGAAGCAACTCTGAAGCTGAGCGCCACGGCGAAACCGGAGACTCTGGCTTCAGCTGATATATATACACGCGGCGATTGGTCACATCCAAGGAAGCCAACGATCTTAACTTTGGTCAATGCTGTGCAAACTTGATCAACTTACCATGGACCAGTCAGTGTTCGTCGGAGGCAAAATCTCTTTGCCTTTGGTCCAAGTTGCTGAGTGATTCTCTCCATGACCTGCAAAATCCATTTATAGATAAAACTCCTGTTAGGGAAAGAAGAATCTATGAAGAGAACTTTCTCAACATTGCAAAGCATCTAGTAAAATGTACTATCTTCAGCTAGAAAACACTTGTCAGATTTCAGTGAGATCGTCAGAAGTCGGAACATAAAAATGCACCCAGTTAAGGCCTTCTAACTGTACTGATTATAATCAAAGAAATGCTTAAACTTCAGAATGATTGAGGCAGAGGTTTACTGCTTGAAACCGCAGAGTAGCAACCAAAACTATTTATGTAACATTAGTAAGAGTTTGCAGACTTTCAAAATTCAAACCAACATGACATCTTCCCTACACTTTCCCACCTCTACTCACTTGTTTTCCGCACGCACGCTTCCAAAACTGCTAAACAATGTGTTTTCTAGAAAAACTTTCTATAGAAAAGTTGGTTTAAAAAATTATATTAATCCATTTTTTCAAGTTTTTTTTAGCTAATACTTAATTGATCGTGTGCTAAATCGTTGCTCCGTTTTACATGCTAGAGGGGGAAGGTTCCCAACCATTAGAAACGAACACAACTAATGTCCTTAATTTGAATGCTGGACAGGCTCACTATAGCGTCTATAGTAGCGGTGGACTAAATTTAGAGTCAGGATTCTTTTTAATACTCCAGATCAGACTGGGTTGAGCATACCACCCAGACAAACCTACCCAATGTCCATTTTGTTGTTTTAGTTTGTTGTTTTAGCATTGTATGTCCAATAAGTCACTTCAGATCTCCCTGGTAAAAGAGTATCATTCTTTGGTTAAAAAATTGAACTGATTAGTTAAAAATAAAACAGAAGGTAGAAAATTAAATACTTTAACTATAATGACATGGGAATTACAGATAACTAGATTTTGAAAATGAAACCTTGAGCTTATTGGGTAGTATGTTCTCCAACAGAATTTTGGTGTTACAAGCATGCATGCCCAAAATGGGATACCATATTCAGAATGGTGCACATCTGGACATTTACTCTGTACATGGCAAACTCAATTATTTGACAGCAGGGACGAGTGTAGGACAAAGTAGTGTACATTTTTTTTTAACAAAAAACACATCACAGTAATCCACACTGTGATAGCTGAAAATCATGATGTGCTAATTTTCTATTGCAATGGCAGGAGTTCCAGTATTGCATATCTCTGTTAGTTTCTTCAAATTTATTTTATGAAAAAAAAAACCACAAGTGGATGGCACTAAAGTGTTAAAAAACTGAAGATGGATGTAACACAATGACCCTACATAGATAACATGATACATGAATGAAAATGAGAAGGGATAAGAGGCCAGAGTGTCAGTGACATGAAATATATGGCCAACACCAGCATATACATTTATGATGGCAGTTGGTTAAAGAATAAGGGATTTCTGAAACATAATTTAAACCATATGTAGTAAGATATTTTCTGACATGACCACAAAAAATGCAATAACAAACACACCTCACAGCCAGAATTGGGAAATCGTGCATGTTGTTGTGCAGCTCATTAAAAAGAATTTGAATGTCATGCAGCTCTAATAAATGACCTAATGCTACTGTTGTTGTGCACTTTGACAAACTTCAGCCATGGAGATTCTAAGGCGTCTGCCAGTTTTAGGAAAGGCTCACAGCAAGAAAAACGAATTGGTTCGATAGAGTTAGCTTGTTGTTTTGCCCCAATTTGGGTCTGTTTGGATATAGAGGGTATCTGGATTCAAGTCATCAGAACTTTAGTCCAAACTTGCAAATGCCCCAAAAAATTCACCCAGATCCAAAGATCCCTTAATCAGCAAGTTTGTGGAAATGAACTTACTCTTGTTTTTTATTTAAAAAAGAAGAAAGTATGGTATGATCAAAAAGAGGTATAGACAACTTCCACATCAATGAGGACAAACATAGTGCGAATTCAGAACCATGGTATTTACTACCAACTGTAAGGTCATTACCTCATCATTTTGCTTCTGTATCATTTCCACCTGCAAATTAGAAGCATAATAAGTGAATAAAGCTTCATGGATTTTTTGTCAGGAATTTGGAAGAAGAAAAGGTTTGGTGCTTTTGTTAAGTTATTCAATTACAAAATCATGATACAATGACATACTGGCATAACAATAGTAGGCACATGGAAAATGTGTGAACAAGAAGATACCAGATGGCATAGGATTTCAATACAAGTTTGCAGGACAGTAATACAAAATTAATGTAACCCCATCAATGTTCAAATTAAAAAGGGATACACCTTTTAAGTGCAAACCTCCAACAACCATTAAAGATTTGAACTCAGATAAATTCCACAGGAAATACATAGAACAAGGACATTTGAATGCTATTTGTGGTCACCTACATATTGCAATACCAGCAACAAGCATTGCTGGGGGTAGATTAAAACAACAGCCATTGGTAAGCCCAAATCCCCAAACAAATATGACAATCGAGGCAAGAAACATAGGAATTATCCAAAGTCAAGAGGTTATCTAAGGACTACTAACTGATTACAGGAATTGGTAAGAGAAACAGAAAAAAATAAAGAGTATGCATGGATCAAAGCAATTTTATATGACAGCAGGTATACCTGCTTTTTCTGCAATTCAGCCTTCTGTTCCTTCAGTTTTGCCACCTCAGCTTCCAACTCCATTATATAAGCCTGTTGTATATCAGAAAGCCAAAATTTAATGTTAAAAAATTGTGTTTCGCAACACAACCATAACTGTCTAGAACTATTCTCTGTCAATCAGAGTATCAGAAAGACTTGACCTTGCTATGTTAGAACAATAAAAGTATATACTAGCTTTTATAGAAGTATGAGTGCATCATGGCAGCACAACTTGCACATAAAAAAGACCTATTACCCCCACAAGTTTTTTTTTTAAAGAAAAGATCAACGGAAGTTACTATTTCTCGAATTGGTCTTGTCAATTGTCCTTCCAAGCTTCATGGTGAGCATGCTATCCCTATCACAGCAATAGTCGATCCAAAAAAAAAAAAAAACACCGCTCAGCCAGTGTCCCGAAATGAACAAAGCCACTCATCATCTCTCTGAATCTGAGAGCATCAACTTGAACCATGGCTTATTCACTTTAGATTCTTATCCTCTGTGGTTGAACAATATTTAACGACGCTAACTTGCTATTTGCAGTGGCTATTAGGCATAAATTAACATCTACAAGCTGAATTAGAAGTGGGGGGATCACATCATGTGAATAAAGTACAGCATTATCGAGAGGCATACCAAATATAGGCACCATCGAATTTTCAGAACTAATTAATCAAGCAAATGGACATAAGATTGCTACGTATTCCTACATCCTAGTGCAGTTGAAGAGAAGAGAGGCTTCACCTGCTTCCGCGCGCGAGACCTAGCAGCGGACTCCCTGTTCTTGATCATCCGCCTCTGCCGCCTCTCCACCACCTTCTCGACGGTAGGGCCCTTCCTCACCCTGAGCGCGGTGTCGAATGGGTAAGGCACCGGCGAGAGCGACGAGAGATCCCCGCCCTCCACCTTCCCCAGCCCGTTCAGCACCACCGGCGTGGCCGGCGCCGCCACCGTCATCGCGGCGGCGGCGCCGGGGGCGACGCCGACGACACCAGGCAGCATCCCGTTGGCGAGCTGCATGGCCGGGGCGACCACATTGCTCCCGGGGAACAACGCCTGCGCCTGCGGCGGCAGCACGATGGTCTGCCCCATGTCCTCCCGCACGACGCCGGCCCGCACCAGGAACTCCTCCAGCGTCATCTCCCCCAGCGTCGGCTGCCGCTGCGCGGGCGCCGCCGCAGCCGCCGCCGCCGCGGGGTCTTCGTCGTCGCTGCCGCCCAAGCCCATGATGTCGCGCCACACCTCGTCCACCGTCTTCTGGCTCAGCGTGCGTGGCAGCGTCAGCGACCCCTGCCTCTGGATCGGCTGCTGCTGCTGCTGCGCGTCCCCAACCACCGCCGCCGCCGAAGCAGCCGCCGCCGCCGGCGCTATGGCCTGCGACTCCTCCGCCGTCCAGATGTTGCGCAGCAGCTCATCCATGTTCATCGACCCGAAATCCTTCTCGGCGCTTCCCAGCGCGCTCTGGAACTCGTCGAACGTCAGCGAGTAGATCGACCCCTGCCTCGCCAGCGCGCTCCCATCCGCCGGCAACTCCATCTCCTCTCCCACCTCAAAATCCTTCAAATCCCTCACTAAAATCCTCTCCCGAAACTAGGAAGAAACCAAGATGAGAAGAAAGAGGAAGAAAAGGGAAGTGGGGTTATAAATATACGAGAAGAGGAAGCGGAGAAGAGAGGAGTGTGATTAGTTGGGGGAGTGATGCGATGGCCCGAATTAGCAAGGGGAAATCAGGTTTAATCGGCCGATTGGATTAGATTAGATTAGATTAGAAAAGCGAAGCGGGCGAGGGAGAGGGGAGCATCGGGGGGCGTGGAGAGCGGAAAGAGAGAGAGGGCAGTTGGTGCGGCTTTGAGGGAGGCGGGAGGGACAGGTGTCGCCTCGGGGGCATTAAAGTGGGTGTCGCGCGCCGGAGGCGGACAAAAGCCTATCTATCGGTCAGAGGACAGCGGGGCGCTATCCGCACGGTCTCAACGCCTAATTTTCGCTCCGAGCACAGGCTTGCTCTGCCTCTACACGACTACACCGCCAGTAAATTTTGGGGTCTCTCTTACATACGTTACCAGCATATATTTGGAGAGCTTCCGGTAATTGCAGTTTCTTTCAGAATCAGAATATTCTCGAATAGTTCTAAAAAGTCATAGTTGTAGAATCCAAAAAATAAACTAGAAATCAAAAGTTGTAAAACCCAGTTTTTCAAGATTCTTATAAATTGATTACCAACTAGTTGCTTCTAAAAATCTTAAGCTCCAAACAGGCCTGCAATCTTCCTAGCCTTACAAGTTTTTTAAGGTGAATCTTTTTATATATATGAGATAATAGATATGTAGGTTTAGTCATAATTCTTCGAGAGAATTCTGTGATTTATAACCGGTTAGAAGTTGGCGCTTCACAAACCTTATAAAAATACAAAGGTCGGTTGTACGTAAACACTCTATCTTGGAGATATCGAGATAGGCATGAATTTCATAGTTGTAGACGTATGCATATGCATACAATGCGAAGGCTAGTTGTGGTAAGCAATCCATCTTAAAGATGCTTAGATCATGCGGCGTCAAACAGATGAAGCGATAACGTCAAACATTGTATTACGCTACATAGTAGGTGCATCTTGTGAATTGTGCCTCATATGCGTAATGATTTTATAAGGAGAAGTCTCGAAAGTTCAGAAGGTAAAAAGGTTTATCCTTGTGAAAAAAAATCGAGTTTTCTTTAAAGGGGAAAATGCTTATATTACAACAGAAGGTACAGAGTAGTAATATATATTTCATAGACATATAAAGATCATATTAATTATACAACTAGTGATACATAGTTGTAATATGGCAATGCATATGCGTATAAATCTAAGTAAAGAGTCCAATATAAACAATAAGTACAATAGCAAATGAGTATGTTCGAGTAAATTTATCGATAATAATTGTTTGAGAGATTATATGATTTATAGTAGGATGAATATCGATCTTCCGATTAACATTGGTAGATATATAAACTGTAAAGGATAGTTGTGCGTAAACAATCTATCTTGAAGATGTTGAGATAAGCATGACATTTCTACGTTGATACGTACGCATAATACGAGAACTAGGTGTACGAAAGAAACATATCTTAAAGATGGCTAGAGTAGTAGCGCCAAGTATGTAAAGGGATAAAGTTGAACAATTCCACAATTCCACACGATAGATGCATCACGTAAATTATTTATCTTTTATGTAATATCTTACCGGCTTCCAGAAAGTTAGAGAAAAAAAAAAGGAAAATTCAAGTTTTCTTGTAAGTAGAGAAAATTCTTATCACAATTCAACTGTTAAAATCAGTTAGGTTAAAACTACTAATATGTTTGTAACGTGGCAGAGGTATATGCATACAAATATGAGTAAATAGTCCACTGGAAATAATAAACAATAATAATAGAAAAATAACCTATTCCAAAATTTAGGAGAAAAATTAAAACAAGCACATGTTTGGTTTGGTTACAGAGGGATAATGAGTTGATGAGAGTGCGTATTATTACCAAGGTAGTTTGGTTAATGATAAAATGAGTATCAAATTAAACTTTAAGGTACAATCTGCAGGATAAAAATGCTGCAGAAGGGTGTGCAACAGGTGCCCATAAATTCCATCCTCAAATGTAGCTGTATCACTGTTTGTACAAAAATTAACCTTGTGCACTAATAAGTATGCTGTTTCTTGTGTAGCTTTTGGTGAGTGTGCTTAGCATTCGTTTTACCGGCGTAGAATAGCGATGCCTCCGATTATAGGGCACCAGAGACAGTGGCAACGTGTCAGGCTCTGCATGATGTAGAGAGATGAAAACGTTAGCGTGCGCCCAACGGAGAGACGAAAAAAAGTGGATGCATCCGTACCGCCCGGGTGCGAACGGACTGACCAGATCAACATCAGTAGCAGCACAAGGAGATGCTTGAAAATTGGAAGGAGGGAATAGGCAGCGGCATATGCGGATATGCTGCATATATCCTTCTCCTGTGTGTTTAGGAGGACCGCTATGGCTGTTTGACTACAGATGATAACTTTATAAGAGCAAGTTTAATAGTATAGTCAACTACTGAATTAATTTAATAGGGATTTAATAGCCAATTTTCGGCTTGTTCGGCTACTATATTTAGCACAAAGAAAACACTGTGGCTGTTGGCTACAACACAGTAAAAATGAGTGTAGCCGAACAAAGCCGTTACCAATAAACATATACTACACAATTAATACTTGGTCTCACCTGTCATGCACACATACATCTTGAAGTTCGTGATGCATCTGGTTACAAATATGTAGCTCGTTGCTCTTCTCACTCCTCTTTTATCTTCTCAAAATGTGTTTATAGCTGACTTATAGTTTGCTATTGTAACTGCTCTAAGCCATAAAAGTATATTAAATAATAAAATAATCTATAGGTATTTTTTTATTTATGTTTACGTGATTGGCAGTTTAAAAGTAAATGTTGAAAACTTACGTGATTGGCAGTTTAAGTAGTAGAATACAATAAAGAAACCCTAAATTCATTTCTAAAATTAAGTCTATTGATAGCTCATCCTCTTTTTAGGAAAAAAAAGCAGCAAAGAGATTCTGTACAACTCAACAGCATTTTCGATCCAAATTCAGTCCATGTCGAAACAGAATGGAAAAACGAGAGACGAGCTTCTGTAACCGCATTTCCTTTTTATTTTTTTTCCAGTAGAATTTCCCGTTTGGTTTGATCAAATTTATATGTAAGTTTATATGGTAAGGTTAATGGAGAATATTAAGGTCTAGACGAGGGTACTTTTTTAAGAAAAACATTACATTTATATGTGCATATTAAGGTTGGTTTGAAGCAAACCTTGTTGAGTTGTTCCATTATTTACTTGGAATTAGGGATACAAGTGGACGGGCAAGCAGATTTTTTGTCACTAATCCGGTTATCCCACTTATAATTTATTTCTTTTAAAATTTATACTACCATGTGAAAAAAAAAACTATTACTCCCTCTATTCTAAAATAAACGCAACCGCTACACTTATTTTAGAACGGAGAGAGTAAGTGAGTTTTCTATCCAAATATAGTGGGATTGTCCACTTGTATCCCACAAAGAATTTTCCCCAAGTACAGACGATTCAATTAATATATGCTACAGAGTCCAAAAGTTACCCACTTACGTGAAATATTTTTCTTCAAAGCGTTGAAGCGTCACTATTATGGTCTATTTGATGATAATACCAAGTCTTCATTAGTTATTTTATCTTATAAACAGATCTATTTTTCCAGCTCTCTGAGTTTTGGTGGTGTTAGTGTTTGATTAATTGAGCTATGAAAAAGCAAAACAACAATATTTATGTGTAAAACTTCTATATCTATACACATATTAATATGTATAATATTGCATGTGCATTACAGTTGGATTTGATTAAATAAAAATATCATTAATCCATTATTATCATCATGTTTATTATTCTTTATATGTTATCTCTTAATTTTTACATATATTTGCTATTGACATGTGGCATTTGGCCCCATATCATCATTTTTCCCTTCTCACAAAAGTAGGGAATTAGTATTTAGTAGTGGAGGCGGTTAACATGTTGGTCTTCTAGCTCCATAATAACATTTTTTATTTTCATATGGACTTGGTGATGAGGTGATGATAGACTCACCACTCACCATCATCACTGTTCTCTTTCAAATAATATAAATTATTCGTAGTTTAAAAATCAATGCTGAATAATTAAACTACGATAGAAAACCCTAAATCAATACTAACATTACGTTTCAATATTGAAATTGCATAGGCTAATAAAGCAATAAACAGATGTAGAGTGTAAATTAGTATTCGATGAGATCATGACCGGAATTCAAGTCCAAGACTTGATAGTAGTGTTCGTCTTATTGCTAATTATTTTTTTAATAGTAGGCAACATATTCGTTAACAGCGAGATGTTTATGGTGAATGATGATTTCATTGACAAAGATATGTCGCCACAATCTCTTGAGGTGCTCGTCGGGTAAGATGTGCACGTGTTTATATGAGTGTCTATTTGTACTGTGTTAAAAGAAATCACCGTATCCAAACCATTGTCATATCAACTAGAATCACCGTGAGAATGAAAACAAGCCCAAAAAGAAAAGGATTTGCCCCTTTATCCCAAGTCTTTTACCGACGTCACAAGCTAGAACTAAATCGTCCTTTGTCCTTTTTTTTGAGAATATTGTCCCCGGTATCTCTCATCTCTAACCTCCGGCCCCGCCATGTTCAAAAAAGGGCTAAAATAAACCCCACCTCTAATCTGAATCCCCGCGCTTTTTGGATGCGGTAAAGAGTCTAAAGACTAAATTAAAATTTATAAAAGTCCCCTCTAAAACGTCATCACCAACACAGCTGTCACCACCCCACCCCAACACCATCTGTTTGTGCCATTCCTCCCGTCGATTCGGCAATTCGCTCCCCTGCACAGGAGTTCCTTCCCATGGCATGACATCTTGGGATGGGAAACACCACCGGTCAGTCACATTGGTCTTGGCTGGCAGGCAGTTTGGGACTGGTTTAGTTACTAACTTTTTCTTCAAACTTTTAATTTTTTCATCACATTAAAATTTTTTTATACACAAACTTTCAACTTTTCCATCACATTGTTTCAATTTTAATCAAACTTTTAATTTTAGCGTGAACTAAACACACCCTAAGACTGTGTTCGTTGGAAGGGTTGGGAACCCATCTTATATACACGGAAAACTGAGCGGTCCATTAGAGCGTGATTAATTAAGTATTAACTATTTTTTAAAAAAAATAGATTAATTTGATTTTTTAAGTAACTTTCATTTAGAAACTTTTTTTAAAAAACATACAGTTTAACAGTTTAAAAAACGTACGTGCGGAACCCGAGGAAAATAGGTTGGGAACCTGAGCAAAGAACACCGCCTAAGTTTTTTTTTTCTATCCCCAATCATCCTATCACTCAACGCCACCAGGAGACGGCTACCCTTTATCATGCACATCATGCGCCCCGTTTCTCCCATTTGATTAATCATCGCCTGCCTTGCTTACACGTAGCTCGTTCTAGTTCTAGCGATTGATCTGTCTCCCAATAATTTTTTTTAGTGTTCTCGCAACGACGCTATCGCTGCTCGATCTCAGCCTCTCATCTGATCATCGCACATTTGATCCGCAAGAAGTACACATGCATGCGAACTCCAACAAGTCATCATCTGCTGCTGTTGATCGGCGATTTCAGCGGCGATGTGGATGGGGTTTTTGGATGGTCATGATTATGTGATTTGTAATTTGTTCCTGTCCCTGTCAATACCTACCGGAGCGTCACTTGATCGGAGCCTCATCGTCTTATCGATGGCCCCGTATTCCGTGCCATTTTGAGTGTAATAATAAATTTTCGTGTCTAACATTTGACCAGTAACCTTGTTTAAAAAAATATAAAATATTTAAAAATTAAGTCACAGATAAAGTAATATTCATGTTTTATTATTTAATAATAAAAAAACTAATTATAAAAGAATTTCAAATAAGACGGACGGTTAAACGTTGTGCACTTAAACTCACAACTGTGCTTAATATTGGACAGGTGGAGTAAATAAAAACAATTTATTAGGGAATATTTAATTTGTAGGTAAAAATTTTATACATTAGTTCGTATCGACTTAAAAAATAATGCTAAAAAGAAAATTACGTTAAAAAAAATCTTAAAATTAATTTTAATATTAAATTCGAAAATTTAAATTTTAGTTTTTCTTTGGTTTATTAGGCTAGCCGATGTGATTCTTGAGCGGAAAATTTTAAGCAGGAGGGCAGCGTCGATTATTGTAAGGTTTCTGCTCGTTTTTACTCTGTTGGTCGGGTGGATTTCTAGGGGAAAAGGAACAGGGAGGCGATGGAAATTCTTGTTTAGCTTCAGGTAGGTAAGAATTATATATGCGACGAAATTTCTAGAAGAGGAGAGGGTAAAATATTGGCCGGGGGCACATGCGAAACAAGCTTCTACATACTTACAGCTGGACACTGTTCTTTTCTTAGTTTATGGTTGTCGCTACCTCTCATCTGTTGTTTAGTAGTGTGGAATTCTTCGGTAGCTCGTAATTTAAGTAGAGTGCTACTAAAAAAGGGTCTGATTGGTGGGACAGTATGATTAGTGTTGCAGCGTGCACTAATTTATATTTTTTTCTACTACCTCCGTCATGAGTACAGCCATAAATATCCGTGTCCAGCGTTTTGACCGTCCGTTTTATTTAAAAATTTTATTAAAAAAATTAAAAATATTAGTCACACATAAAGTACTATTCTTGTATTATCATCTAATAACAATAAAAATACTAATCATAATTATTTTTTAAATAAGATGAACAGTCAAACGTTGAACATGAACAATGCTAAAACTGCACTTATTTTGGGACGGAGGGATTATCATTTTTGTGTGGTTTGTATTGTAGCGTGCTCTGATTTATTTTTCTCTACCATTTTTACAAATACATTACAAACGTAATTGCTCATGTACACGCGAGATTAGGACATTGTATGATGAGTTTGACCATCGAACTCCGAGAGATCAGGACGGCATATGATAAATTTTATTGTTTTATCGTTGTCAACCGGTACGTAGTATTGCCAATAACAAATAATAAATCTTAAATACGAGTACCCGTGGTAAATCTATAACTTAAATTCTTTTTGGAACATGATCCTCTAACGTATTGCCCTCTAACTTTAATTTGAGAGAATGACATGTGGGCCCCACAGCTGGTGGACCCACATGTTAGCCACTCACGTCAGAGGGCAGTACATCAGAGAAGTCTCTTCCATTCTTTTTATACATTCTACTTCTTTTTATACATTCTACCAGAGACATTCTAACCGGCTGTCTAGTTGAGTTACGCTCAATTCATTATTTTTTGTACTTATCAAATGAACGGAATATATTGCATTCATGCAATGTGCAAAAGACCATGTTTGGATATATTTTTAGAAATAGGAATTTCTTGATATGTTCTGTTCCCTCCGTTTCAGATTATAAGATGTTTTGTCTTTGGTCAAAGTCAAACTACTTTAAATTTGACCAAGTTTATGCACAAATATAGTAATATTTATAATACCAAATTAGTTTCATTAAATCAATAATTGAATATATTTTTATAATAAATTTGTGTTGAGTTGAAAATATTATTACTTTTTCCTATAAACTTGATCAAATTTGAAGCAATTTGAGTTTGATCAAAGCCAAAACGTCTTATAATCTGAAACGGAGGGAGTACATGTATATTCCTCACAAAAATATATTGTACATGTAGTATGCCTTTTCTTTGAAGAACTTTTTTGTTTCTGGCGTGCAACTTATTTTTAGTGAATCGACACATACTATTTCAATTGTATTAAATAAAGTAAGAAAAAAGTGATGTACACGTATGAAAAATGAAAAGGAAACTGTACAGGGGTTTAGCCGTTTAAGGGGCCACAGAATTAGCTCCGCTAGTTGTTTGGTTCCTGCAATGACCTAAGTTGTTGCCTCCTTTATTTTTTGTGCCCAAGTTCAAGATTAGAGTGGAGAGCTCCTTTCACCGGAAGATCCTCTAGTTTCTCTCCTTCCAGATTATCCATATTGTTTTCATGGATGACACTGCAAAGAGTAATCTGTTCGTGTCATCGCACGGGGTTTCCATATCCACCCAGGATTTTCCTAGCACTTTTCATTGCCATCTCACTCGCAGAGCTCTCACGAACTTTTCCAATTTCCAGATCGAGTATCCCAAGTCCACAATATAACATTGGCATGCCTGTCTTTACCCAATTGATCTTGCATTTCCTCCCTGTTAGTTCTCCTGCAGCCCCACCCATAGACCATAGGAAAGCGTTTTGCGTGAGCCTTTCTTTTGGGTTCGGCCTGCGAGATTATTATGTGCTCTTGGGCTGCTTGACTGGCAACCGGGTGTTAACTCGTGGATTTCGCTGGCGGCAGCGCATGTTGGGCCATGCAGGCCCGTATTCCATGGCCTTGTAGGACCGTAGGTTTCAGTTCGTCGACAAGGCAACTTGGCTCGGAACAAGGGCTTGTTCACTTTGATAAAAAAAAAAAAACTTTATCAAATTTTGGCATTACTAAAATTTTGGCATAGTGGTAACTTACTAAAATTTTGGTAGGATTTCTTATATAGTTACCAAAATTTGGCAGCAAACTGCCATTTTTTTTTGATAACTTTATCAAAATTTAGTAAGGTTGAAAATAGCATCTAAATGAACAGGCCCTAACTGTAAAGCCTGTAACTGTAACTTGCGAGTTGCGAGGAAGCTCCCTTCGGAGTTCACCTCACTGCCATCAACAAATTAAACGATCTTAGCTATATAAAATTTCTCTCATTGTAATGGTCAATGACTTACGGCTAATGCACGTTGTGGTTACGAAGTCTGAATGTCTGAATGCTTAACAGCTCGTCAGCAAGTCTAATTGAACTGGTTCAGTTTAATTGCGTGCATCCATCTTCGTAGTAAAATGTTTTCTTTTTTGGAGGTAAACGTACTAAATTGTTTGTGCGCCAGCCAGCTCTCACGCATATTACTGTTATATATATATATATATATATATATATATATATATATATATATATATATATATATATATATATATATATATATATATATATATACTTCCTCCGTTTCACGTTTCACAGTGTAAAACTTTCTAATATTATCCATATTCATTTAGATGTTAATGAATCTAGACATATATGTGTTTAGATTCATTAACATCTATATGTATATGGACAATGCTAGAAAGTTTTACATTGTGAAACGGAGAGAGTATATGTGAAAATTAATTACTCCGATCTAATCATTCAGCTGATCAGTTCGTTGATCTGAGTGATGATGTCAATCGCTAGAAGAGCGATGATGCCAACTCTCTCCATGAGGACGACCGTGATCATATTATGCACTTGCATATAGACTATTTGGAGAATTAATTGATCACAACTAGACATTCACTCTGCAGGTCATATATATAGTTGCATCTGCACAAAGAATAAAATATCGTTTTCTTACAGAGGAAGTCTCTGCAATGATCATTAAGAAGTAAGCACTGTCTGTCCTAATCCATTTCAATTTTACACACCTAAGGGAAGTAAAGTTATGATCATGCAGCTGCAGTTGTACATGCATACGGCTCTCTGATCGATGGGCTTTCTGCCTAAATATCATATGCAGTCTGTAATTGAACGAGTCAATAGCTAGAGCTGTCAGACAGATCAGGTGCATTTCTAATACACGTAGGGCACTTAACAAAGGCAGTAAGATAGACTGACATATATATTGGCAGTCAAAGTTTGCATGAATACACGCAGCCTGTGGGCTTGTCATTTGTCAACACTGCAGTACAGCACCGTTCGATTTGTTCAGAGACTTCAGAGTTTCAGACTGCTACAGTGCGCAGGAATGCGCTACATGTATTAGACAAATTAGCCTATCTGCTAATGGGCATATAATTGGCACGTAATTAACAGTTTTATAGTATAATGTCAAGTCGCTGGTAAGACGATCGACGACTTTGTATACAAAAAAACAAATGTTGTCTGAATTTCTAATACTAGTGGCAAATCTCGCCTGCATTTCAAATGTCTGAACTCCCAGAGTGCGCGCGTGGTATACTAGCCGCGTTTTATCAACTCAGATCCACATGTAATAGTCAGAAGAGATGTCTGCATGCCCCATCCTGTAAAGTCATAACTTCCTAACTCCATATTGTCTAATCCTCCTTCGTGAAGCACACTGCATCGTTTTGTTAAAACTAGTATCCAAGTGTCATTGTGCACTACAGCCTTGCATGCATGGACTCCGGCTACTATAAGTACCCATGCTATCATCGGTTCCATGCATCTCATCCTTCAATCTTGCAAAGCTCAAGATGGCTAGAACCAGGTTTGTAGCTCTTAGCTTCATCGTGCTACTGAGCATTGGACTGTCCAATGCGGCAAGGGTAGCGAGATATGCTAGTGCCGGGGGCGGCGGTGGTGGAGGGGGAGGTGGTGGTGGATCGGGGAACGGTTCTGGGTGGGGATCTGGCTCTGGCTCGGGGTATGGCCAGTCAAGCGGATCCGGAGGAGCATATGCTAGTGGGGGTGGTGGGGGTGGAGGTGGTGGAGGCGGACAAAATGGTGGTTCTGGATATGGTTCCGGTTCCGGTTCTGGGTACGGCCAAGCAGGGGGATATGGACCTTATGGTGGTGGAGCATATGCTCAAGGAGAAGGTGGTGGTGGAGGTGGCGGCGGTGGACAAAACGGTGGGTCTGGGTATGGTTCTGGTTTCGGTTCTGGCTATGGTCAGGCCGGTGGATATGGTCCTTATGGTGGTAACGCATATGCTCAAGGAGGTGGCCAAGGTGGAGGCGGTGGGGGTGGACAAAATGGTGGTTCCGGATCTGGTTCCGGTTCCGGTTCTGGCTATGGTCAAGCTGGGGGATATGGTCCTTACTATGGTCCTTACGGTGGTAGTGGTGCATATGCTCAAGGTGGAGGCCAAGGTGGAGGTGGTGGCGGTGGACAAAATGGTGGATCTGGTCAGGGCTCGGGGTCTGGTTCTGGATATGGTCAAGCTGGTGGATATGGGCCCTACTATGGCGGATATTGGCCTTACGGTGGTGGATATGCTCAGGCAGGTGGTCAAGGTGGTGGTGGCGGTGGTGGGCAAAGCGTTCCAGGCGGTAGTGGTTCTGGGAGTGGCTCAGGAAGCGGTTCTGGATCCGCCGGTGTGCGCTACCCATAGAACCTTCATCGGAACTAATGCCCATAATGCCTACAAAAATGCTACTGAAAATGCAAATGTGTTATGTATTTAAGTAATAAAGGCCTTACCAAGGCTATCTGTAATAAAAGTAGCTACTTGCATTGCATGCTACTACTACCAATGTATGTGTGTTTGTGTAACCAATTAGTATTTTATTGTTTGTTTTCTCAAGAATACTAATCCCTTCAATCATAAATGTAGGTAGTTTTGATGTTCTCAACTCTTTTTTAAATATAAGTTCCATTAGAAATGTCAATTGTAGTATAAATTAAGAACATCAATATTTTTCCCCAAAAAGTAGCGAGGGAATCGCCAACAGTATAGTGTTCATATATGGTAATCGAGTAATCTGTGTCACCTCCTCGATTCTTGTGTACAAGTTTAAAAACAACATACGCTGAAAATCTATATACTCCTCGCAAAAAAAAAATCTATATACGCCTGTATGCTGAATTGTTGATGGGCTTTGGGCCTTGATGGCCTCTTGCAAGAATACGTGTTGGTAGCAAAGTCTAGACAGCATGTCAACACAAGAATGGAGTAGGGGGGAGAAAAGGATGAACTGAAGATTCAAAATAATAAAAATGCCACTCTTTTTTCTATTTAGAACATAATGTTATTCATTCGTACTACTAAGATCTACCGATCTCACCCTTAAAAGAATAAGGGACAAATCTAACTATCTCTCTATTCACCCTTAAAAAGTACTTGATGAAATCAAACAGATTGTCATATAACAATCCGCCCTCTTGCACTGTCGTACTCGCTTTCTCCGTGAGCTCCCGCGCCCTCCTCCTCCTCCTCTCTTCTCCTTCCTCTCCTCCATCAAGTATGCTCCCGATTGCCTTCTCCACCACCACCCTCCCCACCACAGTGTCCTTCAGTCACCGACTCATCAAGGCCGACGCCGACGCCAATCCCGAGCACCTCCACGGCCATCTTCTGGTTCAACAACTGGTCGACAGAATGCGGCCATGTCACCATGGGCAACCTGGTGGCAACAACTTCCATGATCGAGTTCACTCGCAGTGCGTCACGAAGCCATCGACCGTGGCGTGCGACAGGATCAGCATTTACGGTGTCCACCCCCTGATGACCATGCCAAGGCCGGCGATGCGTGCCTCGAGCTCGTGCAAGAACCTTGTACCTTAGCTGAGTATTTTTTTTCTTTTCCTTTACACTGTATAGTTTTCTCCATCTATATTCAATGTAATTGGTGGCTCACCGATTCCTTCTGAAAGAAATTCGAAATTGTTTTTTTTTTGCCGGGGGACTGAAATGTCGGAAATTTTGAAATTTAGTTGGCCGAAATTATTTGAAATTTTGACTAATTTTGAATGAATTTGATTAAAATTTGACCAAATTCACAAAAAACCTAAAATTTCGGATGAGATATGAGATTGCCGGTGGGTGACGAAATTACCGAAATTTCAAACCGTGGGAAGAACTCGCGCGCCGTGTCTCCGTAGAGCTCCGCGTTCTTCACCATCCAGATGAACGGGTGGGCCGACGCCTCGAGGCCGAGCCCGAGCTCGATGAGCTGCTTCGGATCCGTGCGCGCGATGCTACCGAAGCTAACGTAGATGACGGAGCTGGGATCCTTGCTGTCGAGCCATTGGATGCACTCGTCGGCGTCAATGGCCGCCGACTTCCCTCTCGCCGCCGGCGATATCGTGCTGGTGATACAGAGATACTGGCCCGATGGTCCACACCTTTCTTTCCAATGGCCAACGCGTAGCTGGCGACGAACTCGATCGATCGGGCTCCATCTTCACGAAGGTGTTCATGACGATGCCATCATATCGGCCGCGGCCAGCGCGCGCTCCACGCGGAGGTGGCGCTCGAGCGGCGCCCGGAGGAGCGGCAGCGCGCGGCGGAAGTAGTTGAGCCCCGGGCGGATCTTGTCGCGTCGTCGCTTCCGTCAGCCAAGCCCGCCGCGGCGAGGTCCAGCGGGAGCTCCACGACCCTGACGTCGACGACGCGAGCTCGACGGTGCGGCGGCGTAGGACGGCGTCACGACGACGCTGGCCACCGCGCCGTGGGTGGCCACCATCAGCGCCGTGTGTCCACCGACGGGATCAAATGCCCCTGGTACATCAGCGGGACGAACACGATTACACGAAGTGCGCCTTGGCGGCGCCAACCTCGTCGGAGTTGCCACGGCCATCTGATGCTTCCTCGCTCGATCGGCGGCATCATCGACAGGAGAGTAGGGTTCAACTTGTCTTGAGACTATATTTTTGTAAAATTTTGAATCGGAAATTTATTTTTTATATCTTTTAAAAAATCTATCTATCTATTATTTATTATTATATACTAAAAGTCCATTAAACTTCCTACAAACGCTCTCAAACCGCCATATGGCGCTCCTACAAATGCTCCTAGATCGCTACGTGGCACAGTCTAATCTCGCCGTTGATTTTCATTTAAATTGGTGGACCCGTTATTTTATACCGTTAGATTAGATCTATACCTACCATTATTTTTAATTAAATTGGTGGACCCAAATTCTTGCCCCCAAATCCGATCGTGCTTCCGGTCGCCTACTTCGGTGCCTTCCGTCCATGTTGGGCCCAAGGCCTCGATAGAGGAAAGCTTTCCTGCTGCCGCCTAGACTTGGATTAGGTTTCAAATAAAAGCCTCCACACAGATTAATCAATGGAGAAAATGAGCTATATGAGACTGGGATTGTACAAGCGTTTGACTTTCAGTAGCTGGCAATGTAATCCACAAGCAGCAGCATTTGATCATTTGGTGTAATCCACAGGCAGCAGCAGCTCAACGAAATTTTACCATCTATAATTGGTGATTAGGTTTAATAAGTAACTATGCAAACGAATTTTCTCGATGCTATTCCAGCATAGAGATCGGTTTCATACTGTGCTATTAGAAGGGACAAAGAATAAGTACGTACAGTTCGTAAAAAAAAAAGCTAAAAAGCGACGTCTTTTCCTGAAAAGTCACGATATTATTCCTTCCCTCCTCATTCTCAAATCAAAAATTATAATATCGTTATATCAGTATGTACGTACATATGAGGCCTCCTTTGTGGCGCTACTTACACTAAAAAAATATTGCATCATATATATATGTTATATATCAGTAAAAGTTCACTAACAACATTACATACGTGCAAACAAATGTACTCCCTCGACCGACTTAACCATCCTCTTCTATTTTATACATGTGAAAACTGGACGAGTACGAACTTACATAGGAGGCTTCCTCTGTAGCTCGACTAGGATCTATTCAACTTAGGTCTATAAATACATAAAAAGTTATTGTATCATACATCTGTTATAAGTAAAAGTTAATTAACTTTGTACAAATGCTCCTAAATTCTCAGAAAGTAACAAAATATCATGCAGCCATCGATTTTCCATTAAATCAGTGCCGATTGACATGTTATTTTAGACCATTACATCAGATCTATTGAAATAGTAATTAATCCTAATATCATGTATATAAACCTCTCCTAATCTCCAATACAAGTACGATAATAAGTACTTTTCTCATAACAACACCACATACGTGACCAACTTAACCATCCTCTCCTATGAGTATTTCCTTGACAGTCTGTTATCTAGATCATATCAGAAAATAGTAGAATATGGAAGAGAAAACAGAATACCCATGGGTATTAACCACGTATGTGCACACTTACGTATTCCCTCCACCTTCCACTCTCCCCTCCTCTTCTATTTTCTATTTAACTTCTCCTATTTTCTAACTAGCGCTAACTATATAAAACAATATTAGATAGCTAAATAATCATGACTCTTGACCTAGACCATTACATCTCTAAAACAATACTTCTAAATAAATGGACCCATTAATTTTAAACATTAGATCTTTAAAAAAATATGTTTTACATAAAACAACCAAAGATCGAAAGAAATTAGCTTCAACTAATTGTTGATATTTTACAGTACCAAGCCATTCATATTTTTTCGTGTAAAATAATTAACCCATATATACTATATGGCCTCAATTAAACCACCAATTACAAAAAAAATCTAGCATATATGGCCTCAATTGCACCACTTCTATAGGCTGTTAACACGCTAGGGAGTCACGCTAAAAGATTAACCAAGCTATAGATATCATATTAATCAGTGCCAACACATTTAGTTAAATTTAAAATTATGAACGATCAATTTGAAACCATTATAAATCATGATAAAATCCTCGAGTCATTAAGAAAAATAGTGATATCAAAATTCAAAGAATAATTAGTTCTATATTATCTGAAGATACCAGTCATAGATTTATTCGTCAATGTTCATAGGTGAAACAAGCTAGGCCTCAATTTTTTACTTCCAATCAAGCTTTGAAGTATCAAAATAAACTGCATGATATGGGACTGACTAACTATATATATTGAACTTTTTACAAAATCTTTTCATATAGATACAAACAATTTTCAGTCATCATAAAAGATTTTAACATTTAGAAACAAATAGATGCCCGCGCAATTGCGCGGGCTACTTTCCTAATTAAATATAAAAATAAAAAAAATCTAGGCCGGAGCCCGGAGCTCCACCGGCGGTCGCCGCGCTCTCCATTCCGATGGTGAGAGACCGCCTCTCCTGACCCCTGCCGCCCACCTATGGAACAAGAATGGTCGGCATCTGCTCCCGCCGCGACCTGCACCACCTCGTGTACAGGGTGTTCGACGCAATGCCCGACCGGAGTACTGGGCCACCCTCTCGTTGTCTCCTCGCGCCGCTGTCGCCGGACGCCGGCCAGATGGTGAGCGCATCGGACTGTGTGCGGCGTCATCAGCAGGTCTACTCCGACGAGATCCCGGACCCTTACGCCGGAACGCCATAGTCATCTTGATCTTTAAAAGGTGCGTAAGCTACGAACGTGACAAACCTATTGCTTCATAGATTTCGAATATACTACACAAATTTTTGCATGAATTTTCAAAGTTTCATCTTTCTATCACAGGAACCGGAAAATAATTCAGTTCCGTTCCCGTGCTCGATTCATTTCCACTGGTGAATTGGTGATCAGTTCATCAGTCGCAGAGCAAGAGAGTGGGCTAACTGTCTAGTCTAGCAGCTTGCGAAGCGAGGCGCCGGCGAGCCTGGTGGCGTTCACGTAGTCCTGCGGCGCGTGCGGCGGCAAGCCGGGGAACACCAGCCCCACCACCCTCGCCGCCCGCATCGCCCACCCTTCCGCGTACTCCCCCCCTGCCACGCGCCCGATGGCGAGCCCTCGCGCCAGCTCCCACGCCGCGTTCGCGTGCTTGGCCAACGCGAACGCCGGCGAGAAGTAGTTCTTGTTCGGCTCCTCCGCCATGGCCCTCGCCCTGTACGCGGCGTCGAAGTAGACGCAGCGGCCGAAGTGCCTGAACAGGAACGCGGCGTCGTCGTAGGGCACCCGGGGCACGACGTCGTTGCAGTACACGAACCGGAGGTGCTTGCCCTCCAGTGAGCTCGCCGCCGCGACCCACTCGCCGAGCGCCGCGTCGCCGACGCGGGGCTGCCCGTAGGTGTACACGCCGTCCAGCCTGCCGAGCGCCGCGGCGTCGGCCTCGCCGCCGTGCAGCGCCAGGACCACCGGGAACAGCGCGGCAAGCGCGCCGCCGAGGCTGTGCCCCGTCACGACGAGCCTGGCGCGCGGGTTGGCGGCGAGGAACGCGCGCAGGCGGGCGCGGATGGCGTAGTAGGCGAAGCTCTTCGTCTTCTCGGAGTTCTTGGCCGCCGACGGCGGCGCGATCTCCGCCGGCCAGCTGGGTTTCTTGCCGGCGGCGGCGTTGTTCTGCAGCCCGAGCGCCTTCATGAAGCCGCCATGGACCTTGCCCACACCCGGGATCTCGTACCACGAGATGTCGACGTCGGTGCTCCACTGCTCCATGTCGAACGGCTGCGTGCCGCGGAACGCCACCACGACGAGCTCGGCGTCCTCCGGCTTGTCGGCGAACATGAACGCCTGGGTCGTGTAATCATTCTGGAAATCTGAACCAGGAGCAATTACGAAAACTCATTAGTTTATTCATCAATTATAACTTTGTCATTAGTAGTAATCAAAGTCTGTACTTGGATATCTTACCGTTCCAACAGTTGAAGAACTCTAAGAAGGTCATCTGTAAAATCATGAGCACGAAACGAAATGATAGTTGTTAATTCAAAGACATAATATGTTTTATTTCGTAGAGTTTAATTGCAAAAAATTTCAAAAAACATCAATTCAAAGTGTTCGAACCTTCCAATTCTTTTCCACGGCGTCCTTTATGACGAGTTCGTTCTCGTAGGCCAATTTCGCTGCCATGATGCAGAGAGCTGCGTGGTAATTGCTATCACCTGGCTTGATCTTCTCGTCCAGATCGATCCTTGTGTCAAGAAGTCCAATGAACGATCTGTAGTTGGGAGAATTTCTGTCCGGCGTTTTCACCTTCCCTGCAATGTAAAATGTAAGTGCTACAGCACTAATATTGTCTGAAAATCACTGTCTTTAATTGCACTATTTGTTTGAAATGTATCTGATCTTAACTTGACTAGCTATAAGGGTCCTGGTAAATACATTGTACATGTATTTGCAAAGATGTGTTTTTGTAACAACTCTTTTTGAGTTCAATTCTTGTGAAACATGTGGAGTAAATGACAATAATCATAAGGCGTGTATCAAGGACATGATTGTTGCGACCTGTGGGCCCGGAAGGAAGAGATCAAGCTAATGACTATATTCAAGTTAGTTGATTAGAGGATTAAACAACCCTCATAACATGGTATAAGAAATTAGTGTACATTATCCTTGTTTTGGATAGGAATTAAGATTGGTTGAGCTGAACTCTTCACATGACTAACTACCAGCAATGCATATAAATAATAATGAGTTCTGACAAGAAACAAGTTAGATAGTATCTTCCAAGCCTGCAAGCCAGCTATGTGTGAGCTTAGCTCCTCCCTCCGTCTTAAAAAAAAAAAGACAAACCCTACTTTCCGTGTCCAATGTTTGACCGTTCGTCTTATTTAAAAAAATTATGAAAAAAAAAATTAGAAAGACAAGTCACGCATAAAATATTAATCATGTTTTATCATCTAACAACAATGAAAATACAAATTATAAAAAAATTTCATATAAGACGGACAGTTAAAGTTGGACACGGAAACCCATGATTTGTCTTTTTTTGGGACATAGGGAGTAGACCTAATGGAATTATTGTTTATATGACCTCTGCGTCAACATAATAATTAGCATAGATAATAAATAATCGTATACTGCTGTACTGATCAACAAAACCCAATTTGCTAGAGCTAAAGAGGGGCTGCTAATCTTATAGCACGACATGTTTTTTTTAATAAAAAAGATATTGATCACTTAATGATATTCCAAAGATATAAACTATAACATCCTCCCCTTCTTATTCAAATTAACTGTATGCTGGTGCTTAGTGCTTGCTCAAGCTCAATGCATGGGCAACGCATATTCGTTTTTAAAATTACTGAAAACGTGTCTTTCCCTGAACTAAATCAAACTGCATGCATGTCAGAGATTATTGTCCATGTTTTTAAGTAAAAAACGTTGTGCATTGGTCTGAACTCTCCATAATTATCAATACTTCATAATAATAAGAGAACAACAAATCAATTAAACGTCCATCCAAATTATTCCCGTTGGCATTTGCATCAAATCAAATTTTCCTAACTAGCAACTCAACAAAGCACATATATACTTCCCCCAAGAAACTAGCTTTTAAGCTGGAGTGCTGGGCAACAAATGCAATGGATGAACTTTTTTTTGGGGTGTTTAAATATCACCTTCCAAAACAACATTAGTTAACTAGCATAAAAAGCGAGATCATTGTACATATATATACATAAAATTAAACTTAAATGCAGGTCTAATAAAATCACACATACCATGCAGAGCATTTCTGATGAGGCCGAGGACGTTGTCATTCTCGCTGACGAGGTTCATCCAGTACTCGACGGCGCGGCCGACCTTGGCCATGACCCCCTTGGACAACCGGAGCAGCATCTGCGCGAGGAGGGAGACGGCGATGATCCACCGGTGCCACGGCAGCGCCACCTCGGCGCCGGGGCGGCCGCAGCGCACGGCCTTGTTCTCGCCGACCTTGCAGGAGAGCAGCAGGTCGGCGAGGCTGCGCGCGCCGCCGTTCTCCGGCTGCAGCACCATGAATTCGTCGCCCAAGGTGACATCTCGCCGCCGGCAGTCGTCGTCGTCGTCCATGCCGCCGGCGATTGATCCGCCGGTGGTCGCCGTCGTCGACGATGTGCACGAGATCGAGCTTATGATCGAACAAGCAAATTGATGAATAGCTCAAGGAGGAGCCCTATTATATACTGTAGGAGGGTAGTGGCTTAGGGTTGGTGAATTAAAAAAGAATGGCCGTGTGGACATGGTATTAGTAAACGGCAATAATGAACGAGTCGTCGTGAGTTAATTAATCGTGGATAGTTTAGTGGTGGTGCTAATTTGTGTATTAGCGTTTGGTAACCAGCGATTATAATTGATTAGCTACACCTTCCTGCACGGCGGGCCGATCGAATTAATCCGTGTTCTTGCACGCAAAGGAAGGAGAATCCGAATCTTCTCTCGTTGCTTTGCTCTTGGATGCCTTTCAATTCAGCTTCTCATAGGTAGCAATCTGAAAGGCGTCGAAGCATTTATTCACTTAGGATGAAATATGGTTAAGTTTTTGCTGCTGCTACAGATGACAGGTTCACTTAGGACGAAATTAATTGAGAGATACGTACAATGGGAGAATAAGCCAATAACACATGATTAATTAAGTATTAATTATTTTATGATTTTTAAAGCAACATTTCTATAGAAAGCTTTTTAAAAAACATATTGTTTAACCGTAAAGAGATTTTTTTTTCATAGGTGTTAGCATATTCCTTTTTTTTTTACTTGTAACAAAACGAGCTACTATGTACGTATAATTAAATGGCTATGGGCTGATGACTGAGTTGCTGCGAAGATGCATGCAAATTAATTAGGAGTATTTACCGATTTCTATATACACACTGGGGTATGAGTGTGTCAGATATTATAGTACTCGTCTCTGTCACTGCACTTTGTAAAGTCCCACGTTCTTCGGGGTTTCCACTGATGAGAGGCGTGCATTCTCACCGTCAAGTGGGTATTTTTTTTTTCTCCCCCGTGGAAAAACGCGGCGCTTTCAACGACAAAACGGGAGATACTAGGAAAAATAAAAATCAACGGCTGGGTCCATTGGATGTCCGACGTGCTGCAGGCTCGATCTCACAGTCACATCACACGACCGTGTGTCCGTGTTGTTGACCGACCTAGTGCTTCACTTTAATTTGATGCTTTCAAGGTTTGCACATATCGGGCCAAGTAGGATTGTATAGAAAAAAAAACTTAATGAGAAGGAAATTAACGCGCTGATTGATTCCTAACCTCTGTAAAAGCAGATGAATCAGTCAGAAAATGCCCTGGGTGATTGGCAGTTCCGGGTTGTGCACATTAATTACAAAGTCCTAACACATGCATTTGCATGAATTGGTCTTAGCTTGTAGAACCAGTTGCCGTGAGTGATCGAGAGTTCGAGACTTCTGAAGGAGATTTTGATTACAAAGTGTAGAGAGATGTACTATTGCTGAATCTTTTGCTTTGCTTGCTTTGGCTTAATTCCTAGCTAGTTGATTCAGCAGCAGGATGTGCCAAACTGAACGGCAATCGATCGCAAGTTGGAAAGGCCGGCAAGGCGCGCGGCGACAAAAGCAGCTAGCAGATACTCCCTCCGTCAAAAAAAAATCTAAAATTAGATGTGACATATTATATTACAACGAATCTGAACATATATCAGATTCAGTTCTAAGTTAGTTTTTTATAAGATAAAGGAAGTAGAGCCCAAGCTTCCATGTTACTATTACTACCACTACTCTGCCTGCCTGCATGCATGCTAGGTTGATGCGTGTGATTTCTCGCGTGCGTTCGTGAGATCACCCACCCAACCGGCCGCGGGCAGGGGCCGTAGCGCATGTTCCGGTGTTGGGCCGTTTCAATTTGTAGGACAGACTTCTTTTCGCTTGGGTTTTTGAGCAACTATTTAAGGAAGGAAGACATGGCAGGGGCAACGCCGAGGCCAACGCTCGACGGTCGAGATTGAGGGGAGTATTGGAGCTGATAAGTGGGTCCTACCGTTTTTATTTTTATCCTTGTGACTGACATGTGGGTTTCACAAGCTGACTCAGCCAGTCAACATGATCAAAGATGCCACGTGGGACAAAACCGCCTTCGAAACTATCTGGGGAGTCGATTTGCAAAGGTTTAAGAGTTGGGGACAGGCTATACCCGGTTTTGCAATTAAGGGATGTGATTCAACTATGGACATAAGTTGAGGGAGGCAAAACAAAATTATTCCTTGGAGCAAATCCAAGTGGTGACCTGCTTAGGCAGGAGAAGAAAAGTTGGGCCTCGCGGCCCAAATAGGTGTTTTGTCTTTTCTATTTCTCAAATTTATTTTTGTGTAAAGTTATTTCCATACTGAATGTTTATATATGTGAAGTTTTTATACTCTATGTTTATGCGTATGAAGTTCATATATCAAATGGTTTGTATGTATAAATTTTATGTGTATAAAATTTGTATATCAAATATTTCTACGTATAAAGTTTCTCTATCAAATATTTTTTTATGTATATAAAGATTATACACCAAATAAATCTACATAAAGATTTTCTATGTAATTCTTTTCTACATATAAATATAGGTATAAATTTTTTAGGGGCCAACTCGGGCCAAACAATGTGTGACCTTATTACTCATTTCTCATTCACACTTAGGCCTTGTTTAGTTCCCAAATCAAAAGCATTTCACCCATCAATTAAAATGTTTAGACATATGTATAGAGTATTAAATGTGGATAAGAAAAAAAAACAATTATACAGTTTGCGTGTAAATTGCGAGACAAATCTTTTAAGCCTAATTATGCCATGATTTGAAAATGTGGTGCTACAGTAAACATTTGCTAATGATGGATTAATTAGGCTTAATAAGACGGATTAATTAGGCTTAATAAATTTGTCTTGCAGTTTTCTGACGGAATCTGTAATTTATTTTATTATTATACTATATTTGATACTTCAAATGTGTGTTTGTATATCTGATGTGACAACCAAACCCAAAAATTTTCTCCGAGTAAACAAGGCCTTAAGCTAGAATGAGAAGGGGCGGCCCAACTTCAGATTCCCTCGTCTCGTCCTTACTCATCACACTCATTGTTTTCTGGCATTCACGGTGGTGGTGTTTCTTTTGTCATTTTCTATTTGCGGTGCACGAACTACCGCGCAACATACTAACCTGTAGGTCTCAGCAAATGTCAAAGGAATAAGTTCACTTTGTGACCCTCAAAAGTCAAAATCTAATCCGTGACTCTAAATCATAAAACCGGATATACTCTCGAAACCGGTGCAATTTGACTCCCTTGGTAGTTTTGGAGGGCGGTTTCGCTGACGTGACGCCTACGTGGCGGTATTGACTCGGTTTTCTTTTCACGTGGCGCTTAGGTGGCATTAAAAATAAAAAATATACTGGGACTCATTTGTCATTCACCAAAAGTATGGGTGGGACCCACTGACATGTGGGGTCCACATAAATCATTCTCTCCTCATCCTCCCCCCTCTCTCTCTCTCTTTCTCTTCCGTTGGCGAGCGGCGGCCGTGGGACGGGGGTCAGCGGCGGAGATGTTCCGGTGAAACAGAAACGATGAGGAGGAGCGGTGTGGCGACGAGGAGCAGCCGCGGAGCATGATTCCGACGGCGGCGGGCGGGTGCCTTTCTCTGAGCCGTGGCGCAGAGACCGGAGAAATTCTATATCAGTTCTTGATTCATCTCACCGGTGATTGTCATGCAGGCGTCACCGCTGTATATCTCGGAGATAGCCAAGATCCGTTGTACATCTCGCTGATTATCAAATATAATCAAGCTTAGTTACTAACTAATGGCAGATTTAATTTAATTGTATAGTAAGAGCTGTACGCCTGTACATGGATGCTGGATTGGAGTTATGGCAGGCTGTGGCGGCGCGAGTCAGAAAAGCAGTAGCCGATGTCGGCGTGGACGAACACCCAAAGCAGCTCGTCGTGATAATTGATGCCGGACGCTTCCTCCTGCGCCCCCGCACGCGTTCCACCTCTTCCTCCACCCGGTCCACCGTGTCCTCCACGCCCGCCTCACCCCGTGCGCCGCCATGGCGCGCTACCTCAAGGCCGACCGGCCTCCACTGCGCCATCGCCATCTCCGCCGCAGTAATCATGCTCCGCGGCTGCTCCTCGTCGCCACACCGCTTGAAGAAGGAAGGAGAGCAAGAGAGAAGGGGTCGTCGTCGCCGCTGCTCCAGCGTCCGCCCTCCCGCCCGCCGTCGGGTGCGCTGGCAACGGCTCCGCGGGAAGGGGTGGGGGAGGCCGACGACAACTCGCGGGGGAGGGGCGTTAGTGATGCCGTCTGTGGCGGCGGCCAAGGCGGTGGCCGGCGGCGAGTCGGCGCAGACCCCATCGTCCGTGGAGAGGAGAGAAGGGAGGAGGAAGACGGGGAGGAGAGGATTGTGTGGGCTCCACATGACAGTGGCTCCCATATTTTTTTTCTGTGTGTATGACAAATGGGTCCTAGACATATTTTTTATTTCTAATGCTACGTAAGTGCCACGTCAACGTCACGTGGAAAGAAAACCGAGTCAAAACCGCCACGTAGACGCCACGTCAGCGAAACCGCCCTCCAAAACCAACCAAGAAGTCAAATTGCACCGGTTTCGAGAGTTAGAGGGTCGAGATATCCGGTTTTGTGGTTTGGGGTCGCGGATTAGATTTCGATCACTTTTGAGGGTCACAAAGTGAACTTATTCCAATGTCAAATGGTGGATTGGTGGCATGTTGCAGGAAGCATTGGAGGTTTTAGCCCACGGCCCACATGCCCTTTCACTGCTCAACTCACTATTTTTTTCTTTTTTAAGCTCAAAATTTATTCCAACCTTTTTTTCTCCAACCCTTGGGATTTGTAGGCTAGAAATTTGGGTACATCATATCAGGCCTACGTACATGAGACGTGCACAGTAATATTGAGCATAAAAGGGTAGCTAATCGGCAATGTGCCTGTTTAGGTTGTGTTGGGCATAAATGGATGGGAATTAATCCCTTTGCGCATATGAAATAGTATTAACGTATGATTAATTAAGTATTAGCTAATTAAACAACCTTAAAAAAATATAAACAGGGTCAGCCCTGACTTTTTGGTGGCCCGGTGCAGAAAAAAAAAATGAATGCCCCCATTCACCATAAAAATATAAGATAATATTTAAAATCTCATTATCATTAACGAATTTCACATGAATAAGTTTAAAATACAATCAAGCAGTCACGATATGCTCGATCACCGATTGGTCTTCTGTCTTTCCTCTAAACCTATCAGGCCTGATACCATAATATACATATTTTAAAGATCCTGTCTTTCCTCTAAACCTATCAGGCCTGATACCATAATATACATATTTTAAAGATCCCTAATTTTTAGAGACCAAATACGGTCGTACCGTCCGCACTGACTCAAGGACAGCCCTGAATATAAAGCCACTAGCTATCAGCAATACCACCAATAGGAGCTGCGGCGTCGGTAACCCATGGAAAGCAACGGCACTAGGCAGCGACACTACTGGTGGCGGTGAGGAAGAAGCCGGTAAGAAGAGGCACGAGAAGACGGTGGCAGCGGTGAGGCCACCAGTGCTGGATGCAAGCCCCTCGGTTTGGAGCAATGTTAGACGAACCAGTTAAGGAAAGCAATTTGAATCAAATTTGTCCAGCGAAAACACATTTACGTACAAGGCAATTGCAAATTTACCATTACTTTAAATCATTATTACAAGACTGCCACTAAAAATTGCAAAAATACCGCTAAAACTGTCATTCGAGTGGCATCCTTACAATATTGAAAAAACTGGTGGCAAATTTGCAAATGCCCATTAAGTATAATATGGTTTGTTGCCTCCGTCTCGTGAGCAAGAACATACTCCTCTATACTTCATAAATTTCAAGTGATAAGAGGATGTACATGTATCTGTCCAGATTTATAGGATTAGGATATATCCTATCCATCCAAAAATTGTTATATTTTGGAACTGAGGGAGTACATAGTACCTAGGTTATTCCCTCTATAAAACATAAACTTAATTTAGGATATAACATATTATAGTATTAATATATGTCATATCTTGTACTAGTTCTATTTTTTGAGATAATCCGTTAAATGACATCGACAAGTGTGTGTTCCAAGAAATACCATCGTACAAACGGTTTTGTCCCAAAAAACCATCGTCGTTAGGGTTCTGTCCATCCCGTGCCGTTAAGTGTTATAGGATGAACAGTGTATTTAACAGCGTGGAATAGACGGAACCCTAACGGCGATGACATTTTTAGGACAAAGTCGTTTATACGATAGCATTTCTTGGAACTCGTATTTATTTATAGCATTTTTTGGATTTGGACGCTTGGTCGCTTATCAACGGCATTTCTTGGATTATCTCTTTATTTTTTTTATTGAAACAAAGCGAGTAAGAAGAAATATCAATGTCAGTCAGCTTCACTATCCGAGGGTGGTCGTCATACGATGGCAACGCCATTTTGAGCAAGTTTGGTTCGAGGCCAAAACAAGCCTTACCAAAATTTGGCCAAAGGCACAATTTGGCATGGCCAATATTTGGAAAGGCCAAATTGTGTTTGGTTAAAGGCCAAAACTAACCTTGCCAATTTTTGGCTAAACCAGGTTTGGTTTGGTGCCATCAAATGGCTATGCCGTCAAATGCCATCCTATTGTGGATGGTCGTATTGCAAAAGTTTGAAAATAGCATCAAAAAAATACAAACTTTACTATGTAAGTGAAAGCCTAGGTATGTACTTGCATTTGTGGCCAAAATGGCTACGTTGCTGTGTGTTGAAAGCCTTGAGATACAATATGACAGAAAACAGAATTGAAAGCTGCATAGTAGTGTAGCCATAGCACATTATATATTACAGCATTCGGGTTGGCATTAATCCCTACTTCATATGTGTCACACCACAAGTACCTACTACATAGCAGTGACATATATACATCACGAGGGTTTGCCCTGTCCCTACTAGATACCCCACACTACCATCCCCTGCATGATAGTGCCAGCATACATCACATATATATAGCATCATGGGTTTTATCAAAATACATTGCTCCCTAACCAAAATGTCACCACCTGACACATGATTCACATAGTGCACCCATTGCCACCATTGCAAGCACATTTGCGCTCAAAGTAATCTATAACCCAAGCTTGGAAACTTGCATCACTTGCAACTCGCAAATACGAACGAAAGATTTCTTGTTCAGGCTTGGCAAGAAAGGTTGCAAGTTCAATTTTGTCACTTGCTGGGATGGTGAGATCTTCTATGCGCCTCCAAATACTTGCATTAGGACCTCCTACAATGGATTGTTCAACTAATGCAAGTTTGTTAGCAAGCTTAAGGATACTACCTGCCAGCTCATCTTGTTCTTCTTCTTTGTGGCTTGTTTTATGCTTCAGAGTCTTCTTGGTAGGTGATTTCACAGATCTACGCTTATGCCCTGAATAAGTGCCATCAGTAGTAGGACTATTGCGAGCTATCGTGTCAGAATCATGGCCACCATCTTCCAATGCAAATATGTATTCTTCCAACTCCTTGATGCTACCACTGCCATCACTATCACTGCTACCATTTGCATTGAACCGGTCAATTGCTAGTGAACCATCAGCTTTTGAACAACCAATAAATAATTCTTCAAAGGGGTGAAAGAATTTGATAGGCTTAGTCAAGTAGTTATATTTAGTTGTCTGCCATGAGAAGAAACATAGTTAGAAATAAACAAATTTAGCACATTCTTGTATGAATTATAACTCAGAAATTATTGCACAATAATATAGCTTACACCAAGTTTGTTTGAATCCTTCTCAGATGGGTCAATGTTAAATTTGCATGATGCTGCATCAAAACCATAGCCACTTTTCCCTAAAGCTGCACAAATCCAACTCCATTTTTCCTTGCATAGCCTTAAGTGCCTGTGGACTTGGCTTTTGGTGACTCTAATCCCAAACTTGTCTTTTAAAGCTATAGCACATTGCTGGTGGTGTTGTTTCTTCCACTTGAAGGTACTAGGTTTGTCTTTGCAGAGCTCTATATACCACTCAAGCATGAACTGAGTAGCATCATCACTCCAACTGATATACTTCTCACGAGAGCCACCTTCCTCGCTAGTACCTTCTGTACGCTTTCCCATACTACATACAGTGAAAAAATTATAAGTTAATATTGCATATGAACAGATGATAGTCAGTTAATGAAGTAATAAGATGATTGGAAGAAACATAAATATATTAATATGATAATGTCTGATACAATAGTATCAATACAACATACAATCCTCACAACTATTACAAAATATAATATCATTAATAGTCCATGGGACTAGTAATTCATTCACTAGTCAAAACATCATGAACATCCGCATTGTGTCTGTCATTCCACATCTGCTGAGCGATGTTATCACGCTTGGCTGCCCACTCACGTACATCATCCCCTTGGTCAGAGACACGGTTGCTGCTCCTTGGTAGGAGAGCGTACCACGTCTTCTCATCGTTGACAAATTCATCAGACCCATTCTCAAGTATCCAATTATGAAGAGCACAACAAGCAATAACCACCATTGATTGGGCTTTCAGTGGTATGAATGGCTTATTCATAAGAATCTTGAAACGATTCTTCAAAGCACCAAAAGCTCGTTCAATCGTAGTCCGAAGTGAAGAATGACGATAGTTGAAAAGCTCTTTAGGGCATTTTGGGCCTTGAGGTCCATGTGGCCCTTGAGGGCCACGGAACTCTTTTAGGTGGTACCGAACACGACAATAAGGCGGCAATATACCCGGCCTAGCAGCATACCCAGCATCAGCCAAAAAGAACTTCCCTACAAACATGTCATAGAGCCTAACGTCAACTTATAGCAAGGCTAATCATGAATTCTTTGAAATGTTTAATTACCTTCAGGTATTTTAAGGCCATTTGGTCGAGACAGTGCATCTTGCAACACAAGGGAATCATGAGCTGACCCCTCCCAACCTGCTAGGATATATATGAACCTAAGGTCAAAGTCAACAGCAGCTAATACATTCTGTGTGGGGTATGGTTTGCGGCCTCTAAACCTATCCACCTTCTTGGCTGGCACACTTGCCCTGATGTGTGTACCATCTAGTGCTCCTATACAGTCCTATGTACATATCAAAGTGAAACATTAGAGTTAAAATAAACAAAATGTATTGTAATATGCATTGTTATGGCTTGGTGTTTAGAATTACCTTGAAATATGGATAAAATTTGTTTTTCTTGCTGGTGATCTTACTATGTGTATTGGTAGACCTGATGTAAATGAGTTCTCGAGCTATCTCGCACATGGCTCGCAGCACAATACGAAAATACCTACTCACAGTCTCACCGGATCGCCAAAATGAGAATCCAACACATGAAACAGAATGGTGTTGTCCAACCTTTTTCAGAAACATTGCCACTTGCTCCTCTACTGAAACATGAAAGGTGTCAACTAGTAGTCCCTTGTTCCTAAGACGAGCACAAAGCTTGTAGAATACTGCACGGGACATTCTTAATTGTTGAGTGCACGTCCTATCTGAAATGTTGATCAGCCTGATTAGTTCACTTGTTCTCCATACATCCCTGTGGACTAGGGGCCCATATTTTACCCCTTTGCGACTACTCCTCCTACGATATTTGTTCCTCAACCATATGATGATCAAAAGACAAAGTACCACTATAGCCTTCTTCCTTAGCAAGAAGTGATGCGTATATTGTTGTCGAGTGTTCTCCATCTGGATGAGATTACATACGCAGCTTCAAATTACTTAAGGAAATGTGTCGGTTCAGTGAAAAACAAATTAATTTACTGAATAAATATTGTGCCCAGCCAACATGTAGATTTGTCGACTAAAAATAACATTACTGAGGTGTAAATGGACACCTGTATATTTTTTTGGGCAAAGAAATCAACACTAAGACAGTAAGATTTATTCAACCTACTGTTTTTTATTGCTACTAGTTAAGATGGTAATGGCAGACTATAAATAACTACATTAGTAGCACAAATGAACAAGCATTGTACGGATGGAGCATCAGTTGATTACCTTTTCCTGTAGCAATCGATGGTGTTTTTCACAGCAACTGAGCACGCCGGAGTCAGTACAACTACTGCTGGAATCACAACACACGTACTCGTCCTGTTCTTCTCCTGAGCAGTCACTCCCCTTTCAAGTTTCAACTCGCCCCCATCCCTCCCAGATGTAGCCCCAAATCTCTACCCCATTTGAGCTATTATTTGTTTCGGTTGGTTTAGAAGATGAGTGTGTATGACCAGATGAGGATCTTCTTGGGTTTTCTTGGTCAAGATTTGGAGGAGATGTGGTTATTGGATGGAGAAGATGAAGGGCGTCAAAAAACAGAGGACAAATGGGAACTGGGAACTCTAGAGCTTATCTTCTTATATTTTTGTGTGCAGCGTAGAATACATATGGTCGATGTGTGGCCGCGCGCGCGGGAGTTCAAATTTCACGCCCGCGATTCGGCTCCTGTCGACGGCGTGGCCGATTCTTTCTCCTCAGGCAGGCCGATATTTGGATCCAAACCAAACTTTTGTTTGTACTGTTTACTTGACCCATAAATTGGTAAGCCCAACATAGGCCATGAACCAAACTGGCCCAGGGACATGATGGCAATGTAACGTGAGGTGTAGCTAATAGTTTGGGTGCCCCATGAAACCAAAAGCCAGTGCTAGCGATTAGCAGCAAATGACAACACGCGGGGCCTTTTTGCGCGAGCACCAACGTACGTGTTCCAATGAGCGCATCAGCCGCCCGGTGGCCGGATCGAGCAGCTGTATTACCCAGATACGGGGATACATATACGGATACATTGATACAGGGATATACCATTTCTCAAAAAATATGGATACGGTGATACGTCTATATATATGTAAAAGAAAATTATTAATTTTTGAAAGAAAATAGCCGATTACAATGTAGCAATCTTTTGTAATGATCTCTTGTAGTTGATTCAGGTGTAGACTAGTTGAGAAATAGCACCACTAATAAATAGATATACATCTAAAAAAACTAGTATTTCAGCATACTCTGACTTTTCTACTTCTTCTCTAACACCTAAACATATCTCACCAAATCCCACGACGGCTTCTTCTCACTATCATTTGGATGAATGATGAATCTGCAGCTAGATTAGCAGCGCGCTAGCTCTAGGAGTGCTAGATGCATTGACACTTCTAGTCACAGTAATCATCGGACCTATAAAATATATATATACTCAAGCATGGAAGAGGCCAACAAGAAAACAGTAAAGGGGAACAAGAATAGATAAAATCACATGCAGACTCAAAGCATCGAAGAAGCCAACAAGTCAATCGTTCAATAGAACTTGCCTCACTGGGGAACCAAGGAATCAAGTCAGTGGCTGCGACAGCGGTGTTGTGCCATGTTGGCGTTGCGTCCGTGGTGGAGGCGGTGAATACACCCAGATGCACATCTGCATTCAGCGTCTGTAGGCCCAGCATGCAGCGACGATGCCGACGGCCAGGGGCGAAGCTAGCATCAAAATAAAAAGGTGCATTACCATTGAAAATCTAGAAAATTTCATTACAACACTGTATATTCTAGTGTTTTTGAGTGAGAAATTAGAGATTTGGGGGTTCATGTGCACCCAAAAAAGAATATAGCTTCGCCACTGCCGGCGGCGTTGCGTTCAGTTAGGAACAATGTGTTAGACGAAGCAGTTAAGGAATGCAATTTAAATCAAACTTATCAGGCAAAAACACATTTAAAGCATAATATGGGTTGCCGTCTCCGTCTCCTGAGCAAGAACAAACCCCTATATAAATATGAATTTCAATAATCCTACCACTTAAGAAATTAATTTTGATAACTCCTTCATAAAGAGAGAGATAATAATCTCGAGTGACGAGGAGATATCCTCTTCAAGGTTAAGAAGAAATATCAATGCATCAGTCAGCTTCACTATCCAAGGGTGGTCATGATATGATGGCAACGTCATTGTATCTCAGGAACATGATGGCAACGTAACATGAGGTGTAGCTAAAAGTTTGGGTGCCCCATGTAACCAGAAAACGAGTGCTAGTAAAGTGAGCGTAACTCGACTGATTTGGTTTCTTGTGGTGAAACCAGTCCACCCAAATTCAAGTTCTAGGCTCAACACTAGTACTCATATTTACGGGTTTTTTTTAAGTAATTGGCGATAAATCGACAGTGAAACATCCATTATGGCTTCGTTAATCTCAAGATAGATCAGTTCAGCCGAGGAGTTTATAAGAGTAAGGTATACATGTACATGCTTATAGAGATGAATATGCGCGTGTCGTGAGTGTTTGCATCTCTAAGAGCAGGTACAATAGCAGGCTATTAGCCAGCTATTAACATATTTTAATGAGATAAACGCTGAGAGAGAAAAGCAGCGGGCTACAGATCTATAGCCAGTTGCAGCACGGACTCCAAGACACACTGTGTGTATAACAGGTGGGACCATATATTAATAGTATAGTAAACAACTATTGTATAACTTGGCTATAAATGAATTGAAGTTAGTAGTGGCCTGTACTATTAGACTTTCTCTAATGGGTTTATGAAAAAGCAATGCTAGCGAATGACAACACGAGGGCCCCACCCCCCGGGCGAGCGCCAACGTACGTGTTCCAATGAGAGCGTCAGCCGCCGGCCGGACCGATCAGATCGAGCACACCCCGACCCCGACATGCCGCCGCCCGCGCGGCCCCAGCCCTGCAATACCACGACGGCGACGCCTCCGCCGCGTGCCGTCTCTCTGCGCCGCCCACCCCCCCCCCCCCCCCCCCCCCGGGCGGCCGTGCGGGCGCCACGCACGCACGCAAATACGCAATCCCCCGGCCATCCGCCGGTGCAAGTGCAATGCATCCGCGCAATGCAACCATCACCAATCTCTCTCGGCTTTCCACGGGGCTCCACGGCCAAGGCCAATATCGATCGACCACGTGGTTAACTGCAGCAGCAGGAGGAGTGCGACTGCTCTGATGATCAACGGAAGACGCCAAGACGGGGTCCAGTAGGGAGTGCGTCTTTTTTGCCTAGGAAGGATGAATGTTTTGCAAACGTGATCAGGGGTCAGGGCAGGGGGAGCACCGGAGATCCTCGATTTTGAAGTGTTTTGCTGTGGTCCTAAAGCTGGCTCCTACTAGCAGTTTTGTTGACAATGGAGCACGGGAGAGTGGACGAACCAGGACAAGCTGTACCGCACGGACAAGTAGTCCCCTGGAATGATATAACTCTAGTTTTTTAAAATTACTAAACGGTATGTCTGATGTAAAAAAAATAGGGCATTTACAAATTTACTACCGGTTTTTTCAATTTTACAAGGATGCCACTCGAATAATAGTTCTGGTGGTATTTTTGCAATTTTCTAGTGGCAGTTCTGCAATAACGATTTAAAATTGTGGTAAATTTGCAATTGCCTTTTTTACAGAGAGGTTATGGGAAATATCAGATAAATATATTATTTTTATTTTGAAGTAATCACTCAATCATATGCTAAAATGATTTTCCCACTACTGAACAGGGGTCATAGTGTGCTGAAGGCTCCGTTTGGTGTTGAATTGGATACATGTTAAAGTATTTTTGGGAAATTTTGAACTTTCTTTTACAGAACCTGTAAATGATATATGACGGCAGGGGAGGCATAACAGTTAGACAAATATTTATATGGTGTGGTGATATGTGAAAAATATCGAAACGTTCAAATAGCACTTCGTCAGACAATCCGCATAAAAATCAAGTAATCCTTCTCCGTCAGATTGTAGAAATACTACCATAATTCAACTCTAATTCTCAACTCGATTGAAAATTATTCGATCCGTTTCCACACCTCGAGTTACAAATACTACACCCTTGTCTCTAAAAGACATAATCCTTCATAGCTAGAGGATTAAAATTCCTTCATAGCTAGAGGTAGTACATATATAGTAATGTAGCTATGGCAACCATTGCTAATAAATCTAGAAACAAGTTTTACGCACTCAGCATGATCCGACTGATTAGATATTATTAATAGTACAAGTTGGGGTGTGTTCGGATGCCTCTTTTCTTAACCCACTGTCTCTTTTTCCATGCGCACGTTTTTCAAACTGTTAAATGGTGTGTGTTTTGAAAAAGTTTCTATATGAAAGTTGCTTAAAAAAATCAAATTAATCTATTTTTGAAAAAAAATAGCTACTCCCTCCGTTTCACAATGTAAGACTTTCTAGCATTGTCCACATACATATAGATGTTAATGAATCTAAACACATACATATGTCTAGATTGATCAATATCTAAATGAATGTAGGCAATGTTAGAAAGTCTTACATTGTGAAACGGAGGAAGTAATACTTAATTAATCACGTCCTAATGGATCGTTTTGTTTTCCGTGTTCGTGCTGGATGGGAACGAGAACTAGCCAACACACCTTGATCTGTGGAGTTCTCTACGAAAGATCCCATCTTTCGCCTTTTCACGAAGGTACGCAGAAAAAAGTGCTGCACGTTCTGAAAACCGATGAGATGATCAGATGATACGATGCGACGAGGATTTGCAAGGGTCCCAATGGGCCAGACTCAACACGTGTCGAACCGTGCCACAACGAGGCCCGGTGGACCAGCCCATCGTTCGGCTCATCGCCGATCCATCACATGGTTGGTGCCTTTGGTGGGCTCCCCAGGCCAGTGCATGATTTGGGCTCTGTACATTGCACATTTGCATTACTGACATTAAATCGGACAGTGAGGGGCACACGCAAGAACATGCAATGCAAAAGCTTGTTTTGTCGATGAGCATTTTTAATTACCAGCTGCAATTATCCATCCATTCCATATATGGAGCATCCTAGGCTAATGATGCTGTCATGTTGCAGCATTAAACATGACATGTTGTGATGAATTTGTCTATGCTTGCATGCATGCAACCCATGGAATCCTAAGAACAATTTGTAGAACATGTAGTACATTACAGATTTTATCACATGCAGTTGTTGTACAGTCACAATGGTTTAATTATATCACTAACTAAACTCTCACTTCCGGCTTTAGTTCAATTTAATTACATAGTCATAGCACATGCATGCATGCATCATGTCACACGAGTGAACGCTCGAATATCTATGAATATCTAACTAGGCGTAGTACGACGGGCAGGAGTAGACGGCGTCTCCCGCGTCGCCGGCGAAGCCGGCGGCGGCGGCGTGGCCGCCGTGCATGTGCAGCGCGGCGGCGGCGCGCTCCAGCGACTGGACGTGGCCCTTGAGGAACTTGACGTAGCGGATGGCCTCCTCCAGCATGGACGCCGTGTCCAGCCTCGCGCCGCCGGGGACGAGCCGCTGCAGCGCGCGCATCCGCTGGCTCACGCGCTCCCGACGCAGCCTCGCCGCCACGCTCTGCGGCTCGCTCGACACCCGCGCGTTGCGCCGCCGCGGCCGCGGCGCCGCCGCCTCCTCCTCCTCCGCCGCGTCGATGACGCCCTGGCGCGTCGTCGTGTACATAATGCCCCGCGACGACGACTGCACCGCAGCCGTGGCGGCGACCGGATGCAACGGCGCCGACGGCGCCGCTTGAGCTCGAGAAGTAGAAACCATCGTAGTGTTGAGTAGACCTGGAGGTACTGGAACATGAGCCGCCGGTGACTGTCGCGGCGGCGACGCCGACGGCGACGTGGATGGAGAAGGCGAGCTCGCCAGTGCACTGTCTAGCTGTGAGATGATGTGCATGAGCTGCTCCTGGCTCATCATGTCCATTGCCATGTCGAACTCCATCTCCATATCGTAAACGAGATGGAAGCAAGAAGGCAGCAATGGAAGCTGTGGTAGGTGTGCTTCACTTCCCTTTGGTATGTGGTTCAAGTGTTCTAGTGGATGGCAATTTATAAGTAGATCTCTAGAGTGTGCTTCAGTGCGAATAGATTGTCAGGAACAGAGAATATATAGTTCATATTGTGGAGACAGCTTAGCAGAAAATGGAAGGGAACAATGGGTCCATTTCTGTGTCAGACAAAGGATTAGGCCAATCATTCAATCAATTGCACCACTATTGTGTGAGCCGTGCTCATGCATGACTAAATTAGGCCTTCATACTATCTTCCATTCTCTTTAGAACATGGAGCGAGAGTAAAACTCTAACAAACTAAAAAACAGAGTACTCCAGCATGCATTGCAGGTTGTGGATATTGTAGCGAATATAACATGATGAAGACCACAGGTTTGCAACTAGTAACAATAACCAAATACTATTTCAACGATTCCAGACAATCAGGATTGCACAATCAACTCATACTGAGAAAAAAAAAAGTGACAGCTTTATCCCTGTCGTCATTTGCACGGGGAATCAGGGATTGCCTCCAGAAATATGAGGGGAACAGAAGATGAATAACTGAACAAGGAGTAATTTACATCGTAAAATGGGGAATGCCCCAAAGATACATGTAGAGTAGTATAAAATAATTAAATTTATGAATATGGTGGTAAAGGAAATGGAACACAACCTGTGCGCTAACCATCTGGGTTCCTAAATCTTATTTTATACTCCCTCCGTCCCTTATAGATTTTGCTTGGATATGGCATATCCTATTACAACGAATGTGGACATGAAGTCTGTCCAAATTCGTTGTATTAGGATGTGTCACATTCAACCAAAATTCTTTATATTTAGGGGCGGAGGGAATACCAAGTTCCTAAATCTTATTTTATACCAAATATTAGAACTTACACTTGGACAAAAAAAATATATCATTGTCTGTTTTAACGAGTTCCTCTCATTCCAAAGATGACATAGTCATCCTCTACAAAAATTTTAAACAAAAATATAATTGAACTCATGTGACCAATATATTTTCCATCCATGAAGAACGATAAGTTCCAAAAATAACCAAGTTGTCCTAATGAGAAAATCAGGCACTGACAGCTTTCAATCCAGCATCTGAAGTGGATGGTGCTGGCGTAACACCACCGGTAGTTGGCCTGTTAAATTATAAAGTGAATTCTCAATTTACTGATTCAATCGAAAGATAATGACGCTGTTCTAATGACAGTAATAATAAAGAAAGATACTTACAATCCAACCATGACTTTGAATGCATCATAAATTCCCCATTGAGCTCCAGTAAGGGTACCGATCATGACAATACGTAGGGGCAGTCCACGAGTGAATAGACCCCAGAGACCAAGCTTCTTAACAGCCTACAGAAATACATAACTGTAATCAGTTGCTCATCAACAAAACTTCAAAAGCAAAGCACCACAATGCATTAATACCAGAGCATTGTAATAAGTAATAAACTCACATCACCCACTGTAGCACCCTTGGCATTGTTCAGGAAAGAGACTAGATTATCTGCCGGGTGAGAAACAATAGCACAGAAGACACCGGCAATGTAACCACCAGCAAAGCTGATACCCAACTGGAATGATTTGCTACACTCTGACTTCGGGACAGGAACAGCATGCTTGTAGATTTGTTCAACAATGGTCTCAAAGGATGCAAACTTCATCATTGTATCTGAGTATATCATTATTAAAAATAATAATAATGTCTAAAGGTAGAAATAGAGAAGGTATTTGGCAAGATATATTTCTTATGATACCAAAAAACAACCAGACATGAGCTATGGGAAGCATAAATTCTGATTTACAAATGTTGTCAATTTGGCTCCGAATTTGACAAAACTAAAATTTCACATGCCTGGCAAACTTTAAATAATTACACTAAGAACTAGTGACACATCAACTACAGATGAACTTAATGCCAGAAAATGACTAGTAGTTTTGCAAGTGCAAGCTTGTTATGTGACTGTTTTAAATGTGAGGAACTGAGGAGCAATGTTGTACACAATGGAACCAACAAGTGAGAACAACCAATATAAACATATGACAGAAGACTCAACTATAATTTATTAGGAAGTAAACATAAGTGAGAAAATTGCAAATCCAGAAGTCGTATTATCAGCAAGTCAGCAGGTGCATAATTTTGAAGCTACAATGGAAAGGGGATCAATCAAACCTATCTTAACTAGGCAGTATATAATTTAGCACAGAGGAAAAAGTCTCATTGCAATGATGCATAGGGTAAATACAACATATTTCCCCACAAGAAAATCCAACATATTTACCATTCGATAATACTATAGTAATGGAGACAATCTTATTCTATTGATGAATATAAAAACAACACAAATTTAGGTCAGCCAGATCGAATTTACTTACAAGGAATTTGACGCCCCCAAAGAGGAACAATCCCTTTGTAAAGACTGCAATATTTGAAAACAAAAGTTGTGACATCACAAAATCCAATGCTTTTATATCACATTAAAGTGAACGCCAGTAGAAAGAAATCAATTCAAATTCTAATACAATAAAAGGATTTATGTACCCCAAGGCACCCTCGGATTTAATGAACTTGGGGAGCCCATCGCCAAGCCCACGAGCAAATCCAGGCTGTGTCTGCACACGGACTTTCACAGCTTCGAAAGGGCACAATGCCACATCAGCAATGACCTCCGCAGAAGCTGAGCCAGCAAGGTATATGAGCGTCTTATATTTCTGAGCGTACTCAGGTCCTGCAATGTCTGAGTAGTACTTCTTAAAGAATTCATAAAACCCAAACTTGCAGGCGCCCTGAGCACTGTAGCCAAGAAGAGTGGGAACCCAGCCCCTGAAGAAGCCCCTGACTCCTTGCTCCTTAGCCAATATTCCAAACCCAGATGTGATGCTCTTGTACTTTGCTGGATCAATCTGGTAATGGTTACAAACATAATCATGTTAGAACGATCAATGATCTTCGGACAAACCAACAAAACGATGTATACCTTTTGTATATGTTCTCTATGTAAATATATATACCTTCTAACAATGCACCCAGTAATGTACTAAAGCAGGCATTATAATTTGAGGTGCGGCACAACATAACCATGTTAATCATAAGAGATGCTAACACTTCCTTAGGAGGAGTGAAAATGTCCACAGGATAGATGGTTCTCAGTTCTCACACAACCGGATTGGCAAGCTATAAAATTCACTAACTCTGTTTAACAAATTAGATCTAATCAGGCACCCGTAATAAAAATTATCGCACATCATCTAATTCCCAAATCAATTATCCTACTATTGATACGCTTCATGTTGATAATGAATTCAAAATAACGAACATCAGCAAATCTACAACTCGCCAACTAAATAACGAGCAAACAACTAATCGGCAGAGTAACAAGGAATCTATACAAATAGATTCAACAATGCTAATCGCTTCGAACTAAATAGCACGCCGACGGATCTAGCAAAAGGCAACCCCGATCCAAACAAGTGCATGAGGCGTGGCATGAACCAATTTCCGGATCTAAAATCTAGCAACCGACCTGCATGTTGCACTTGACGAGGTCGAGCGGGGTGACCGCCATGTGGGTGAGGCCGCAGCTGGCGATGCCCCCGGCCGTGCAGGCGGCGTAGAACGCCGGCGAGTACATCTCGATCTTCTCCCTGGGCGCCTGGATCTCGATCGGCGCGCCCCCTCCTACACCTCCCGGGGCCGCCGCGGCGGGGAGGCGGAAGGCGGCGCCGCCGCCGCCCGCGGTGTACGGCCGCGCCCCCGCCGTCGAGTAGAGGAAGCTCGGCAGGAGCGACTCGCGGGAGCGGTCGGAGAGCGCCATCGCCGCCGCCGCCGCCGCCGAGATCTCGGGCTCTCCTCCTCGCTCTCGCGCTCGCGTCGCTTTGACGGAGACGACGAAGGCGACCGAAAAGTTGGAGGCGGCGGCGGCGCAGTAATAGATGGCTGCTGCGGCTTCCAGAGCCAAAGGAGATATCGGCTCGGCTTGAATCGAGCCGAGCTCGAGCTTGAAAACCTTTTTGAGCCGAAGGCCCACGGCAGCCCACGGGGGCCCACGGCCCAGCCGTCCAGGCGACACCACCTCCTCGATCACAAGGCAGAATCGTGTGCTTCGTCTCGCCGGAGAAGCCATTCCTTCCCGCTCGCCGGCGAGAAGGTTACTGACCTGAGTGACCTACCTCTCGAGCATTCCATGAACTAGTCGTCTTATAACTCAATGTAGCATCGCGCTCTCTTGCCGTAGTGTGGTGGGGCAATGTCGACGGGCGGGAACGGCGGCGGCGTCGGCGTGCGGCGGCGGAGGTGGAACCTGTACTGGTGCTACGTGTGCCGCCGGGCGCTGCGGGTGGTGGTGCCTTCGGCGACGTCCGACGTCTACTGCCCGCGCTGCTTCGGCCGCTTCCTCCACGAGATCGACCTGCCGGTGCCGCGCGTGAGCCCGCCGGCGGAGGACCAGTTCTTCCAGCCGCCGTTCTTGCCGTACGACGGCCCACGCCGCTGGGTCCTCTACACTGGCGGCGGCGGCGGCGGGGACTACGGCGGCGCTGATGTAACGGCGCGCCGCCGCCGCTTGCCGTCGCCACCGCCGGCGCCGGGAACGCGGCGCCAGGACGGTGCAGGCGATGGCGATCCACCTCCACCGGCGCCGGCCATCGATCCGGGGGAGTACTTCGCCGGGCCCGACCTGAACGCGCTGATCGACGCGCTCACGCAGGACGACCGCCCCGGGCCGCCGCCGGCGCCGGAGTCGGCCATCGAGTCCCTCCCCACGGTGCACATCTCGCCGGACCATCTCCCCGCCGACGGCGGCTCGGAGTGCCCCGTCTGCAAGGAGGAGTTCGAGCTCGGGGAGGCCGCGCGCGAGCTGCCGTGCAAGCACGCGTACCACTCAGACTGCATCGTGCCATGGCTCCGGCTGCACAACTCCTGCCCCGTCTGCCGGCAGGAGGTGCCGCCGCCGCCGGAGCCGGACGGTGAATCTCCGGGCATCGACGGCGGCTGTGACGACGGTGTCGGAGGAGGTGGAGAGCCGGCTGAGCCGCCACGGCCGGCCATGGCCGGCTGGGACCCTATTGCGCTGCTGGCGATTGCACTACGGCCGGACTTGAATGGTTGGGAGAACAGCCATGGCCGGAGCGAGAGTGAAGCGGATGACGATGAGGTCGCCGGCGGCGGCGTCAGTACGACGGCGATGATCCATTCCTTTTTCGTTGTCGCAGCTTGTTTCCTCTTCATTTCTTTCCTTGTTTAATAATACATAGAGAACTTTTAGTACTGTGTTTGGAAGTGGATTCTAAACTCTCATGGGACATCGGGTTGTTTACATGTCATATACATAATTTAATTAGATAGATTAATATACAATATATCACTTCATAAACATGCAAATTAAAAATTAATTTCTATTTTAAGTTTGGAAAAAAATTAAACTACGGCTAGTTAACATATATTCACAGTTAAATTTATTTTTTTCGTTGCAACATGTAGAAATTAAATTTGACTTTGCATGTTTGTAAAGTTATTTATCACATATTAATATATCTTATTGATTTTTTTAAAAAAATTATAACCATTTAGATGAAATATATATAATGAGGGGATGCCCCGATAATTTAGAATAGTTTCTGTATCTGTTCATGGTAAAATCAATCCGGATATTTCATCTCTTTCTATACGACTATACCGTTGGTGGATTGACACGACTACACGGAGTACCTAGTATTTTATATGGTACTGTACGTATACGTGTCCAGCTATATATTCAGTGTTTCGACAATTTCGTCTCAACACAGCGTCATTTACACGGTTCTTTAATTATCCATCTCTATCTACGAACTTGCAAGAAAATTATAGCTAATTCATACAATCATTGCTTACTATACTATTAATACCTGGTCCCACCTATCATATCTGTAGCCCGCTGCTTTTCTGTCTCTTTATCTCTTTAAAATATGTTTATAGCTGACTTATAGCCTGCTATTGTACCTGCTCTTAAGGCCCACACTTATTAAAGCGGACAACGACTTTGACATTCTGGGTTTTGCACCCACCAATAATTACTGGAGTTCATGCACTCACCAAACCGGCACTTGACGAACGATGCCGGTGGAATCGGTTCGGATTCTTCCTTTTTGACGAAAAGATCGGGTAAATTTTAGCCAAAGTCACGATTAATTATATCATCATTTTGTATCCTTTGATTTCACTCCTGTCAAAATCGAATTCCCACATTGACTGACTGATCGACCAGGCTGTTTACCTTCGGTGCACACGATAGCGCTTGGTCTGCCAATTATAATGAAATGATGATTAGTGGAGACCTGAGAGGGAGAGACCATGGAGTCAGTCAATGCGTTATGCTCAATGACAGGTGGGGCCTCCTATCCGGTCTCCACTAATAAAAGATTAGGTCAACTCTCGAGTCAATCGATGGACAGTTTTAACCACTACCGAACTAGTCCGACAAATCAAACATAGCAGCTTAGCTCACTTTCAGTTCGTTCGATCTCGCTTCCATTTCTTCGCCATTTGAGCTTTCTTGGAGGCGTTTGATCGATCAGGATGATCGCACGCGATACCGTTCTGCGTTTCGCCGTGCGATTGTTCGTCGTGATCGTCGTCTCGTCTCGTTCTTCCTCGGCCGACGACGGCGGCGGCGACGGCGGCGTCGACTTCATCTACCAAGGTTTCCAGCACGCGGCGAACCTGACCATGGACGGGTCGGCGAAGGTGCTGCACGGCGGCGCGCTCCAGCTCACCAACGACAGCAACCGCCTCGTCGGCCACGCGTTCCACGCCGCGCCGGTGCGGTTTCTCGACGACGGCGCCGGCGGCGGCGGGGGAGGAGTGGTGTCGTCGTTCAGCACGGCGTTCGTCCTCGACATCGTCACCGTCGGGAGCGGCGGCGGCCACGGCCTCGCGTTCGTGGTGGCGCCGTCCGCCACGCTCCCCGGCGCGTCCCCGGAGATCTACCTCGGCGTCCTCGGGCCCCGCACCAACGGGAACGCGTCCGACCACGTCTTCGCCGTCGAGTTCGACACGGTGATGGACCTCGAGATGAACGACACCAACGGCAACCACGTCGGCGTCGACGTGAACAGCCTCGTGTCGGTCGTGTCGGAGCCGGTGGCGTACTACGCCGGCGACGGGAGCACCAAGGTGCCCGTGCAGCTGGAGAGCGCGCAGCAAATCCAGGCGTGGATAGACTACGACGGCGGCAGCAGCATCCTCAACGTCACCGTCGCGCCGGCGACGGTGACGGAGCGGCCTCGCCGGCCGCTCATCTCCACGAAGCTCGACCTCCTGCCGATCTTCAAGGAGAACATGTACGTTGGGTTCTCGTCGGCGACGGGGAAGCTGGCGAGCTCGCACTACATCTTGGCATGGAGCTTCCGGACGAACGGCGTCGCGCAATCCATCGATCTCCGGAGGCTGCCCAAAGTCCCGAGGCAGAGCTCGCCGCCGCCCAAGCTGCTCATCATCAAGTTCGCCGCGGTGGCCTGTGCAGGAACACTCACCCTGATCGCCGCGGCGATGGTCGCCGTGCTCTGGCTCCGGCGAAGGGCGGCGCTCGCCGACACGCTGGAGGAGTGGGAGCTGGAGCACCCTCAGAGGATCCCGTACAAGGAGCTCTACAAGGCGACCAAGGGGTTCAAGGAGAGCGAGCTCCTTGGCGCCGGCGGCTTCGGCCAGGTGTACAGAGGCGTGCTCCGGCGCCGCTCCGGCGAGGCGGTGGCGATCAAGCGGATCTCGAACGGGACACGGCAAGGGATGAGGGAGTTCGTCGCCGAGGTCGCCAGCCTCGGGCGGATGCGCCACCGCAACCTGGTCGAGCTGCGCGGGTGGTGCAAGCACGACCAGGACCTGCTCCTCGTCTACGAGTTCATGCCCGGCGGCAGCCTCGATGCGCGGCTGTTCGGCACGGCGGCGTCGGCGGCGGCGGCGGAGGGGGTGAAAGCGCCACCGCCGCCGCCGCTTCTGACGTGGGCGCAGCGGTTCGCCATCCTCAAGGGCGTCGCCCATGGCCTGCTCTACCTGCACGAGGAGTGGGAGCACGTGGTGGTGCACCGCGACGTGAAGGCGAACAACGTGCTCCTCGGCGCCGGCGACACGGGGGCCGCCCGGCTCGGCGACTTCGGCCTCGCGAGGCTCTACGAGCACGGCGCGACGCCGGCGACGACGCGCGTGGCCGGCACGCTGGGCTACATGGCGCCCGAGCTCACGTTCACCAGCCGCGCCACGACGGCCACCGACGTGTTCTCCTTCGGCGCGCTGCTCCTCGAGGTGGCGTGCGGGCGCCGCCCGATCGAGCCGGCGGCGGCGGGGGAGGCGGACGGCGACGTGCTCCTGGTGCGGTGGGTGCGAGACCGCGCGCTCGACGGCGACGGCGGCGGCGGCGACGTGCTGCGAGCCGTGGACCCGAGGCTGGAGGGGTGCTACGACGAGGAGGAGGCGAGGCTGGTGCTGTGGCTCGGGCTGATGTGCAGCCAGGCGAGGCCGGAGGCGAGGCCCAGCATGAGGCAGGTGTGCCGGTATCTCGACGGCGAGGAGATGCTGCAGGAGGACGCCACGCCGGCGGCGATCTTCTCCGGCGCCGACTCGTCCGATCTCTTCGGTGGCTCGTTCGTCGTGTCCATGACGTCATCCTCCGCCGGCGGCACCATGTCGGCCAGCTCGCTGCAAGGCGGCCGGTGAACTATAGAAGTATACTGTATAACTATACTGTACTGAATATGAGTGTGTTGTGTGTACAGTAGTGATTGCTCAAACAAAATTCAGAGAAGTGATATGGATGTAGCCCAAACAAAAGAATCTGAATTTTTGTCTACTCCTCACTCCGTTTCAAAATGTTTGACACCGTTAAATTTTTTAGTACGTGTTTGACCATTCGTCTTATTAAAAAAAAGTAATTATTTATTGTTTTCACATCAAATTGATTCATTGTTAAATATACTTTTATGTACACATATAGTTTTACATATTTCATATTTTTTTTAATAAGATGAACGGTTAGATATATGCTAAAAAGTCAACAGTGTCAAATATTTTGAAACGGATGGAGTACTGGAATCAAAAATCAGATTACAGCTTGGTTGCGGGGGGTTTTTGTCGATTTCCTCACGGTGAGGTGCACCAAATCCTCGCCTCCCAATTAGCCCTAATACCCACGAACCGACGAACGTGCTGGGCCGGCACAACAAGGCCGGCCCACGGCGTCTCTTATTTTCTCGCAGGCCCGTGGCTGTGGGCCGTGGGAATTCGCGTGGGCCGTGTCTGGTTCCGCGGTGGGGACAGGCCGCAGGCTGCGAGTTGTGGACGGATCCAGGTCGTCCACAGTAACATCAGAGATTCCAAGTCTGCCACAGTGATGAATCAATGCATCAAACAATATCCAAACACTGTAGCAAAGTGCTGTATAAACAATAATTATTGCCGTTTGAATGATTACTGTTCATATTTACTGTAGAGAGCTGCTGTATCACTTTGTTTTAAACCATTGGATGTGGATCCAACGACAAACAACATACCCTATTGGACTGCACTGGTTAAATGAGTGGATGAGAACTGGTTGTGGGCTAGCCTTTTAGGCCTTGTTTGTTAAATGAGTGGATGTTTAGAATTAAACGAGGTGAAATAAATACATGGCTGTTAGATCATAGTGGATCCACCAACTTTATGCTGTTAGATCATAGTGGATCCACATTAAAACCGAGCGATATATCTTTGTAAAAAAATAATTATATATGTGAAACACAAATTAAGAGCTAGTATATATCAATTATATCAAAACCAATTGTTTTACTTTCAAAATCTACTTATATAGGAATGCTAATTAAAATATATAGAAGTTAAGAGTTGAATATTAAATCCAATTTTACTTTTAAATTTATTGAATCTAAACTACCATGTACCTCGGAAAAAGAAATCCAGTTTCCGAATCAAATTCTTTCAAAATCTAGCTTTGCACAAAATTGTACCGGAAGATATACGAGTTTTATTTTAAAAGCAGGTAATTTTAAATTTTCCATTACGCGGCTTGACAACCAAGCTAACAACAAACAGGCCGGGTTCAACAAACTACCTGGGGGTTGAATCCCAGCTGTTCAACCAAAAACAGAAACAAAACAAATTAAAATACGAGTTACTTTTAAAAGAAAAAGATAGAAACCATTTGCATATAACCAAATAGTGAGATGCCATAATACTTGTTTATCCATATTGTACTTTTCAAGTAACTTTTACAAATGAAACAAGCAGTTGTAAGGAGGTTAACTCCATGGAAAGCTACCTTAAAACATGTAGCTCCATGAGAGCTCCTCCAGAAATGCTTCATTAGCTCAATTATTACAAATGTCTACATCGAAAATCGAATCAAAATATCATATATATGAAATTAAATTTACTGTATAATATATCATACCATGCATGGCCATTTCTGATTAATTACTTGAGATTAATAACGATTAGTCAGTTGCTCAATTGCTTCTTCCTCTTTGACTCCACTTCAGTCCAGAGAGGAGAAGCTCCAGAGCGCAATGTCGCCTTCCTCCTCCCAGCCGCACTCCTCCTCCATCGCCATCGCCGGCGGCGGCGGCGGCGCGAAGAACGCGCTGCACGGGTCCATCATGGCGTACTCCATGCACTTGGGAGACTGGAAGAACGCCTCGATGTCGGCGAGCAAGCTGTAGTCCACGTCGACGTCGCTGATGACCGTCTCCGGGGAGCTCACCGGCGACGGCGAGGCGGCACCATCGCTGGAGCTGCAGGCAGGTGTGCTGGCCTCGCTGGCGCTGGCGCCGCCGCTGTCGTCGACGCCGGCGAAGACGGCCGCGCTGCAGCTGCTGCTGGCGTTGGCGTTGGCATTGGCGGCGGCGGCGGCGGCGACGCGCTGGATGGACTTGGGCGACATGGCGGCGGCGGGGAGGTCGAACGGGAGGCGGACGGGGAAGTTGAGGTCGGCGGCGGCGGAGCCCTTGAGGCAGAGCAGCGCGGCGTCGTAGGCGCGCGCCGCCGCCTCGGCGGTGGAGTAGGATCCCAGCCATATCCGCGTCTTCTGGCTCGGCGCCCTGATCTCCGACACCCACGACCCCCAGCTCCTCATCCTCACCCCCTTGTACGCCGCCCTCTTCCCATCACCGCCGCCGCCGACGCGCCTCGCCGCCGCCGCGCCATTGCTCGCCGCCGTCTTCACCATGTCAAAACGTTTGATGGCTTGAAACGCAAGTGATCTCTCGTTGTGCCTCGCTGTCTGATGCTGCTGCTGCTGCTGCTGCTGCTCAGTGTGTGTGTGGCGTGTTTGACACTTCGATGTGGCTTCCTGTATTTATAGGGCACAAACCATGTCAGAGACTGTCCTAATGTGTAGTGTGATTTCATCATGTGTTTGTTTATTAGTAATTACTATAGGTATAGTTACAACAAGTTTTAGAGTCGGACACGATTATTAAGAAAGTAGGTAGAAGTGAGTGCTGGAGAGTTGTGATTGGATGAGTAGTAAAGGTATGGGGGAAAAGTGGATAGTGGAGGACTGTGATTGGTTGGATTGTTGGAAAGAGAATGTTGGTGGAGAAGTTATTATATTTTGAGACAAATCCTAATAGCTAAAAGTTGTTATATTTTGGGACGGAGGATTACTACCAATTTGTTGATCAGTTGAATAGTGCTTGCTAGTATTATGTTCACATCAGGCAGATACTGTGACAAATAATTAATATGCGATCGATCGATCTCCATTCTGAGTCGTACTACGTTTTAATCGGCAAATAATGGAGAGAGGAAATGAACTAGGAAGCATCGTCCTGTGCGTTAGCTAGAATGGATCAATGTTTGAGTAAGCATAGATGTGTGCAGCAGCAGCATAAAAATAATGATAATAAGATTAATAGGGTGATTAGATTAGACCTTAATGTGGCTTATTGTAATGGGACTCTTAATTACGTAGTACACACAGCTGGCTTACGGCCAATAATTTAAGCCGGGTACGAAGTGTTCGTCAAAGTGTCAACTACACCAAGCTGTCACTTTGGAAACGGATGAAGCTCATGCTGACGGCCATGGCGTACTAATGTCACTTTTGTCAATGATGCAACATGGCTAGTACATTGCAGCTATGTACAGTAGAGCTTGTGTTGGTAAACGGCTGCGTGTGCTTTGCTCGTGTAGGTCAATCGCTGTCATGTGCAGCCATGCATTGAGGTTTTGCTTAAAATTCAGAGCTAAGCTACTAGTATTAGATTAGTACTATTGTGTTTGAAGAACAGATGCTTTGGTCATTGAAACTGTACTAGTTAAGAATAATCACGCGACTTAACCGGCCATCGCGTTAGCAATTAGTAGCACACATGTGATTAGTTTAGTCGCTCCTCCCAGCTGTAACAACCTGCCGACGAATTGACCGCGCGTTAGATCACGACATGCGTAAAAAAAAATAAAAATCGGGGAAGACGGCTGCTTGCTGGTGCTGTTCAGTTCGGCCAATGAACAGCAGTGGGAATTCACACATATACTTCTTCTCCAGAGATTAGAGAAAAACACAGCAGCGCGCAGCTGTAAGCTGGCAGAGTAACATGCGATCTAGCTAATCCCTCCCTTCGAAAATAAATTTAGGTTATAAAAATTTTTAGCATTGCCCACATTTATATATATTATAATGAATCTGTCACGCTAGAAAGTCTTATAACCTGAAACGGTTATAAAAAACCAATCTTGTATAAGATGTGACATATCATAGTATTATAAATCTAGACATACCATATGTTGCACTCCCTCCATCCCATTTTAAACGTATCTATGAGTTTTCGTATCTAACTTTAATCGTATGTTTTATTTGAAACATTTTTTTAAAAAAAACTAAAAACATAAGTCATGCATATTACTATTCGTGTTTTATCATCTAACAATAATAAAAATACTAATAATAAAAAGTTCAAATAAGATGACAATCAAAGCTGGACATGGAAACTCATAACTACGTTTAAAATAGGACAGAGGTAGTAATGGAATGTGTCACATTCAATTCAGGCCTGGTTGGTTTAGTTACCAACTTTTTCTTCAAACTTCAAACTTTTTCATCACATCAAAACTTTCATACGCACACAAACTTCTAACTTTTTCATCACATCGTTTTAATTTAAATTAAACTTTTAATTTTGGCGTGAAATAATCACACCCTCAGCTTTTTTTATGGGATGGGGTGGTAAGGGCCGCGGCAGCTTCGTGGATTCCGGCGGCGGTGTACGGGCGTCAGCACGGAGAGGGGGATGGGCAGGCAGCGGAAAAGCCGTACGAATCCGTGTGATTCTGGTGAGATCAGGGGGCAGGGGACGAGGAGCTGGAGCTAGCTAGCTGGAGCTAAGGTGGTGTTTGGATCCAGAGATTTAACTTTAGTCTCTGTCTTTAGACACTAATTTAGAGTATTAAATATAGACTACTTACAAAACTAATTACATAAATGAAAGCTAATTCACGAGACAAATTTTTTAAGCCTAATTAATTCATAATTAGAGAATGTTTACTGTAGCATCACATAGGCTAATCATAGATTAGTTAGGCTCAATAGATTCGTCTCGCGAATTAGTCCAAGATTATGGATGGGTTTTATTAATAATCTACGTTTAATATTTATAATTAATATTCAAACATCCGATGTGATAGGGACTTAAAAGTTTTAGTCCCATCTAAATAAGGCCTAAGCTTGCACTGAGGTTGCAGGGAGAGACCGGGTGGGTGGGTGGGATTCGGAATATGGGCGGGCGGCCGCGGCCTCCCAAACCGCGTTACGTACTATACGTAGGAGTAGCAGTGTGTGGGTGTACCGTGTACGCAGTACTACGCTGCATCATTGCTAGCTCAACGGTGCGTGATGCGAGCAGTACCTGCCGACGACAGTTACCCAAACGAATATATGGGTGTGTTTAGTTCATGCTAAAATTGAAAGTTTGGTTGAAATATGAATAATGTGACGAAAAAAATTAAAAAATTATATGTGTAGGAAAGTTTTGATGTGATGAAAAAGTTAAAAGTTTGAAGAAAAAATTTAGAACTAAACTCGGCCTATATAGCGTAAACTTGAAACCTCGTATATAAGATAAAAAGATGGATGTTCAAGAATAAAAATGTTACTCCTTCCGTCCCAAAATAAGTGTAGCTGTGAATATCCGTGCCCAACGTTTAACTGTCGTCTTATTTGAAAAATTTAAAAATATTTAGTCACACACAAAGTACTATTCATGTTTTATCATCTAATAGCAATAAAAATACTAATCATAAAAAAATTTTAAATAAGACGAATGGTCAACGTGAATAGTGTAAAACTACACTTATTTTGGGACGGAGGGAGTAGTTCTTATATTTGCACTATATATATATTTTTTCATGTTATACTCTCCATTCACGTAAGCAACCCAAAAGCAAAAGCAGATTAAAATAGCTTCACATGATGTATGTCAGTAATGTACTTCTAAAAGAACTAACCACACGTCCCCACCATTTTTATGTTGGGTACCTGGTTACCAATGGTTTGAAACATTTAGAGTTAAATTCAATAGGTAACAGCCAGAGTTTGCTGGTTGGCATGGTAATTGTGTGATGAAACGAACTTATGTCAAGTAGTTCAGACTTCAGAGTTTGTTGCCACACTGATTAATCATCACCTCATAGTCATAGCTTGAGAGTACTTAACCATACGACTTCGATTATGAAACAAATGGAGAAAGCATTAGTCAATTAACTAGTTAGGCTAATGTATTACTACTTACTTACTGGAGTAGTTGTTTAGCCCGATACCTTCAGTATGTATGAATCTGAACGCATGCATGCCAGGGGTTCAGAAAACGGCCGGCACTCTGTTCCATATTCACCTTCTCGACGTCCCTCGCTTTGCATTGCATGTGACATGCATCTCCACTTGCCATGTTGCCAGGTGAACACTTTGACAGAGATTTTTCGCAATAAACCAGTGTCTTCTGACGAAAAGAAAAGATGCTTAGAAACGTAATAAAGCACGCATTAGCAAGCAAAAAAAAAAAAGCTTAAACAACCCAAATCAGAGCCCGACCAGTTGCGTCTCGCCGTGGCCCACACCGAGACGCGTTTTAACAGCCTAGCTCGCAGAAGTGATGTGCTGATGCAGGTGTGACACATCCAGTGATGAGGACAAAAAAAATGTCAATTTTATTTTTGTGCTCTTTCGGTTAGTTCGTCAAACCGGGGCGAATGGACAGCGGCAATAGTTGTTAATCTTCTGGGGTTTTTTTTCTTTCTTTTTTTGCGTATCTTTCAGCTCGTCAGATGTGCAGCTGGAATGCATTGGGTGCAGGAGATAGTTGCAGTGGATGGGCAGGGTTAGGAAGAAGCAGAGAAGCTTCCTCCCATGGCCATGGCCAAGCTAGAGGTTACTGTTCCTCAAAGAAAATGAAAAAGAAGCAGAGACTATTCATTCACATGGGTAGTCTCTTTTTTTGGCCTAAAAAAGCACAAGCATATATCATCTCGTTTTCGAGCTGACAGCATGTTGATCTGACGCGTTATGCTGATCTGAACTAATGATCCGACAATGTTAACTCTGGTTCAGTAGTTCACTTCAGCCCACAGTTCATGAAAACCTGATGAAAAAAAGGGCCTCAGCATGCGGAAATCCTGTTGGGCGGGTGTGCCCCTCTCGTACAGTAGAGTATATACTCCTCCCTCCTCTCCCCCCTTCCTCATCCCCTTCTTCTCTTCTACTACAGTACACCACACAAAATTTTTTAAAAAACAAAAGTTAGAAAAAATTTATGTATAGAAATACTATATATAAAAAATTTGAATTCAAATTCAAATTTGAATTGGGCATGTAAACTTTTGACTTATAAACTTTGGATCTATAAACTTTAGGTGTATAAACTTTAGATGTATAGAAATACTATATATATATATATAATATTTGAATTCAAATTTGAATCGGGTATATAAACTTTAGGTGTATAAACTTTAGGTGTATAAACTTTAGATGTATAGAAATACTATATATGAAAAATATTTGAAATCAAATTTGAATCGGATATTTGAATTCAAATTCAAATTCAAATTTAAATCGGATATAATTCAAATTTAAATTTGAATCGGATATAATTCAAATTTAAATTTGAATCGGATATATAAACTTTTGACTTATAAACTTTAGGTCTATAAACTTTAGGTGTATAAACTTTAGATGTATAGAAATACTATATATAAAAAAATATTTGAATTCAAATTCAAATTTGAATCGGATATATAAACTTTTGACTTATAAACTTTAGGTCTCCAAACTTTAGATGTGTAAACTTGAGGTGTATAAACTTTAGGTGTATAAATTTACTAAAATAGAATAGTAATACGGTGCCAAAAAAGGAAACGGAGGGAGGGGGGAGGAGGGTAGCGAATAGCGGGCGATCAATCGTCCATTAGGGCTCAGCATGATCATCACCAGCATTAGCATATAGTTCGAATTTTGTCGCGTCAACTGACAGTTCACAGTAGTTTCAACATCAGACATGTTCACCAAATATTATAATTACATCGTGTGTTTACACCTCCTAAATTGTACTGGTTTATTCATTGTATATTCATCACTGGTTCGTAGTGATACATGACAGTTCAATTGGCAAAAGGGAAAAAAAATGCCAAGAGAAAACGCGGATGTGGTTTCCCAAAGAAAACAGATAAAACCAGCAGAACTACAGGTAGACCAATCCAGCCGTGGACTTGAACACCACACTGTCGCAGTTCATAAATTCGTATATGTGTACAGATTGATCTGCTTACACAATCATTAAAAATACAATGTTCAGCAGATATGCATTATTCCCAATTCCCAACATGTTTATTATGGTATGGTTGGGCCTGAACCATTTCTGAGAAAACTGTATCTTTGAGGGTGGCTTCTTTCCTGCAACTCCAGTCTTCCAACATGAGGTGAAAGTACATCAATGGTACACTTTATGCAATAGCAGTTTCCTATTATGAATCAACCTTTGAAGGAGCTCAGTGCTCTAATAATATGTTCATACACTTTGATGCCCCTTAGGAATACTTTATCCTCCAGAAACTGCGAATTCAAGACATCTCTTAGCTTGAGCATCACATTGTATCCAAGATTAAACAAGAGCAAGCCAAGATGGTTTACCTCATTATTGTCATGAAGTAATATAGGAGTGTTTGTCATCGGAGAAAACCCAAGGGCCGGAATGCCCAACTGCCTGATGAAGCGTGAATCCGTGGTTGAAGATAAAATCTCAGGCTTAGCTAGCTTTCCACCTGCAGATATGATAGCCTGTTCAAATACAGACCACCAAGGATTTGATGCATTGGTTGGTGTGACCATGGGGCGTCCTGCCAAATCCCGTGTTGGTCCTTTCTGCATCAGCTGTGCACGGTAAACTTCAGGAGGTCAGCCATTTTGGCAATACATGAGTTTGTTGATACAGAACTAAAGTTATTTTCTGTTGATAGTATAGAACTGCAACAGTTTCACCTTGTAGGTTAAGTTTTTATGAGCTGGTGCCCATTCCTCTTTGATTCTTCTTATGATATGTTCCACGTCTTCAGTTGGAGGAAGTCGAAAATCAAAACCAACTTCTGCTTCTGAGGGTTGCATATTCATTACAAAACCCTGCATCGATTTGCCTTTAGATTCTTAAAAGCCAAAATAAATAAACAGTACACTGATGCTCAATTCAGTGAATGCCACCATTTTCACTAGAACTTTGTTATTTTATCTAAATAGTAGGTAATAGATACCTGGAGCTAAAATTGATAGTTGGTGCCCAGAGCAAGTTGTTAGCAGGATAAAAAAATAGTGCCACAGATAATGTGCAGCCAAATTTAGTCAAAGGAACTGTTAGTGAAACAAAAGGGATGCTATATAATGATAGTGGGAATGTGGGATTCAGCATGTGATCTTCTTATGTATAGGATAGTTCAGATCAAATGCAATTACTTGAGACGTGGCACTGCTAATTTCAGGTGATAGGTATATGATTAATTGAAAACCACTCATATTCAAAAGAAAAGAAAAAATGCCACTGAAATATTGGGATGGTCAGCCCTTCAACTTCCTCTATTGAAATGTATTTCGTATTGAAATGGCCCTTCAACTTTACTTCGATGGTTGTGATCCATCAGCGATCAAAGATTTCATTTGGTAAGTTTTGACTAATTTCACCTCCTCAGTTATCTTCCTCTTTTGAACCCCTTGATAAGTTTCTACAAATTGGTGGCATTGGCCATACTGGATTTTTCTCAATGCTAACCAAAGATTATGTGTCCTTTAAGTAAGTGAAGCTAGAAACATGTCATGCCCATAGCTAAAGGATTTATCACACACAAAGAAGATTTGTGACAAGTGTCAACATCTAATCCTCGCACTTCAACTGTTGCATGCAGAAACAAGCAAAATTCAACAAAAATGGATAACAAAATGCAAGTTTTTCCCGTTGTTGTAAAGAAAATAACAAAGGCATGGAAATGAACAAAAGTAACAGACCATAGGACTAGAAATCAACAAAAGGAGACGACAGCCAAATATGGTCACTTGTTACGGCTTAAGGACAAACTCTACATTTTGGCCACTAATTTCAATAGGTTAAATCTCAGCGTAAATAAATGTATACAAATTGTTGTAAAGCCACATATTTGATGCTACAGTGATGGACATGTGAGTGTGTGCACCCTTTACAAGAACAAAAAAAAAAGAGATAGAAATTCTCCCTTAAATATTCTATCTAAAAAGATGAAAGGATACAAGTTTATATTTTGCTTCAGTCTTCATGTTGCTATGAATTGGTGCATAAAAAAGTATACTCCCGAGCCCTGCATCTTAAGTTTGACTAGTCCCTTTTTAATGTATGCTTATGATTAATCATTCATTTGTTCATCTGAGTTAGGGAGTTGACTAAGTGTACAACTTAGCATGCTGATACTATTACCTGTGCTAAAAAGTATAGTAAAAAGTTACATGTAAAGATATAATGCTTTGTGCATAAAACTATGAGCTAGTACTACACTAATTGAAGCAGCAGACATAAGTATAGCAATAAACAGCATGATTAAATAGTATCTCTCAACTATTATCAAGGCTATAAAGTTAATCACAACTCCCAACACACTATTGCAGGAAGAACTAAGATTTTAATTTTGGAATAGGTTACTTCTCTTGGCTATTTAGGTGATGTCGACAACGTTGTCTAACCATCACAAACCTTAGAATCCAGTTCCTCGCAAAGTCACGAACATTGCATCATCTTCTCCTAAGCTAATTAGTTAGTAGTGTAGAATTGTTCATTTGTTCTTACCGTGGGGCTCGGCGTGCCAGCCTTCATGTACACAGGATTCACAGACACCACCTCCCCGGGACCTCTCTTCCCGGATTTCACCATCCCGAATTGCGCCTCCCTGAACCCGGCAATGGTCTCCACGCAATCCATCAAATTCTCCACCGCGGCGCCGTCGAACAACTTCGAGCCATGGCCGGGTGCGCCGGTAGCCTTCACGATCAGCCTCCACACCAACCTGTCCCCATAGAAAACCCTAAATTCATCCGTCAGCGACGCCTGCCCTTCGTCGAGCATGAACCCGACATTGAGGTCCCGGAACTCCTCCGACTGGGCGAACTTCTCGAACCCGTCGGCGCCGCCGATCTCCTCGTCGGGGACGAGCGAGATGTGGAGGGTGCGGGTGGGGGCGAACCCGGCGTCGCGGAGGCCGCGGATGGCCTCGAGGTACTGGATGGGGAGGCACTTGTCGTCCTGCGCGCCGCGGGCGTAGACGCGGCCCGTGGCGGCGTCGCGGTGGGCGGCGAAGGGCGGGTGGAGCCACTGCTCGGGCTCCGCCGGGACGGAGTCGAGGTGGGAGTTGAGGAGGAGGGAGGGGAGGGAGGGGTCGGTGCCCGGCCACGTGAGGAGGAGGAGCGGCTTGGACTTGCACGGGGTGAAGTGGAGCGTGGCGGCGCGGAGGCCGAGCGAGGCGGCGTAGGGGAGGAGGAAGGCGGCGGCGCCGGCGTAGTCCGGGGACGGGTGGGCGGTGCGGATGCGGAGGTAGTCCTGGAAGCGGCCGATCTGGGCGGACTCGAGCTCGGTGAAGGCGCCTGCTGCTGGTCGCGCGACGACGGCAGAGAGGAGGAGGAAGACGACGGCAGCGAGGAGGCGGCGGCGGTGGCGCCGCCGGAGATGAGGCATCGTGAGGTTGGAGTGTGGCTTCAGCTTCATTTTTCCTCTTTTTTTCTTTTTTTAAGAAAAAAGTGTGGCTTCAGCTTGACATTCGCTTCAACCAGATGTCAATTGAGCTGTTCATCAGAGGCCCAACCAGCCCAGCAAAGGCCCAAAGCTGTTTTCTCATTTTCTTTTTCAAGAATTTTCAAATTTAGCTGAATTTGCCCGTTTCAAATCTAGCCATTTGAGATAACTTCACAAATCACAATGATCACCCAAAAGTTGGCTGAATAATTCCAGAACCAATTCTGAACATGTTTTGCACACAGTAATAGTACAGGTTGCTTGCTATTGAATTCATGTATAGAGTATCAACCAACTGTATTTGACCGTCACATGAGCTGTTCGAAATTAAACATGACAAAAACTCTCCCTTTTTCCTAAGGTAAGTTAACACTGGAGTACACATATCAAACAAGGGATCGGTTTAGATGAGCTTCTTCTTCCGGAAGAACCCTTGAAGATGCCACAACTGCAAAACGGACACCACGATGCAGACTCCCAGTGACAGGATGCTAAACCATGCAACCCTAGAATTTGTTTTCTCACTCACTGTCCGCATCTCCGCTTCCCTGCAAAGACAGATCGAATAATGCATTATTCCACGCGCTGCAGATTCCAAATGACATGCTAGTGTGCAGGATCACCATATGCAGGACAAACTACAGCAATAATTTTGTATCGGTTTCAAATTTATTCTGTGCCATGCTGGATCACCATATGCGAAGGTAAGTCCAGGACAAATTCACAGGGCAGCAATTCATTTTTATAGGGAGAAAAGATATGATCTGATATGTTGCCTTTCCATGGAGATAAGCTCAAGCCTTAAATGGCACTCTCAGGATTACATTACTGCTCCCAACTATCTTGTCTGCAGTAGGGATCAGTAAAACTGTATACATATGCAAATATCAAGTAGATAAGAGTAATTAAAAACAAGAAAAGATGTGAGTAGATAGCTCACCTTGCTTTGAGATATAATAGATTGTGATGAATGGATTCCACCGCAGCTTCAAGTTTCCTGAGTTCTAGTTCTACACCCTGGTCAACAAAAATTCAGATAAGAAAAACAGCAAAAAGAGACAAAACAATGCTTAACACGAGTGCAGCAGGACTAGATTATATATGATTAGTCCATAGCCACACCTCAATTTTTTCCTTCTTAGCAACAGTGTCCCAATCCTTTGCCGCAATCCCTATCTTCCAATCAAGATTTAGGGATACTCCTGATCCTTTCTCCGGACTGTCTAGCCAGAAGCACGCAAGGTAATTTCCAGCTTCTGAAGTTGTAAACGCAAACTGACCCGTTGTGGCATTCTCATTGTGATGTACAGTATTACCATATGGTGAGGTAACCTAAACAAATCACAAACATGTGAATTTATAGTGTTTTGGTAAAGAAGCCAAAAGAGGACCATGCTCGTAGATATACAAGTATACAACATGAAGAACTATTAAACATGATGGTTATATCTGTGTGCAAGACATAAATAGCTTTGCAGCATTCACATTATTCTAGGAAAAAGATAAGTTGATTTGAAATACTCGGTGGGTAAAAAAAAAAAAGCAATACTAAACTGATTTATCAGTCACCATAATTTAAATTTGCTTCCTTGCCTTGCGTGCTTGATTTCTTCAAAAATTAACATAAAAGGCTTTGCCTTTTCCAATGAATCATGAATCATGATAATAGCAGAGAAAATGGATTAACATGTTTCCCTAAAACCCTTGATTGCGCAATCTATGATACATGAATACTGGCGTTGCAGTTAATTCCAAAAGTTATTGGTAATGCCTAGTCACAACATTAATTCTGAACAAAAATAATCACGCATTTGTTCGACCTTGATGTAAGTACCTACAAGTATGGTATTTTCTAATTTTCAATGATAGGTGCCAAAAAGAAAAGGCGAAATCTTGCATGCAAAGTTACTTAGGAGACTGCAATCCTGCATAGGGAATCTCAAATTAAAGAGCTATCCCCATCTGAAGCAAGGAGCAGGTGGAATCTGAGCCAATTTGTATGATGTGCACCAAATTTAGCTCACGGGTTTTACCTTGGCTGCCTCTACCCTGAGAGATGCACTTAGAATAGATTGGTTACTATTATGAACTGCCCAATACAAGGTATTCCTACCAATTACCAGGTATTCCTACAAATATTGAGTATGTACACTATTACCATAAAATTCATAGTTTTTAACTCTAGAAAGATGTATCCTCCTTCGGATTATGCGTGAATACTCTTCTTGTTCTTAAACCTGAATATCTAACTTAATTCGTTCGAATTATCACGGTACTGAATTTCTTCTCAGATAAAGAAGGCCAATCTACTAACTACAGCTTAATTCTCCCAAAACAAAAATCAGAGCGACATAACGGCCACACTAAAGATCCCAAAACGCCTCAAATTCACCGATCCAGATCAAAGACCACGACCCGAGAAACATAAAAAAAAAAAACCCAGCACTCCAATCCAAGCTACTACCCCGAAGAGGCGAAGACGAGGAGGGAAGCATCGCGGCCGCGGGGGGGTTTTTACCTTGACGGCCACAGTGGGGTGCGCGGTGGGGTGGGACTCGTACATGAGGGCGTAGTCCGCGAGCACCACCACGTTGGGCTGGATCTCCTCGGACACGCACTTGGTCCCCGTCGGCGGCAGGTCGAGCCACACCGCCTCCACCGCGCCGCCGCCCAGCAGCAGCGCCACCACCACCACCATCGCTGCCACCGCCGCCATCGCCGCCGATCTGGATGCCCCCACTCTCTCTCTCTCTCTCTCTCTCCTTCTCCGGTCGCGGGGAGTCGTGGGGAAGCTTGGACTAAAAACGAGGCGAGCACGAGTTAATGGCGTGCGGGGGGAGGGAGGGGTGTGTTGGTGATTTTGTAGTTTTTCGGAGGGGGTGCACGTGAAGAAATTTCCCTCGGGACTCTGACGGGTGGGCCCCGCGCTCACGGGTTTGGTTTAGGCTCGGGATTGGGGGTGTGGGCCCCCACGTGACGGGAGCAACTGGGCTTTCGTTGCTTGAGGGATTTGGGCCGTGGCGTCTCTGAAGAAGAACTCGTGTTGGTTGGGCCTAAAGTACATTCATGTACTTGGAGAGTAGGAGAAGAAATAGGTCCACTTTGACTCCCTTTACTAGTGGCCGAATTTGATTCGTACCCTGAACCACAAAACCGGATATCTCGATCCCCCCAACTAATTGAAATCGGTGCAATTTGACTCCCTCAACGGTTTGGGGCATGTTTTCGTTGACGTGGCATCCCAGTCATAAAACAATAAAAAAATAAGTGGGACCCACCTGTTACCTTATTTCTCCCCTCCATTTCTTCTTCTCGGGCACCCCTGTGCCCCATATTCGCTGCGACCGCTGCGGGCCGCTTCTCAGCGTCATCAACATTCCAAGTTTCCAACATTCGCCGTCGCTGCTACTGCTCCTCCTCTGTCCCCGTTGTCGCCACTGCCTCCTTGTCCTCCTCTTCTACGCCTGACGCCGCGGTGTCCGCTGCCGAGCTGGAGCTCATGTAGCGTGGTAGAGGCAGGCCTGCATTTCGAAGCCTTGTTTAGGATCTACCGTCGCGTCCCGTGCAAGCTCGACCGCATTCGCATGCTGCTCATATACCGCTCCTATCACGTGTTCCTTGGGTACTCGCCGCCCCTGCCTTTGTAGCTCACGTGGCTGCTCGTCCCATCCCCCGGCGGGCCTACCTTCTCATGCCTCCTCAGCAGCGCCAATGAGCTCAGCGTCCATCGCGTTGGCATCCCCGCTGACTTGCGAGGTGGGTGGCGATCGCTACAACAAAGGCGGCGGACGGTCGTCAGGAGGGAGAAGGGCGTGGAGCTCCAGGGATGGAGACGCAGCCTGACGGTGGTGTGCTCGGCCAGTCGAGAGAGGCGGCATGGATCCAAGGAGGAGATGGTGCTCCTAGGCGATGGTCGGGTCCCTACGGCAAAGAATGTTGGTGAAAAAGTTGTTATATTTTGGGACAAATCCTGAGGGCTAAAAGTTGTTATATTTTGGGACGGAGGGAGTATTGTAGTTTAGTGATATGAATTAGATTGGAGCTATGGGAGTAAGGGTGGACTTATTCCATAGGAGAATCAGATTAGGAAAAGTCCATATTGCGTCCCTCAACTGTGTGGTCGAGTTTGATTAGCATCCCTAAACTGTATAATCAGGTAGGAAGTGACCCCTAACCTTTAAAAACAGTGGAAATTTAAGTTCCTCACTTATTTTGAAAGTGGTTTCGTTCTATATAACAAGCTGACGTAGTCTTTGTCCGACGCGACGCTTAAGTCTTAACCAAATGTACGATAACAACCGAGGGATTAGATTTGCAGCGGTTTTGATAATTAGGAAATGCTCTATACCATAGTTAAGTACGACGGTTATGAAGGGGACCCATAGTTGAAGGATCTAAAGTTAACTTTTTTTTTCTATCAATTAAGTGAATTACAGCTTGAGCTATTTAAGATGAGCTGTTTTGGGGATTTCTTGACCTACCATTCATTCTATCTTCTCCTGCTAATTTAAAGAGTGGCTAATCCCTTTCTCTCTAAAAAAAAACTCAGCAAAGGTGAGCTACTTTTAGGCTATCATTATCCCATGTCTTTACTAAAAGTATAGATTGATTCCTTTAGTTAGCTTAAGTGTGATTAACTACTAGCTCAAGACAAGGATACATGCCGAAATATATATGGTTCGATCAGCGTCATCCTGCACTAAGCTAAAGACATGAATTATGCACAACGGAAAGAGGTTAACTAAAGCTAGCTACCTCTCTCATGAAAAGAAGGGTAGATAGTGACAAATATATTCGTTGCAGATTCAAAGTACACGCTTCTAGCTCTTTGGATCGATGCGACTGGATTCTGTTTAAAGCATATATAGCTAGGCAGCTATAGCTTGTGCGTACTGATCAAGTGTAGTACTTAATTAAGATAGAACAAAACATAATTAGCAAAAGTCGTTAGCTAGCTCAATACGAGTATTAATCAATATTAATCCGTCTCCACGATTGCAGAGAGTACGTCACAACAGACAACGCTACATGCATAACACTTTCATAACACTTGCGTAGTATATCTTATCCATCATTAACTCACACAGCTAATTAATTACTAATCAACAATCTAAACCATCTTAATTACCCCTCAAATTAACACCGTTTGCACGCAAGAGGCGATCGACCATGCATGCACATTGTTGCACGCACATACACACAGAGAGTCAGAGAGAAGCTAGTAGACATCCTTCACCGCCGGCATCTCGACGTCGGCGACGAGCACAGCAAGCTTGCCGTCGCCGTCGCCGTTGGCCTGCAGCGTGGTCAATGGCAAGCCCTTCTCCGGCGCGGCGGCGGCGGCGGCCGGCGGCTTGCCGTTGTCGGCGTGGTCGCCGCCCTTGCCCCAGATGAGCGCGTAGAGCCCCACCACTATGATCACCGCGCCGATCACACTGCAATATCACCAGATGCACTCAATTTAGTCGTAAATTAATCGGTTGAATTAGATAGATATTTTAGCTAATTGAGGTGATTAATTATACCTTCCAAGAGTGATCTCTTCTTTGAGAATGGTGGAGCCCAAGACGGCGGTGATGATCATGCAGAGCGGCTGGAACGCCGTGACGAACACCGGCCCACGCGCCCTCGTCACGAGCCCCTGCACGTAGTACGCCACGCCGGAGCACACTATCCCCTGCAAAATGTTCATCGCGATTTTGATCAGATCGATATGCGTCAATGGCGAAAGATTATTCGTATGCTCGATGGTTGATTGGTAGTTCATAGTTCGCCGGAATTTACCGAGTAGACGGCGGTGAAGAGGCGGGTGTCGAAGCCGATGACCCAGACGCTCATGTCGCGGCGCTCCGCCACGAGCGCGACGGCGCCGCTCATCGCCGAGCCGAGCACGCAGATGAGCGCCGTCAGCGACAGCTCGGCCGGGTAGCTCTGCAGCGTGTTGTTCTGGAGGATGAAGAAGCCCGACCAGCAGACGCAGCTGCCGACGAGCATGACGGTGCCGTTCAGCCAGGAGGACGCGCTGGACGCCGTCGCCGCCGCCGCCGCCGCGCCGTCGACGTGGTGACCGGCGCTGCCGCTCGCCGACGACGACCACGGGAACTGCACCACCGGGCCGTGGTACATGATCATCAGCACGGCGCCGGCCACCGTGAACACCGTGCCGGCGATCTTGGCCTGGCTGTGCAGGCTCCGGAGCCTGACCTTCTCCATCCTGAGGAGGACGGCGAGGAGGAAGGTGACGGCGGGGAGGATGTTGACGAGCGCCGAGGCGAAGCCGGCGGAGGTCAGCTTCGCGCCCATGTAGTATAGGTTCTGATCAAGCACAGGCCTGACATGAACAAGAACACAGATTAATTAATTAACATGTAATTTAATTAATTTAATTAGCAGGTTATTGATTATTCATCCTTGATGAGTACTAGAAAAGAATTGAGTTAGGGGATTATTGGGCACATACTCAAGAATGGCAAGCCCCATGATCTTGAGGAAGATTCTCAGTGTCATCTTGGGCCTCACTCCCCTGAAATAATGCAGAATAGAGATCAATTTTCAGAACAAATTAAGAGTAATCAACCACATGACAGAAGAAGTTAACAATCACTAGCATAATCATATATATGTATCTGGAATAATTGATTAGGAATAGTAGTTTTCAGAAAAAGAATTTGATTAGTTTTTGTTGGATTCTGTTATGTGATCTCCAAATGTGGGGCTTGCACCAGTGTAATGCATATGCATGAAGGATACATGAATGCATATAAGCCATCAGCATCATGTTACCATGTCTGCTTTAGTATGGAGTAGTGCTATTAGTGGGCACAGTATATATAGTTTCTGAATTCCGATCAGCTAGCTGGTGATGCCAACAAACTAACACTTGTGATTTATATTTACCGACAAAAAAGGGCGCCAAATCCGGCTTAGTGCCAGCATATATGGCGGTTAGTTTATCTGGACGTCAAGCTATATGCTATATATATGCAGTTAATTATTCCATGCGTACGTCAGGACGTGTGGTGAACATGCATGTGTCTCAGACTCTCAGAGTGTAATGTTGATAGTGGGAAAAAAATTTTTTTTCCCCAGTTGCAACGTTTCGAATATGGGAGAGTTCAAACAATTAAAACTTTAACCATTAATAACTTTTCAAATATTTAGTTTTATCAAAACACTATAACACAATGTATATATTAGTCATAAACATATTTTTCATAAAATTAGATATTTACTTATTTTTTATATATTATAAAAGAAAATCATAGTTAATATATGTTATATTTTTGGAAATCGTGCCGTTGTCTAGAACATTAAAAATTATGAAATCGGAAATTGCAAATGCATATGCATTTATACCCATGTTTACTTTGAAGCCAGTTTATAGGTACGATATAAGTTTTAACGAAACATACTCTTTCCATTCCAGAATATAACAACTCTAACCTATGAATTTAATTAGTGCATATATACCTAGATTCGTAGATAAAAGTTGGCATATTTTATGATGGAGGTACCATGTAAAGAATAACAACAGAACATCTGAACGATGTTGAAATCTTCATTTGGGTTAATGGTTACCTCTCGAGGAGGAGGGCGAAGGGGGCCATGAGGACGGTGGCGACGAGGTTGCGGTAGACGACGAGGACGAAGTGGTTCATGCCGCGCTTCAGCGACGCCACGGAGACGATGTACATCCCCGCGAACCCCACCTGCAGCAGCACCATCGCCACGTACGGCTTCGCGTCGCTCAGCGCTCGCCCCACCCCCATGGCCGGCGATCGAACAAAGTGCAGAGATCGAGCTGAGGCTGCGTGCGGCGGCGGCGGCGGCGGCGGTGGTCACACGCGAGCTAGCTCCGGCGACGGCGAGCTAAGAAGTAGCTGCTGCTGCTGCTTCTTCTAGCTCTCGATCGATCGCAAGCTGCTGCGGCGACGACGAGGTTGAGAGCTCGGGGAGCCGCGAATTTATAGCGCGCGGCAGATGCGGGAGCCACGTCAGCAGCAGCATGCAGTGTAGGAGGAGAGTGGACACGGTGGCGTGGCGTGGTGGGCCCCGCACCGGTGTGTCGACCGATCGTCGTCAGGTTGGACCATCCATCCGTGCAGCAACCGAGCCTTAGCTATAGCTACGCTAGTTTTGCTGACGTGCGACCAACTGCGAGCTATATAGCTATAGCTTAATTAGCTAAAGATATACTCCATCTGCTTGTGTTTTGGAGAGACATATCCGGACCGCGCATCAGGGTCGAATCTTCTTTTCATTACACGCATATCATATTTACGATGTGTCTGAGAGGAGAGAAAATAAGAAGATACATAGACGAGATGCACTGTTACTGTTGGCATATGATTAATTCAGCATTAATTATTTTAAACTTGAATAATTAATTAGTATGATTTTTTTAAAGCAACATTTTTATAGATTTTTTTTTAAAAATATACTACATCTAGTATTTGGGATGTGCATGAAAAACGAAGGCTTTCTCTTCTCAGTTTTCACCATCTATACACATGCACGGGCTATACTTATTAGCATATGTCTCATCATCATTGGATAGGTTTCAGTAGAAATTCCTACTGAAACCTATCCATCGACGACGAGACATATACAATGTTTTCGTCAATTATAAATATACTTTCTCCGTTTCACAATGTAAATCATTCTAGCATTTCCCATATTCATATTGATACTAATGAATCTAGATTATTCTAGCATTTCCCACATTCATAATGATGCTAATGAATTTAGATTCATTAGCATCAATATGAATATGAAAAATGCTAGAATGATTTACGTTGTGAAACGGAGGGGGTAAAGTTCAAGAATTCGGATATGTTAATAAGTGTAGGGCGTGCATGTGTATAGATAAGAATGTCATTCGTGAGGGTTTACGTTTGTGCCGTGTTTTCTTTTTTTTAGAAAAAAAGAGGTGATCAGGTACGCCATGGATTGATCAAACGTCGCTCGTGCACACCGCCTGCAACTGATGGAAACGATGATCAGACGTTCCTCGTGCACCAATAACGTCGGAGTATCGGATTCCACAAGTTAAAATATTGTAGAGAAAAAGAAAGAGAACGTGCACATCTACGCAATGGAATCCACTTCCGAGTAAAGGGGACAAGTCCCTGTCTGCATATTGCCCACTGCTTCCTGAACCTGTAACAAAGGAGATGGGAGGTGCCCGCCCGGCCGGTGTCCAATAAAAAAAATATCAGTCTGACCAGCAAACTATATAGTATCGTATCAGTCCATGAACATTAGCCTGAAATGTATGTGCCACTACGGCGAATTAATTAATTAGTTGTTAAGCAAAGACGCAAGCATATCCGTTTGAGTAATATAATTTGGGGGGAGTGAAGAACTGCAGATGACAAGTATGACGTGGGATTGCATACTTGTTCTAATTTTGTAAGTTTGCAACGAGATTGAGAGAAGATTTACCTCGTTTTTCATGCTCATGTCTAAACTGTGCGTTTCTTAGAAAAATTATAGAAAATTTACTTTAAAATAATTATAGTAATTCATTTTTTAAGTTTGAAATAATTAATATTTAATTAATAATACACTAATGGCTCACCTCGGTTTACGTATTCTCAATCTTCTTTTTTTCCTTTCCTCTTAAATACTCTCTTAGGCTGTATTGGGCGGTGCAAGTCGTAAACCCTTCTACACGCATGTGAAATAGAGCGATGGATTAGTGCATAATTAATTAAGTATTAGTAAAAAAACTTAAAAATTAAATTAATATAATTTTTAAAGCAACTTCCCATATGTTTTTTTAAAAAAATGTACCATTAAGAAATTCGAAAAGCGTGTGTGTGAAAAAGAGGGACCGGAAATTTGGAACTCTCACCACTGAACGCACCCCTAGAGTTAGGGGTGAAATCGGGTCGGGTTCGGTCGGATCTCATCCTTCCCATATCCTAATCCACATTTTATAATCGGAATCGGGTCGGGCACGGATATTATTGGATACGAATAGAAGCACGGATAATATCGGGCATAAATACGGAACGAATACGTACCAAGACGGATACGAACTCTATCGGTTACGAATATTTATTCAGATATCAAGTCAAAGCAACAACCAAATATACCACATAGACAATAGCCATTCAGCCATTTCCTATATGTCTATTATGAATATATTATGGGCTTATGGCATCGTAATGCCTATCAGCAAAACTGTACCAAAGTAGTAGCAAAAGTAGACATTCATAGCTTGATAGCTTCAGACTCAATGCTGTACACTATAGTTCACCATAATAAGTAGTACCATACTAGTAAATACTAAGAGCATCACCATAACTCCATAAGTAATAGTACTAACTACTAAGTAGTACCAAAGTAGTTCACATAAGGTATACAATCAAGCCAAAAGATACACTTATATGACTACTGATCACATATTACCAATACAGTCATCCCAAAGGCCAGCATGTTCAGATTCAATCACCAAAAACTCCAGCTCTCCAATCAGCAACATGCTCAGCTTCAAACACTATTTGTTGCCTGACCCTAAAAAGAACATAACATTCAGTTAATACAATGTGGTGCTCCTTAACTCTCTCAAAATCCAAAGTGGAACCAACAGATTGTTCATTTAAAGATTGCAGGTCCAAAATATATTTTTAAATGCAACACATAAATATGTAATTAACCTCCTCATCATTGTCAGTTTTAGCACCATCTTTATCCTCTATCTGTACATCCAGCTCATCAAGAATTGTTGCTATCTTGTCCTTAAATGGTCCTGTAAATAAAATTGACAAAATATAAACACAGTCTAGAAATGGCAGATTATATAAATAGCGAAATGAAGATAAACAAGCAGTTACCTTTTCTAGATGCTCTTATCCAATCCTTGGTACAAACTAGAGCCTCAATCATCTCAGGATGTAGAGAACTGCGAAAAGGACCAACAACACGACCACCAGCACTAAACGCTGACTCTGAAGCAACGGTAGAGATTTGAACAGCCATTACATCACGCGCGAGTGTTGAGAGGATAGGAAAGGTCATTTGGTTGTTCTTCCACCATGCCAGTATGTCAAATTCTACACCTTCACCTGTTGGATCAACCCAACGAATTGGCTTCTCTTTCATGTAGACATCCAATTCATTTATATCGTCTTCTTTATTTGCAGCTGCATCATCATACAAGAATTTCTCGATTTCATTGTGACCCAAAGAAGTATTACCATGTGGCTGAGAATTTTCACTTGATCCTGCAGCGGTAGGTTTCGAAGACCTTGCAACACAACTCTTGTAAGCCCGGAAAAAATTATCGATAGCAGCCAAGACACGCTTAAATTCCTCTTCATACTTGTCAGGGTAAATCTTCTGTAGAAAAAAAATCATTAGCTTTTGCTTGTATCTAGGATCAAGAAAGCAAGCCACAGCAAGAGCTAGGTTGGACTTGTCCCAATATTTGTCATATTTGAGTTGCATGGCCACAGCCATAGAAGCAATGGAGACATCAGCACTTGCACACCATTCTCGAAGTGCTAACTTAATCTCACAAAACTTCCACCAAAACAAGTTTGCAGTTGGATATAGGCAACCGGAAAATAACAATGTGGCATCATTGAATTTCTCCAAACAATTGCATAGTGATTCTGCCATACCCCATTCTTCAGCACTTGATGCACACCTTTGATATCTATCCTCATCTAAGAATAAAAGCCTTTCAAAAGCACCCTTGTAGTAAATAGCTTGTTTCAACATGTCATATGTAGAGTTCCACCTTGTAGGCACATCAAGAGGTAGCCCAGAATTGTTGTTCAAGTCACATTCTACAGCACACTTTTGAAATTCCTCCCATTGCAACGTAGAATTCTTCACAATACCAATAGTAGTCCTAATATTCTGAATTGTATGTGCAATGATTTTCAATCCATCTTGAGCCACAAGATTTAATATGTGACATAAACATCTCACATGAAAGAAAGCACCATCACACATCAATGGAGGGACCTTACTGATGTTAAACAGCTTGTTAAGCTCTATCACAACTTCTCTAGCACATTTATCATTTGATGAAGCATTGTCTAGTGTGAGAGCAAATAATTTTTTCTCAATATTCATAGACATTACTCCCTTGACAAATGCATTTGCTAGCCTTGTTCCTGTATGTTTCCCATCTATATGAATGAACTTAAGAATTCTCTTTTGCATCAGCCAATTTTCATCAATCCAATGAGCAGTGATGCACATATAAGCTTTGTTCTGATTTGATGTCCACATATCCATGGTTGTAGAAATTCGACTAGAAACAGATTTCAGCTCATCATACAAAATTCTCTTTCTAACTTCAAATATCTCTAATATAGCTTTACTAGTGGTAATGCGACACTTGAATTCAAAACTAGGCCGAAGAGAGTGGATGAACTCATTGAAATACACATGATCAACCATAGAAAATGGATATTCATGCATAATAACAGCTATATACCACTTTTCCAAGCTTACTTCAGGATCATACCTGAAAGTCTGAACTTCACCCTTCACCTGAAGTTCTTGCTGGCCTTGTTTCAATGAGTGAATACGATTCAAATGATTCCATAAGTGTTTTGTGCCATTTACTGTCTCTGCTCCAAACACTCTACCACATTTTTTGCATTTTGCTTTACGTTGTTGCTCTTCCACACCAGTAACTTTGTTCTTGGCCTTGTCAGTGTACTTAATGAAATAGTCCCAAACCTTCGAGGTACACTTCTTCTGCCTCTTTGCTACTGGTTCAACTTCTCCTGTGAATTCTCCATCTTCTTCATCGGGAATAACAACAGGTTCTGAACTTCCACCTCCACCTCCAGTGGCTGTGGTTGCATCATTTAGTACCAATGCATTTGGTGCCAATGCCGAGTGACCAGTACCAACAGCTACGGTACCAGCCGGAGATGCACCTGTGCTTGCACACATACTAGTGTTTGCATCACCACTAGCCATTCTATCCTAATCCTACAGCCAAACAGCAAAAGTAAAATAAGAAAAAAAAATCCTTCCAAGTTCTAACGTGATGTTGAGAAAGGGCAATGAAAAACTGAAACTTTGGCTAACCTGGATGGCTGGATGAGTCGCTGAGTGTTGACTTGACTACCCAAGAAGATGACGAGGTGGCGCGACGTCCTTCGGCTCTCGGCGTTGAGGAGCCAAAAGAGGCAAGGGGCCAGGCGGGGCCTTGCGGTGGTGGTCGGCGCGGCGGCAGTCTGACGGTTGTCGGCTTGTCGCACACCCACGCGGCGACGTGCGACAGCGGCCGGTGGTCGGTGGGCGTGGCCGCGTAGCCACTTGGTGGTCGGCGAACTGCGAAGGCACGGCAACGGTGCTGGAGCCTGGATGCACGCATGCGGCATGCGGCGCGGTGCTGCCTGGCTGTTTGCCTGCCTGCGTTCTGCCCTGATCTGAACTGTGAAGTGAAGGCTAGGGTTTGTGCTTGGCACTTTGTTTGGTGGGCCTTTTGGATGTGGGCTGGCTGTTGCCTGTTGTGTTGGCCTGTTGGGCGCTTGCGTGTTGGGCTGCTGTCCATCTATCCGGGTAATATACGGATAGATTATCGGGTAATACCCGCATAATTTCCCGGATAATCCGTATCCGTCGGATACCGCTCTCCCGAACCCGATCTCATATCCACAAAAAATTACCCGTATTCGAACCCTGTATCCGTGTAAGGGTCCGGGTACCCGAATTCTCGACCCGAATTTGACCCGAAATAATGTGGCCGGGCGGGCGGTCGGGAAATACCCGCCCCGTTTTCAGTCCTACCTAGAGTGCGTTCGGTAGTACTTTGTTAGAAACTATTCTCTCTCTCCACATGGAAAACGGGGTGTCACATTAGAACATGGTTAATCAAGTATTGGCTAAAAAACTTAAAAATAGATTAATATGATCTTCTTCTAGCAACTTTTTTGTAGATTTTTTTTTAAAAAAAATGTACAATTTATCAATTCGGGAAACGTACACATAAAAAACAAGAAAATAGTAGCTGGGAAAGGCGAGAAACGAACTCAGCCGCATTAGTTTCTGCAAAATGCATGTATTATAAACCATATATGCATGAGTTTGTATGTGTTAGTTGAATTGAACCAGGGTCATTTCAAGATTGTTAGTTTCTCATACTCCTTACATCAGAGATGAGTGTGAGACTATAAACGAGACAACGTGATGCCGACATGCAAACAGCCATATCAGATCATTGTTTGCATGTTAGTATCAGGGGTATATGATTGGAGCTTGAAGGACTACTCAATTAGAAGCTAGACACAGTTTTTTTTTAATCTAGATGAAATGGTCTGTGCGATCGAAATTTCTAGCCAGAATACTCAATGTATTGGAAAATAGATTAATATGATTTTTAAAATATTTTTTCTATAGAAACTTATTTTTAAAAAACACACCGTTTAACAATTGAGAAACGTATGGACGAAAAATGAGGCAGTATAAGTTGGGAAAGTTGGATGCCGAACTCAGCCTAAATCATGCTTTTAAGATTTGGATATGTAGTTTACCTGTCAAAATGCAACGACAGGCAACTCTTTTTCATATTTTTTTAAGATAATATGAATTTTTTTGCCCATACAATCAATTATTAGAGTTTGCGGATAGAAAGATTGAGAATTACATATCACAGCTTAAGCCATAATCCGAATCAATTTCTTTTGAGAACCAAGCTTGATCGCGCATGGCTCACTTTTTATGGCTCAACGTCACAAACTCAAAAAAAGAAGAAGATCTAATTCTTGCTACTATCCATCGTATATTATATACGCACACCAAACGTACACACAATCGCATGTCACCTCAACAGAAAAGTTCATGTCATCCTTTATACTGTACTGTGACTTATGGACAGGTGTGCATATCTCCAACCGTGATGCATGCGCAAGAAAACAACAACACAGTAAGCTTAATTTCCTTTAATTTTTCTCTCTTTTTTCTTGTGAGGAAACATAGTTGTAACCTTTTCTCATCCTACGTGCCATTCACCCAGCCTAATTTTACAAAGAAAAAAACAGAGAGAAATTGAGAGACTGAAAACTTTTGTGTACCATTTCCTTCTCAAAGGTGGAAAATGACGAGGAGTTTATTCGGCCCTTCTTTCTCCAAAGATAGAAAACAACAGTAGACCGGTTTCTGCAGGTGGCATACTATACAACCATCAGCATAAAGAGTGATAAAATTGCTCTGCTCTTTTCATTGGCCCCCTTTTTTACAATGTGACTTTGATAAATTCATGACTAATTCAATGAGAAGTTGGTGGTGTTCTTTTCTCATGAGGATGAAGATTAAGTTTTTTACGCAAAACGAGATGATATTAACGTATCATTGATTGAGTTTTAATTATTACAAACTCATTTGTGATGCTTAAATTGGATTATAAGGTTATAGACATTCTAGAAACTTGGTCTTGCTTTAGTGTTACAACTTGCACATTATTGTTTGTCTAGCCCCTTCTTTTTTTATTTTTCATTTTGGATGTTCAGTAGAATATATCAAATTAGTTTTGGTACACTAACAATATCAATTTCAAAGACAAATACAACTATTTTTATGCATATCCATGGTGAAAGTTTACAGTGATTTCTTTACATGTTGACTGCATGCATTTACTAATGACAACTAAAAAAGAACGGATGGAACTTTTAGTCTTTATTACAGTCAGCTTAATTATTGTGAAAAGAACTTGTTTTGATCATCGTTTCTCTTCCGCTTTTGTTCACCAGAGAGATTATACCATCTTACTTGCGAAACCTTGCCGTTTCATGTAACTTAAATATAATTATAATGACTTTTCTTATTGAAACAATTCTTGCTATAAATCTTATATATAGGCCCCAACGTGAACGTAAGAGGAGAAAACATACCCAGGTATTATAATGGGCTACATATCTAAATACTCTAGCTGTTCGTATGGACGAAAGTATTATGCTTCTTTATTTGCCCATATATACTGCATTTGCATGATTCATTTGAAATGAATTTGTATATTTTTTTTACTTAAAAAAGGAATTTAGGTATTTTATATTGATACCATTTTACCAGTTACTCCAAATAACAAAAACATATACCTCAAACTTTATATATAACCGTGATTCTTAGTGCGGAAATATATATTCACTGTAGAATAATAGTTGAAAAATAGATTAATATGATATTTTAGAGCAACTTTTATATATAAAATTTTAACACGAAACACACCGTTTAGCAGTTTGAAAGGCGTGCCATGAAAATCTTAATCTTCATCCAACTCTTGTTGGAGAAATATAATGTGCTACTTGTCACTCTGTACGATGTAAATGGTGCTCCTCCCTTTTTAAAAGTAACAGATTTTACCATTGTATGGTTTTTCAAGGCATTTTGGCTCCATTTTTCGCTCTTCAGCTTAACAGTCGCAACCAAAAGTTTAAATTTTACACTTCATAGAATTGATTTTGATTTTTTTTTCATTATAGTTTATTTTCCAACATTGTCTTTTAAGTTACTTAAAAACACATATGTAAAAGCTTTATCCATAAATATTATTTGATCACTAATATGTGTTACGGCTTATCACAAGTGTTTAGGGCACAGGATGAATTTAACAATATAGGAGTAACATTGGCGCATATCATGAGATATCTAGAAGGTAGGGGTGAAAAAGGCGTACTCCATCCGCTTTAGGAGCACATTTGTCATTTCAGGTAAAAAAGAGTTGACCAAAATTTGTGTCACTGTGTCTTGTCATGGTCAATAGCAATAAGTAAACAAAATTGGGGAACATTCATAGAATTTGAATTCGCGATGCATGTGTTCAGTGCATCGATATGCAACGGAAAGGAGTCTCAGGGAGCAATAGAAAATGCATGGTATGGAGATCGATGGACATATCTGAACTTTTCATTCCAGCGTATCATAACAGTGAACATAGTCGCACACTCTAAAGATACCTTTTCTAAGATGGGGCAACAGTGGGCACAAATAATTCATTGGTTCATTCCCCTAAAGGAGAGGGGTTCTCAATGAAAATTCAGATAAACAAATTGTATTTAAGCACAAAATATTTGCTGTAATGCTCTGGCCTTCATGAAAGTTTTGCTCCCTCACAATCAAGAAACGGACAACACACTTGTCTGACGCACATAACTACTTTTGGAGAGATGCGTCACAAATTCACAACTGCCAGAGCTAAGCAATCAGTATGTCTTAATTAATTGATTTTTTTTCTCTCACACGGAAGCACTCATTTTTGCTTTAAGTATGCATCTATATAAAGAGATGAACAGTTCATTTTTGCATTGGAGGGGTGGTTCTTTTCACAATGTGAGGAGCAAGCAAGCAAGGCAACGACCTGTGAATTCACCTAACAAAAATAATTCCAACAAGTGATGGTGGCAGCAATCAACTAGGGCCTTGGCAATTAAAGTTAGTGCATGCTGATGCGTCGCCGATGCATGGTGCGCTCTTGTTAGGATTTGCATCCATGGAGTATATTGATAATATCCATCTCTGAATCCTCCCTCCTCTCCCTGTACACAAAGAGGCATAGTCAAAATCAGAATTCAGAAACTTCTGCGTGGATCTATATCAAATTTGTTGACCCTCCAGAGTCCAGAGGCCTCTGGTCTTGGAGTAAACATTATGTTTAACAGCAACTTGCAAGATTGGATGAGGAGTAGGCAACCACAAAACCATAGGAAAAAAGTATATAACAGGAACATTCTAAGTTATCCTATGAATAAGTTGGTGCCTCTCTCGCGGCTTCGATTCTTTGCCATCTGTTCTGGACGCATGCTATGTGCAGCTGATAGGTGCTGACAAAGAAGAATCGTACCATGTTTTTGCCACCAATGTTAACTGTATATGCTCCTGTTTTAACATCATCACACTACAATAATTGATGGAGCGATGTTGATTGATTAATGGGAGTTTGTTTTGAATTGGGATTCTTGCAGGTTGCCAGACGAACTTGTTTCCTATAGGGCTTTACTAGACAACCAATAATCTGACTTGTGCACCTCACCAAACATTCTTATCCATCGTGATGAATCTGAAGATGCATGCACATTCTATCTTGGAAACTACAAAAGTGAAAGAAGTTCAGATCAGATCGATGTTAGCAGTATAGTCTTTTCAAGCCAAGATGCTTGTTGAATGCTATGCTGCTGACAAACTTCTTTTGGTTGGAAAGAGGGCAGGATGATATTCAAAATTTGAAGTCTGATAATTCACAAAGCTGTCTATCATATTTATCAGGTAAATCAATAGCTGAAATGCGGAATATGAATCAACGTACTACATATGAAAAATACTCTGAACAACCTCTGTAGCAGGGCATGGAACATGCAGAGAGCAACGCATTGTTAAGTGTCCTGACAAAACTATTGTGCCTATCAGCTAACAACACAAATTCTGTCTTGGGCGTTGCCACTAGATGTGTGGCTCAACCTTCCGACTACATACATATTTCCAGAAATGGTTAGTGAGAAAAACCGATAACGGGGATGCCTTTGAAGACTCTGAACTACATAATAAGATCAGTAAATAATTAGATGCCAATCATATCATGACAGCCTTCCCCTAGTCACACTTGACAGTTCACACTGACCATGAAAACCATTGGCCAGACGAATCAGCCAACCAACCTAGCTAGATCATCACCATTTTCACCAAAAAAGCCTATATGAGTTTTTCTTTTTTTTTAAAAAAAAAGGGTCTTATGGGTATATACGGACGAAGAATTGTCAGTGTGTAGAGTGTGTAGAAGTGACTGACAACTCACAAGTACCACAAAGTCCAGACTCTTTAGTGGTGTTAGTGCAAGGTACAGTGATGGCAAGCAATGCGTGTTGTTCACAATCGTCATGATATTCAGCATTGCACATTGGAGTATATATAGGGTGTAGTCATGTAGGCCACTAACATACATTTGTCTTAATCACAACAAGAAAACTTTGGTCAGTTGTAGGCTTGTAGCAACAAGTTGATCTGTATATACGGGTACATTATTGGTGGGGTTTGGGTTTTTTCTGGCCACATATATGTAGGGATAGTACATACGCCGATATATATTTGAGTTAGTCGATCGATAACCATGCTTGGCCACTGTGCTTATGGATATAATCAGGCTGATATTATGCTTGGAAGATGTAGTACGCTGGAGATCTTGTATATGTGGAGATCCTACGCATGACAACATGTACTGCTAAGTGCTAACTGCCAGGCCAGCTAGTGGCTTGGACATGGACCAGGTGGTATCACCTTTTGCACTTCCACCATCTATTAATCAAAAGGATTGAATAGATCTAGCCATTTATCTAGGAAGATCCGAATTATAATGGTTTGGATTAAAAGAACAGTTCACCGTCAGCTAAAATTTAGTAACTATTAATTTCGAATTTTATAATTATCTAATTAACAAAATACTAAAATTAAGACAAAACTACAGGTTGGTATTTGTTAATTCCAAATAGCAAAAACTACCAATAATGACATAAATAAAACTGAGACTTCAAGCCAAGCACAATTTCTTGTTTATTAATTTCAAATTTCGATGTTGCCAGCAAACAAGGAGAGTCGAACTCCATATTAGTTTTGCGTATCACATTATGATCCAGAGTAATAGATTCTCAGAAGACTTCAATTTGTTAGTCACATTGATCAACAAATAAATACTAGAATGCCAATTTGCACCATGATCTCTAACAAAATGTTAGGGTTCAAAGTAATGGGGACTAGAAATGTTACTGTTCTTCCTACTAATGGTCTCCCGACAGAACGATCAGCACTAACACAGTAACACTGCACCTCCAAACCTAAAGCAAATCTTAGATCTGGACGCAAGTGGAAGCACGGTACCATTACCATTTTCCAGGTGGCAAAGGCAGCCGCAGAGGCGGCGTCGTCGTCGACTCCGGCGCAGGGAGGGGGGACACCACCGCGGCCGTCTCCGGCCGTCAGGTGACCTCGTGAGGGGAGAACGCAGCGGCGGAGGGGGGAGGAGGGGAACGCAGTGGAGGAGAGCGAGGTCACTGACTAGCAGAGTAAGAGGTAGGTTTTGGAGTGCAGTGCACCGGGGCCGCGCGTCGCCGGGGGATGCGGCGGCGGCGGCGGCGGAGGCCATCGGAGATCGGACGCGTCCGCCGGCGACCACCGGGACAGTTAGTCGGCGATTGCCGCTGAAGGATTGTTTTGAAAAAAAAAAATATTAGGACCGCAAATAGTATTCGGGGCTTTTAACTATTTGCCACTCCTACGAGTGGTGCTTAACGATTTGCCACTAGACCCATATATCATAGATATATAAGGGCCCACATGTCATTGATAGGGTGTGGCAAATCATTAATTGCCATGTCACAGGAGTGGTAAATAGTTAAATTTCCTATAGTATTCTTTCCGTATTTTAGAAAGTATGATCATGAACTACTTTCAAAATATTCGGTTTGAAAACATAAAAATCATACTTATGAGTAGATGAACAATATTATAATTATGTTATAGTCCTTCTGTTTCACAATGTAAGTCATTCTAGCATGTCTCACATTCATATTGATGTTAATGAATCTGGATATCTATATATGTTAAAGTTGCACAACGAAAACTGGTTAATAATATTGGAGGGTTTTTTTTAAAATGTTGTGTATAGCTATGAATCACCGCTTAAGTGTGAAGGGTTTTTTTTGGAACAAAAGAATTTCGGAGAAATTTTGAAGGATTGGATTTCTACGTATATAATTTTGACAGGGGGCCGCTATATACCGGTACACCGTTCGGACGGTATAGGCCTGCAAGCAATTTAGCTGGACGATTCGTTCTATTCAATTAGTATGTTTGTCATCATGTGTCAAAAGGTGTGTCATGTCACCCTATCGTTTGTCATTTTGTCCACGTTCATACGCAAAAAATCTTCATGTGATAGCTAGACTAGTTCGGTATAGCAAGTAGTAGCCTACCTAGCTACCAGGTGTCAAATCTGATACTAGGTAGGTATCACATCTAATACCGGGTGAGCATCAAGTCTATTATCAGGTATTACGTCTGATACCGAGTGTGTGCCATGCCTCATAACAGGCATCACACATGTCTGATACCGAGTGGGTGCCATGCCTCATAACAGACATCGTGTGTGATATCGGTTGGTATCAAGTACCAGATAACCGAATGGCCAAGTATCATATTTGATACATGGTGGGATCGGTCTTGATAAACGATACCTGGTGGTTATCAAGTCCTGATATCTAACCGGTATCATGCGTTTCTGCCACGTATCAGGTGATACCTGCGAGGTATCAGATGATACCTATCAGGCATCATGCAATTCTTACCACGTGGTGGGTGATGCTTGCGATGTATCAGGTCTTGATACCTAGCCGGTATCGGGTGATACCTATCAGGTATCATGCGATTCTACCACGTATCAGTGTTGACAGAAAACACGAGGCCTGGAAGATCTGCTTAACTCCAGTGCAGGTCCAAAACTCGCCTTCGGGTGTATGAGCGTGCCAGTTGATTTAATCCTACAATCAACAAGAAATAGAACAGAGAAACCGCAATTAATCCTATAAATGATAGCCGATCGGTTAGGTGCCGATGATATATCATTTATTTCAAGCCGATGTCATTCGTACATCGATCGGCAAATATCAATAAGTAAATCAGAACTAAATCTACTCGATCGGCTATAGATATTAATGATATATAATCCTTATATCGATATATACTTAAATCAAGTGATTGGGATAGATCGGTCGTCTTGCCGAGACAATATAAATCACTTAGATCGAAATATATATTAATAGTGGGATTATATACATTTATAGCATAACCGATCAAGTGGATCTAGCATGTATCGGCTAATACCCCGATACTACTCTATATTAAGATGTTAAAGCAAGTAGAATATACCAAACAGAAGCCTAATATACCTAGATGCGACAAGATCCTAACATAAAGGGCAGATTTAACATATAGATTAAGCATATGGAATAAAAGTAGTTAAATCAGATAAGATCGGCTGAAACTCCGATACTACCCTAATCGGCAACCAGAAAGCAGGCTAGAGATTGCAATTCTAAGCATGACTTAATAGATCAAACTCAACTGATGCAGCATTAAGTATGAAAAGAAGAACAATATCTAGACAATCAAGCCGCTGGAAGTTTCATAGAGTGGTAGATATATCACATAATCTAAGTTAACGTCATTATCTAACCTAATCGGCTGCCTTCTATTAACAGATGTTAGCCGATTATAGGTTAGATAAAGATATTATCGAAGATTATGTGAGATATATGATAACTCGATGAATTATATAGACAAGATTAGAGTATCATGAAGATGGAAGCACTAATCCTGAGAATATAAGTCATCATGACAAGTTTTACCTCTTGTTGAAGATCGAAACCGATGCAGCTCAACCCGAGAGTACGAACTCGTCGAAATAAAAGTAAAGCAAAAAGGGTGGCGATGCGCCGAGATTGTATTGGATGTCTTTTTTTTACATAGGGCTCGGGTCTATTTATACCCGAGAATTACAAGATACGTCCATAACAGACACGACTATTATCTCTAACAAACTCTAAGATACCATAAGTCTTTACGGCAGACTTTTGCCCAAATATATCTCTAAGGAAATTACATAGAATATCCTAATTAATAGATACAATTGCCTTCCCAGGACTCTATCCATGCATGGCAATCATCTTGAAGCACATCAACTTGAACCCGATGACGTACACCAAGTCATATTATCGGAATCGGCTGTATCGGCTAACCCCGTCCGACTCGAACTCTGCCGACCTGACATTAGCCGATTTGGACTGCAGCCGATTCTTACTCTGTTCCCGCAACGATTTTCATCTTGGATTCCACTTCGATCTGATCTTCACCTCTGATGCCAATAGTGATAGAATTTACCAAATTTGGTTGTTAACAATCAGGTGATACTTGTGATGTATCAGATGATACCTATCAGGTACCATGCGATTCTTACCACGCGGTGGGTGATGCTTGCGATGTATCAGGATCAGGTATCATGCGATTCTACCACGTATCAGGTGATACTTGCGAGTTATCAGATGATACCTATGAGGTATCATGTGATTCTTACCACGTGGTGGGTGATGCTTGCGATGTATCAGGTCCTGATACCTAGCCGGTATCGGGTGATACCTATCAGGTGTCATGAGATTCTTATCACATGGTGAGTGATGCTTGCGATGTATCAGGTCCTGATACCTAGCCGGTATCGGGTGATACCTATTAGGTATCATGCGATTCTACCACGTATCAGGTGATACTTGTGAGGTATCAGATGATACCTATCATGTATCATGTGATTTTTACCACGTAGAGGGTGATACTTACGAGGTATTAGGTCCTGATACCTAACCGGTATCAGGTGATACCTATCAGGTATCATGCGATTCTACCACGTATCAGGTGATACTTGTGAGGTATCAGATGGTACCTATCATGTATCATGCGATTTTTACCACGTAGAGGGTGATACTTACGAGGTATTAGGTCCTGATACCTAACCGGTATCAGGTGATACCTATCAGGTATCATGCGATTCTACCACGTATCAGGTGATACTTGTTAGGTATCAGATGATACCTACTTCCTCCGTTTCATATTATAAGACTTTCTAGCATTATCCATATTCATCTAGTTGTTAATGAATCTAGCCATATCTAGATGTCTAGATTCATTAACATCTAAATGAATGTGGGCAATGCTAGAAAGTCTTATAATATAAAACGGAGGGAGTATCAGATATCATGCGATTCTTATCACGTAGAGGGTGATACTTATGAGGTATCAGACGATACCTACTAGATATCAGGAGTCGGGCACTAAAGCGTCGTCGCCGGTGGTCCCACCGTCCACGTCCCACGCCGGAGCTTGTCGCCGGCAGCCACATCCTCCACCATCCGCGCCACGTCGGAGCTCATCACCGGCGGCCGCGTCCTCCGTCATCCACGCCCCACGCCGGAGCTCGTCGCCGACGGCCGCATCCTCCACCGTCGACGCCACGGAGCTCGTCACCGGTGGCCGCGTCCTTCGTCATCCACATCCCACGACGGAGCTCGTCGCCGACGGGCGTGTCCTTCGCCATCCACGTCCCACGCTAGAGCTCGTCGCTGACAGTCACATCCTCCACCGTCCACGCCACGTCGGAGCTTATCGCGGGCGGCCGCTTCCTCCGCCGCCTCAACGAGCTAGCCAAGTGCATGCTCGTCGTGCTCCACGCCAACGACGCGGCGAGGGCAGCACCTTCACGCTCTACTTCCTCATCTGCCGTTGCGTCCATGCTGGGCTCCTCCTCTCTTGCGCCGGCACCGGAGCTGCCGGCAAGGAGCTCGCGGTCGCGCGCAGGGTAGTGCGTCGACGGTGCGGGCATGGGCGCCGTAGCGCCGCCGCCCATGTCAGCCATGCGTGCGTGCTGGAGCGGCACCGTGTCCTGTACAGGCTGCTGCTGCTGCTCGGGATATGCATGGTCAGATATCGCTCCTCTTTGAATAAGCAAGTGTTCCGTCCGGATGGGATTCTGATATGTAGCATTCCCGTTTTGTTAGTGGTCATTCCGAACAAAGGAATAACTCTTCTATTTTCCTTTCAATTTTTTAAGATTATCTCGAGTCATATCAATTTTGGAGGATTTCCTACGTGAGATCCAATCTCGCGGAAAAAATATCGTTATGCCTATCTCTATGTTTGTCTCTATTCAAAAGAATTATTCTTTCAGTTTTTTATGAGGTGTAAGGCACTTGAATCTTACTTTTTTTTAACCATGTGTTTTATTAAAAATCCTATGTTTAGAAGGAGACCGGAAAGTTGACTTAAGTCTCCTCTGTGCTGTTTGGATTACAATGAAACACATAATTTGAAAAAAAAAAGTAGGAATAAGAAAACTACAGGATCAGAATGACATGTATGGTTACTCGAAAAACAAAAGAATGACATGTATGGGTAAATCCCACATGAGTACCAAACAACGGAATTTGAAACATGTTTCCTCCATCCCAAAATAAGTTTATTTTTACTTCCCACATATACCAATACAAAACTAAAAAGATTACAATGGCCCTACTTTATCTACTCATAATGTAATTGTCCTTCACTTTATCTACTCTCAACGCAATTATTCTTATTTTTACAAACTCCGATGCAATGATTACTAAAAATGAATTTATTTTGGGATAACTAGGAGTTAAAAATAAACTTATTATGAGACACAGGGAATATTTTGTTTGGATGATTCATAGAGATCGATAGAATTAAGATCTTTTCATCTATTTCACTGGATTATTGAATGAATTATTTGCTCCATCCTCTAAATCACACGTTTTCTTAAAAATAGTTTTTTTAACTGCATTGCTTTGACTATTTGTTCTAAGTTATTTGTTAAGTTTATTTTTAAAGTATTTAATTTATTCATATAATAAAGTCGATAATCTAGTCAATAATGAAATAGGGAGAAAAGAGAAAGATGTATTAGACTTTTTATAGAAAAATAAAATACGGGTTGAACTCCTGGTAAAATTTTCAATAGAACTAATGCATAATATAGCAATCCATGGAAATTTGGTATGCTCAGATCTTTTTTTTTTTCCACACAACACATATATGGGGAAAAAATCCTAAGGTTTGGAATCATGTGAAGGCTGGATTTTTCACAATTTGGTAATTTTGAAAAAGTTATTTCACAAATAGACCCCTGAAAAAACTTATCCCCGAAATGGTTATTTTTGGGGCGTCGTCGTCCAACGAGACAGCGCGCCTCTCTGGCGCCGCCCCCTTGCCACCGTGGTGGCTAGAAACTGACATGGCAGGGGGAGAGCACGAGTACGAATGCCACTCTTGCTTGCTCTTGTTCTCTCTCCCCTCTCCTCAAATTCACTCAAGATCATATCGGTAAGAGCATTTCTATTCTTCGTTGTTTTTGTTTTTCCTATTGTCCAAAAAACCAAAAATTTAGTACATTGTTTTTTACATCCTATAAAAAGTTTTTTAAAAAATAGGGTTTGTTGAGTTTTTTTTCTTTTACATTCGAGCGTCCTTCCTTAAAACAGACATAACTTTCTCATACGGACTCGGAGTCAAGCAAATCATATATCCACGGACTTCTACAGAAAAAGTTACATCCATTTCTCCCCGCTTCTCCGGGTTCGGCGAAATTAGAACCTCCAAATTTTGCTTGCAAGATTGTGTTTTCAAGACGAGAAGCTTTTCGGTAGAGATTTGGAAAATTTTACAGGCTACATATTTCATCCATTTGAGTTTAACTTTTCTATGGTTGGTTCTTGTGTACTCCTAAATATGAAAAAATATCAATAAAATAAATGAAAAAAAATTGCACATCCCTCCTCTACACTAGAGAGATGGAAAAAAAATGGCGTGGGTGGGGTATGGGGGGACGGCGCCAGCCTCATTAGCGCGCTCCCCCTGCCACTTTAGCGCTGACCCACCACGTTGGCAGGAGGACGGCGCCAGTGACTTTGGCGCCCTAAAAAGAACCATTTCTGGAATAAGTTTTTTCCGGGTGTATTTTAGGAAGTACAATAAATCTAGACATATTATCGGTCCAGATTCATTGTATTAGGAAGTGTCCCATCCGTCCAAAATCCTTTATATTTTGGTATGGAGGGAGTAAGTTTTTCAAATGGACCAAATTGTGAAAAATCCATCATGTGAAGGCTCCTTAGAACATAGGAATTGAAAAACATATAAACAGAAACAGTATACTAGGAATCAGATGTCATGATCTATGCAATCCTACACCGGAATCGCAAACATATGGATCCACACATGTTATTAGGATACTCCACGAGAAACTTGCTAGAATTTTGGAGAAAAAATATTACTAGAATAAAGTTGAGAAGATGAAGAGAAGAAGTGCCTTAGACTTGAAGGAAATCAAACACGAGATTTTCTACATGCATCCAAACACGAGGAAAGGAATGATTCCAAAGAAAATTTGCTAGCCCAATCCTACCATCCAAAAGACCATTTATAGGCCTATACGATATGAATCATTTGAAAATCCTATAAATTTCACTTGTTCCAAAGGAGCCCTGAAACTTCAGTGAGCTCCTAAATTGCGCTGGGACAAGTCAAACACACCTTTCTGAAAAAGTGACAATCGCTCGATATGCAAAAGTATCAAACAGGGCATATCAAGAGTCCAGACGGTTTGAAATCAGGCAGAGACACTAACATATTTTGGATTCCCACAGTTCAAAATACATTTAGCATCGTGACAGTAGTTAGCAAATGATTTACATAAGGTCTGCCGTAAGCACGAGGCAAAGCTTCCTTTGCATCTCTTAAAACTAAAGCTGGCAGATAAACAAAATAAGTGTCACCAGACCTAAGTTTCTTACATGATCATCAGCTAATTCCACCGAATTAGGCATAAATTTGGCACGACAGAGTCGTCGTGCAATCTGTGCAGCACAGCACACCGTGTTAGGGCCTTGTCAGTCAGCAACCAAGTATAGGATGGGTTGATCAGCCTACAAAATGGACATCGCACCTATGTATCCAGCTATGTACTCCACCAAAATGCACCTGCATCACGAAATTAGTTTTGTCAGCAATTATTAATATGAATAAAAACAACTGTAAACATTCAAAGAATATTAACAAATTTATTCTCCAAATTGAAGTTTCGGAAGACTTAGGCACGTAGTAGAATACCAAAACTGTGATGAGGATAAACATGAAATAAGGGCAATGAACTGAAAATATCTTCAGTGCTTTGGTTCTACATAGATTTGAGTTGCACACACAAAACCTGCAGCAGCTTAGGTCAAGTATAACATGAACTTTCTGAAGTAAAAACCCGATGAGCATTGCAAGATACTGTATCAATAACTGAAGGGATTAGACGTGTGTAGGAGTAAGTTTGTAGTGTAGCATGCCACAATTGGCAAATGGACAGTAGGGTCTTATTAAGGCTCCACTGTTACTAGCCAGAATGCCAGATGTGAATATGCAGAATATATGTAGCATCCTATACTAAAATGGCAACAAAGCATTAGACTACCTTCCCAATGCCAGTTTTGCTAGGAAATGACAAATTAAGCAAACTGTCATAGACACATTGAAATGACGCATAGGTTTCAAATGTCGTGACACTGCAAGAAAAAGGTTCTACGAATAACAAAATCCAGCTTATATCCACTGACAGAAAGCTAACATGGAATTCATGTATAGAAAGCTAGGCCTAAATTAAAGCTATTTTTCATAAAGAAGTAAAAAACAGAAATAATATCCAATGTGAGGTTGACAAGTGGTGCCTGGGACCTCTTTCCAGTGAGACGTGGTACTCTACGTAGCCATTCGTTCCCCTCGACCATGAGCAGTCTGAGCACAGAGACCAAACCTCTAATTTTGATTGTCTGGACAGTATTAACTATTCACTACCAGACAGCATTTACGAACATTCACCCCAAGTGTTGGTTCACTCCAATGTGCTTATAGTCACTGTAAAATGTGCTAGGCAAATTTTGCTTCCGATGCATCAGGTAGCCTTTTCAAAAGCATAAAAATCTTGCTTCCGGTGAGTTTGTCCCCGTCGACCCGTCCTCGGCATGTTCGTCGTCAGCGTCGGTGACGAAGTCAGCCTCCTTCAACTCCAACGCGATGAGGGAATAGCGGTGGCAGCAAGGCGCGGCAGCCAGTGGGCAAGACAAGGAGCAGGACGGCGGCAACCTCCTCTATCTCCCGTGCCACCGATCTCCTCCAACTCTGACATCACTACGGCCTCCTCAAGTCCTAGCGCAGGATGGGAGGCGGGGATGGCAGGGAGGGCAGCGCCCCAATCACCACCGGCGAGGCGGCACCGGTGGCACGGCGGTGGAGCTGGCCGTGGCCACCGGCGAGCTCTTCAAGCGTGGGATGGATGAAGAAGAAGAGCCAGAGGCATTCCCGTCCGGGATGGCATTTTGCCGAAGACACCCTGGTTGAGGATGGTATTCTAGAGAAGCCCATTTAAGCGATGGAATTCCAGCGAGTCCCATCCTATGCGATGGTAGATATGCAATTTTCTCGCTGTGAGATGATCAATCATCAAGCAAGTCTTCAACCAACAAAGATAAACCAAGATTTTGTATCTCATCTTCACCAACTTCTTCAAAATCCCAGTCCTCAAGGAAGGTGGCTTGAAATGGATTCAGCCCAACTTCAAACAAGCCCAAGCCCAACCCTTTAAAACCCCCCATCTATGGTGGACTCTGGCACTCCGCGTCAAGCATATCCAGTTGATTGGCCCAAAGCATGGTGGGGAAGCAATGGGCATCGAAGCATTAATGCATTCATACATTTCTTCAACACGGCAACACCAAAGGTTTTGGGCAGACTATTTACTGCATGAGAATAACCATCTTTAACATATAAAGAACAGGACAGCTACGCAAATTTGCATCATGATAACCACCAAAGTCATATAGGGAGATGGGCTAATAAATCTAGATTTCAGGCATGCATGAGACTCGCCTTACGTTTGTCATGAGACTCACTTGTATTTACCATGTTGGACATAGATTGGAATTCATGAAATTTTTGTTAGTGTTATAGTATTTCTATAAGGCGTGGGTGTTGTATATAATTAAGGTTTATATGACTTGTTTCATTTACCTTTTTGGCATTTGATTTTGCATATTGGCTAAGCAGGATATTACATATTATACACCTCGTTGAATTGATTAGCGGTTCAGTTATGGGATATAGGTCCCACTGATGCTATGAAGCAGGACTTGAGCATAGGCCAAACCAATCCGGTGGCATAAGACGTTGGGGGGGGGGGGATTAAGACGGTAAGACCTAGCCAAGATGTATGCAGAAGATAATGACCTACGAGTCCAGGACCATGTGAATGTCAAACATCCAAAGAGTGGATATACTTCTGTTTCCCATGTATTTGCATCAATTGCTGTTAGCATCATTGAGGACACAGAGGCATATGAGGCCCCAATTCAATGTCACGATGTACAAATGGTGATGAGCTAGAGGCTACATTGAAATTTTCTTTTCCTAAATTAATGTTGGCTTTGATAGCTTGCAAGGCTGCAAGGGTTTACACAAGGTATTAATGCAATTTGCATTAGAACTTCAAGAGACCAACATGGAAAAAAAGATACAGATATCTGGTAATTCAGCTTTCCATTACGAAAGTGTCAACCGCCAAATAGCAAACAAGATGGGAAACAGTTAACACGGAGGAAACAGGAAAATATTATGTTTTCAAATCAAAAAATCGAGTCTGATTGCCTCAGTATCGACTAGGATATCTAATCGCAACTAATCGGGTGACTTTCCAACTAATCGTGGTTAGAATCAAGTTGCCTTAGTACCGACTAGGATGACTTATCATGACTAATCGGCTAAACGCAATTAGTCGGACGACTTGAAAAATATTAGTAACAAATGGCACAACAGAAGAGGAAAGACAACAGAGCATAACCATGTGGGAATAGGTATGGTCATGCAATAGAAGCCACAGAGCAACTTTGTACATGAAAGAAGATGCTTCAATAAAATTCCCACTTAGGTCTTAAATCCAAGCTTACCTATGTTACTATGTAGCTCCTGCCTAACTCAAGATTGTCTGTATGGGTGTGGCTGAGACTAAAGCGAAACAAGAAGATGAATGTCCAAAGTGCGAAGCAAAAAAGATCCATGCAGGTTTCAACGGTGCTTAGGATAAGCAGATCCATCCATAACTAAACCAAGCAATCCATTATTGGACAGCGAAAAGACTATAGAGATGCAAAAGATGAATGCGCATAACACTGCCTACTCAAACAAATAAAGAAAATAAGTTCAACATATCAGGTATGCATAGAACTATGCATAATCCCATAGCCCATAGAACCGTGAGGTTCAAATCCAAGTGAAATATCTGTCTTCAAATATCAATCATCACAGCAAATAGAGTAGCATCTAAAATTCTAAACATAACCGATACAGTATACCTGCCAAGGTGCAATCATCAACTATTTAGCATCATTCAGTAATTTTCTTGCTCTCTTCATGCAATCATGCTTGACTTATAAGACAAACTAAGTTATGCATGCTCTTTTGGATTGGACAGTAGGGCATGCTACTCAAGCTAACAAGCTAGTTGATAAATTATATAGTTCATGCCAATGACAATGCAAAGCACCTTTTACCAAAGAGGCAAAGGCATAATGCTAACTGTGTTGCTACAGTACTTGCCAGATTCGTTTTCCTAGATTGGTAAATGGATTTATACTATATCTTAGCAATAATGCATGTATGAGTGTAACATTCTCCAAAAGGCTAGCTTTGGAGGTATCCTAGTTTGCTTTAGCAAGGGAATATTGCCAACATGGGGGCTAAATATGCCCTCGTAGCAACTATGCAAGCAACATGTAGTGAAAGTGACACGTTCATGCCAACTCCTGAGCTCCCAGAACACATCATTCTAATTGGAATGTGGGCATGTGGCAGAATTGAATATAAGTAGCAATTTAGCACTACCAATGCTGTTAAAGGCTAGCAGACATATGATAACAAATGTCATGAAAGACTGGTATATCAGGACTTCGCCAAAATGTGCTAGTTTAATTCTTTCACTATGTAAAATGAGTGATATTAGGATCGTAGAAGCCAACAACACAAAATTAACCGAAGTGCCAATACAGTTCAACTTTCCAGATAAAGTAAACCAGAAAAGGCACTTTGTCCCCACAATGGAAAATTTAGCACCCCAATAGTAAAGAAAATGTGATTTAAATAGAGAACATATTTTAACTTGATCCAATATTAAATTGAAGATGAGCAAGAAATGTAACCTAAATAATCAAATAATCCCAGGAAAGTTTAACTACAGAAAGAAGTCACTCACTTTTCTATAGACCAATACCCTGCCATAAAGCCCTACCATCAGCAGTAGCAAACCAAAAAAAAACTAGCTTATGAGGAAGATGCCATATTTTGCTAATGCTGAGAATGGCTATTTTGGCATAGTGGCTAGAGCTAGGATGGGAAAAACGATCTGGCGATATACTTGCAGCTTGCAAGTAGCCAGTAGAGTAAACCAAACAAAATTTGATACATTATTGAAATCGAGCCCCAATACTTTAATACTTCATGCTGGAGATTTAAACAAGAGGCCACAACCTTAACAATCTAAATACACACTCCCAGAGAAATTAACCTACAGAAGGAATCAAGGAAAAGACTCACTTTCTATAGACTAGTATCATGCTAGAGCACTACCCTTTCAACACTTGCAAATCCTGCCAGCTAGCCTATTACCAAAATTCAAGGTTATGCCAGTGATCTCAAACCAAGCTATTACTCCATAATACCGCCAAGCCTATGAGCCTAAAGGTAGGACAGGAATAAAATCAAAACTACCAGTCTACCAAGCAATGTAAACCAATGCAAGCATGCTCATTCAGGTAAAATTGTGTATTTGTGTCCTAGCAGTTGACACAACATGCCAACAACCAAAAGTACAGTTTTTTTAAAAAAAAATTGTACCATAATCCACCACTAAATTGCCGGCAACCAGAAACACGAAAAGTAATTAATCCAAGGCAAAGTTAAAAGTCCAGAAGAAATTGCTCACTTTCACAGAGCACATAGGAGGTGGAAGTTGTACCCCCACTTAAGGCCCCAGGCCCCTGACAGCATCGATAAGCATGGCGCAGACCTCCTTCGCCAAATCGTGCCGGCGCCCCTGCGTCTGCGTCTCCACTTCAAGCTGCCGCTTCCACTTTGCCTCAGCCATCCTACCCTCCTCCGGCCCAACCAGAGCCAACCCCCTCTCAAGCGAGACACCTGACAGCACACGCCCATTCTTCCTCCAGTAATCACCAAGCACCTCCGACACCACCGGAAGCCTCACCGAAACATGCAGATTGCCACCGATGTATCCCTCTTCGGCGTCCCTCTCGTCGGCCGCCTCGGCTGCATCCGCGTCGCCCTCTACAGCGGGCGGCGCGAGCTCGCTGCCCCAGAGCTCCGCGGAGAGCGCGCGCACCCGGCGATCGTGCGGGGTGGTGGTGGTGGCCTGCGGTGGGGCGTGCAGGAACTTGCTCTTGTTCCGCTTCAGCTTGTAGTACACCTTGGCCTGGTCGATGTGGGAGGAGATGGAGCCCCTGAGGGACTCGAACAGCGCGCCCATGTCCGGGAGGCGGGGCGCGAACCCGTTGCGCGCGCGGAAGGCGACCGCGGCCGTGAGCAGCGCCACCTCGTCGGCGTCGTTCCAGACAAGGCCAGGGCCGCCCGACGTGGAGGCGTGCCCGTGGACGGCCATCGCGAGGGACCGCGGCCTGCGCCTCCGCTCGCTCTTGCGCGACGGCGCGCCGCCGCCGCCGCGCGGGCTGAGGCTAGGGTTCGGCGCCCGCGCTGCGGGGCGGCGGTCGCCGGCGGCGGCGCGGCGGGAGGAGGAGGAGCGCTTCTTGGAGCGGGGCGAGGACGGGTGGAGGGGGAGCGCGGCGTCGGCTGCCGCCTCCGTGGCGGCGGCGCGCGCGGGCGGCCGCCTGGAGGAGGACATCGGCGGCGCGGCACGGCGCGGCGGGGAGGTGGGAGGGGGAGGCGGGCGATTCGAAAAAATTCGGGGGGGTTTGGGAGGATTGGGAATCGGGGAGCGGAAGGGTGGTGGTGGTGGTGGATGCGGAGAGGCGGCGGGCGGCGCGGGGATGGAGTCGCGTCGCGTCGCGGCGCGGCGTGGCGTGGCGTGGCGAGCCAGAAACTGTGAGCAAACAGTGGAGCGGTTTCTGGGCTTTTCGCGTGTACCACGACGCGACTCGTATATGGTGACCATGAGACCGAGATGACTGTTGATTGAAGCATCGGAGTGCGAGACGTGTGATATTTCGCAAAAATTGTTGAATGTTTCACGTGTTACACTACTGGATGAATAATGTTTTAGCGAAAGTTTTTAGATGCTTTATCACTTGAACCAAAAGTGTTTTAACAAAATACAACAATTGAAACATAATAATTGCGACACCAACAACATCGAATCAAAACAAAGTGAAACACCTTACTACAATAAAGTGCAACAAAATAAACAATAGACTACAACATTATTAAAATTCGAACAAAATAAACCAACCTCCTCCTTCTTCTTCTTCTACTTCGTCAAGCGAAATCAAGCAACCGATGTGGTGGGGGAAAATTATAGCATAGGGAAGATATGGGCGAACAAGCATGAGTAGGCGGTCTTGACCAGCTGAGGTAGCATCCAGTCCTAGCCGGCGACTAGGTCCAATGCCCTATGCTTTCTCCCTGTCCCTCATCGCCTGTCCTATATTGCCACCGCCGTTGTCATGTGGTCGCCGACAACATGGTTCAGAGCCTCGTCCCTATCCCACATCACCTTGCTCGATCGCCTCCGTTGTTTTGCACTAAATTTTTAAATAAGATGAACGGTTTAAGTCAATTGTAATGACTATAGTACTGTACGGAGTAATTCATCGTTCGTGCTTTCGGTCCGGTGTAGTTGGCATGAAAAGAAAATGGGACATTATTGTGAACATTACTCTATATAAAAAATGCACCCTATTAGCAACATACACAAAACGTCTTGCTGGCAGTAACCAAACCAGATAGTTAGAAAATCCTGCAACTCTGCGATTCCGAGATAATACAGCATGAAAAACTAATCAACACGCAAATATCATGGCTAATCATCAGCATGAATAGTGTTTTCTACATATGCATGGATACTGTAGTTAGCTACAACCTCACTGTATATATGCTTGTACAATATACTGCGAATCTGCGATCGAGATACCTTAAGTTATCCAGTGGCGCATCTCACATGAGAAAAAAGCAACCGCCGAAAGCCGCCGCAGCAACGAACTATCCAAGTCTCCAACGCTGCTCGAGCCCGATCGAATCTCCTCTTCAACAAGAGTAGAACATATGCTCGATCAAACTACGTATCCACTGCATATAAAACTAGATGTCCGGCTTGGCACGGGACGAGCACCGAAAGACACCGATCGATCGAGCATTCGAGCGCATATATGGACGCGCTGTTCGAGCAGCTGTGCGCGCTCGCCGACATGGCCGTGGACGGAAGCCGCGGCTTCGACCCGGCGCGGCTCGACGGCGTCCTCGCGCTGTTCGGCGGCGAGGCGCGCGCGGCGCTGGCGGCGGCCGAGGAGGAGCACGAGGCGGCGGCTGGCGGCACCGAGGCGGCCGTGGAGGCCGCGCGGGGCCACCTCGACGACGTCATGGACGCCGCCGTCGGCAAGTACCGTGGGTCGTCCGGCGACGCCGACGCGCTGTCCGCGGCCACCGCCGCGATGGACGTGGCCTTCAAGGCGACCACGTCCAACACACGCCGCTCGTAGCCTCGTAGGTTGATGTATGGCGTATCTGTGGCTCTGTGCTATGTATGCAGCAAAATAAACCATTTGAGCAAACAATATACTTCGAATTATATACAGTACCAAGTAGATATGAATGAGCACAAAACAATATACTACCCCCTCAGTTTTAAAATACAAGTATTTATTGGATTTGAAAATTTGTCTCACTATATAAGCATTTCTGGAGCACACTAATTCCACACACGCAAATATATTAATTTTCAGCGTAAGATGCCTAGGAAGGAAATATAAGTAACTTTAAATTTCAAATTTTAGATTCCGTCTACCTTAGTTTTTGCTCAATGATATAGAAATGCTAATATTTCAGAACATGGACAGTAGACCAAATTATCGGTCCAACTTTTCTCGACAACGTAGTTAGTGACAATTATATACTATATCTGTCTCAGAATATAACAAATTAGCTTTTGTCCATATTTATAATATTAAATTGATTTAAATTCAAAACTAGATTGCTATATTATGAATGGTTGGTGAAAAAGACGAACCTTCTTTATATTTTGGGTGTGTTTAGTTCACGTTAAAATTGAAAGTTTGGTTAAAATTGGAATGATGTGATGGAAAAGTTTGAAGTTTATATGTGTAGGAAAGTTTTCATGTGATGGAAAAGTTGGAAGTTTGAAAAAAAAAGTTTGGAACTAAACACTGCCTATGAAAAGAGGAAAATAACAGACTTTCAACTTGCTAGCAGTAGACCAAACGAACAGATGGGCCATAAATAACAGAGAAGGCCCATCAGGTGAAGGCTGTCGACCTATCCAAGCCCATGGGCCTATCTATCCGGTGTCAAAAAAGTACGCGGCGCGATCCCGTCAAACTCAAACCAAAACCTCTCCACCGTGCAGTCGTCAGCCAGCGACCGAGCGACCACCCCCTCCCATAAAGAAGGAGCCCCTGGGCCCCACCTGTCATCCACCCTACGACCACGTGAAAGGGAGGGCCCAACCGTCTTCGGAGTACGTGTACCGTGACTACTCCCGCCCACTACCGCCACCCCGGTGGGCCCACCTCCCCCGCAATGGCCACCACGCGTCCACCCGCCTCCCACCCCGCCAAGTCGGTAACTGATCGCTAGCCCCACCGACACGTAGCCCCCCCAAGCGGGCTCCACCTGTCAGTCATGCGGGGCTCGGATCGCGACGCGGAAAAAGCTGCTACGACCACGCGGGGCCCCGTGACTGACACCGTGGGCCCCACGCGACAGTGGGTGACGGAGCGGGAGGAGGCGGGGTTCGCGTAGCCGTTTTCGCTGTGGAAAAGGCGCCTTTCACGAGGCCCAGCCCACTACACACACAAACGGGGCGCTTCGATTTTTTTTTCTTCTTCCATTTCCTTTTCTCTCGCCTTCTCTTTGCAGACGCATCTGTCTTTCTCTCTCCCCCTCACGCTCGCGGATCTGAACTCCCAAAAAAATCGCGACGGCCAGAGTGGAGAAACCCTAGCCCCTCCCCACAGCCCCCGGGAGGTTTTCCGACCCCGACCGCCGTGGCGCCGCGCCGGAGAGCACCGCCGCCGCCGCCGCCGCCGCCCGCGGACGCCGACGCCGCCTCCTCCTCGAGGGGCCCCGGCGACGATGAGGGGAGCGGCCGCGCCGGGGCCTCCCAGGAGGCGGGCGGCGGCGGATGCGGTGTCACCCCCTACGAGCAGGCCAGGAAGGCCCTGGCGCTGCGCTCGCCGTTCGACGGCGACGAGGCGGTCGGCCGGGACGCGCTGCTCCCCGCCCGGGTCGCCAGATGGGCCGCGGTGGGGGACGTCCGGAAGAAGCACAAGAAGGCTCAGCAGCCAGAAGCGGCGGCGGCTGCAGCAGCTGCTGCAGTAGAGCAGCAGCCGAAACCGAGTTCCGGGTCGAAGGAATTCTGGGACCTGATGGAGCCGTATTTCCGGGAGATTAACTGGGATGATTTCGAGGCGTTAATGCAGGCGCCATTGCTCGGGTTCAACGGACCGCTCGATCCGTGCTTTCTTGTACCTTTCGTCGGTAGTGGGAAGGAGTTTGGGGAGAATTATGATCCTTCTTGTGTGGTTGTGGAAGATGAAAGCTCGCATCTGAACTCAAATTTGGGCAAAGACAGCGATGAGTTGGAGAGTAGCATTGTCCGTAGCAAGCAAGATTCGCATGGGAGCTCAGATTTTGTTGGGGGTAATATGGATCCGGTCATCAACAATGGGGCTAATGATGAGCACGGGGAGCAGGATATGCAGGAGGTGGTTTTGCAGGAAGAGCAGCCGATGGAAATTGAACAAGATCATGGTAGGAGTGATGCCATTGCTTTGCCACCGGACACAGAGGAGTCAGATGTTTCATTGAACTGGCTCCTGGGTGCAAGAGACCGATTTGTGCTCACTTCAGAGCGCCCAAACAAGAAGAGGAAGTTGTTGGGTGCAGATGCTGGGCTAGAGCGGCTTGTGCAGCTGCCTCCCTTGGAAGGTGAGGCTGGTACAACCTGTGATGTATGTTGTTTGGGAGAGTGTGGTACGTCCTCCAATAGGATGCTACATTGCAGTAGCTGTAAGGTGTCAGTGCACCAGAAATGTTATGGCGTGCATGTTGTGCCAGATCAATCTTGGCTGTGTGCCTGGTGTAAGAGTATCAGATCGGCACGGAGGCAGACACGGAGTGATGCAGGAAGAACTGTCTTAATGCCTTGTGTTCTTTGTCCAAAGGAGAAAGGTGCTCTGAAGCCTGTAAAAAGGGATTCCGGTCAAATTGCAGATGGAGGCAACCTAAAATTTGTACACTTGTTTTGTAGTCTCTGGACACCAGAGGTTGTTGTAGAGGACTTGAATTCAATGGAACCAGTCACCAATGTAGGAGATATCCAAGAGAACCGGACAAAATTGGTGTGCAGTCTTTGCAAGGTTATGCATGGTGCATGCATTCGATGTAGCCATGGTATGTATTTTCATGACACAACTGTATTGTAATAGTTGGATACCTTAACAGCATAAATAATTAGAAAGACCACAAAACACTTAGGAAGAACGATGCATGGGTTACTACTATGATAAGAATCTTATGTATATGAACAACAAATTTGAGGGCATGCATAGTGTACCGATAGTTAAGTTCTCTATGATGTCATATGGTGGTTACTCCATTATTTAAGTTTGCATGTCAAATCAGTTGTAGCATTCTCCAGGTTGGTCTGATCAATAAACTTATTATGAGGCTTTGATCTTATGGTTATAGATTCCTGTCATTAGAAATCACCAATAAAATAGACCCTCTATCTATAGTGCTTCTTGAGGAAATTTTATGTATTCATGTAAAAAAGAGCAATATAAATTAATTAATTTTGTGGACATATACTTGATATTGCCTTGAGAAAATTGATCAGGTTGTTGCATCTATGCACTTGATGTGATGTTCCTATTTCTTCTAGGTGGTGGTTAAGGGAGCCATACCAATGAATGCACTGCACAAAGATACTTAATTTACTAGGTGGATTTTCAGTCTGTTTGTTAGCTGTGCTATGGAAGTTGTGAAATAGTAAATTAGTAACTGCACAAAGATACGTGTTGTTCTTGCTGGATATCATTATATCCAGATTTGCCTTTTATGCAAACTCACAAAGGTCTGATAACATTTCAACAAGTGAATATCCTTTTCTTAATTATTCAAATGATTTTTCGGATGAAATTCCCAGAATTGAGCAACAGGTGGGCCATATCCCAAATTATTACTCCTTTTGCTGGCAGATAATGGGAATTTGTTACATTAAGTTACTATTACTCTCTCTCCTCAATTTATTGTTTTGCTACTGATTGTTATTTCATAAACCAGGTGCAGGCAATACTATTTGTCGCTTTATAATATATGATTTTTTAGGATACTAACTTTATGTGTTATTCAGGAGCATGCCGAGCCTGCTTTCATCCTATATGTGCAAGAGAGTCAAAGCATCAGATGGAGATATGGGGCAAAACTGGGAACACCAATGTTAGACCATTTTCTTCTTGTAAATGCTGTTTACATTAGATAGTTTTTTTTTGGGTGTTAGTTTTCTTATTTATGACATGTAGGTTGAGATGAGGGCATTTTGCTTGAAGCATTCGACAGTCCAAGAAACTATCTCAATACAGAATGACAGAATATGTGCTGAAGAGGATACCTCACAAATCGAGCTTGATGATGCAAGCCTTGCCACTCAGAAGATTCAACAACTGAGATTGACACGCAATAACAAGGACAAATTTACCAGCAGCATGATTGCTAGCTCTTGTTCGTCTAGCCTCAAACAGACAACAGAATTAGCCACATCGCCATCTACTGCTAGGAGTGTGGAAAGTCAAGAAACCCAAATAACAGATATGGCTGTTGATCGACCTATAGGAGATAGGTGTCTTGTGAGCAACTCGGGTGATGTCTCTACAGCTCTTAGAAAGGTACCTGCTAATCTTACAAAGCCAAACTAGGATGCATATGCGTAGTACTTAAATGGTTTTATGTTTGTGTTAACTACGCAGCTAATTGACCAAGGAATGGTTAATGTTGGTGATATAGAATCAGAATTGGGTGTGTCTTCAGAATCTTTGGAAGCTGCTCTCGTGGTAATTGGAACACAAGCTTCAATTATTTCATAAAATGTTCTATCTATGTTGCATGTGGATGTGTACTAGGTGTTGCGGACTTGTGGTACATATCTACACTTGACTTGGCCTTAACACTTGCTAGCTAGATTCATTTTTTGTTTTGCATTAGCAATATTGAGCTTCCCTACATACATGGTTCTGTAAAAAAATGTTATATTATTCTTTGCACGGTTATATTTCCTTTTGTTTTTTACGTCTAACGCCAAGCATAGTCATTTAATATAAACGTAAGTGTAATGGTGGATAAAGTTGTATGTTATAAATTTGACTTAGGTGGAGTGTATTAACGAACTTCAGAATAGTCAGCAATTTTCTTTTGCACATGCAACTAGAGAAGATTCAGAAAGAACTAGTAAAAATATTTGTATCTTTGTAAATTACATACAGTGTGTTCAGAATGGCACAGTATTGTGCATTACATCATAGTTCTTTTTTTTCCTCTTAACAAAACTATCTTTTGGCAGCCTGAAACATCGACCTTCTCCCCTGGTCTGAAGTTGAAAATAATCAAGTTACTGCAAAACACCATTCGTGTACCTTCTGTTCAAGAGAAGTGTTCTAAAGAGGGTTCTTTGGCACTACAAGGTAACATATTAGATACATTTGTGTGTATAACTACTATCAGTGTGAAAAGTATGGTTACAGATGTTTGTTTGCTACTGGCCTACTTGTTAATTTAAAACCCAGCGGCTTTTCTCTGGTCCACTGTCAGAATGAAGGGATTATTCATGAGAATAGTATGATTGCTGTGGCAATTATGTGCTCTTTTTTTAATGTTTATTTGGGGAACATATTGTACGAAAGGTTTGGTAGTTGAAATGCATATCTCTTCAAGAAATTTCACCTGAATACAAGATTCTCCTGCCTCCACTCAGAACCACCGTGCGGTGGCCTTTTTCTTTTCCCCCAAAATACCAGAAACATTGACAAGGGATGAACGGAACATACACAAAATTTCCCCCGATCATCTGTTCTGCTTGACCTGAGCCTGAGAAGTCCAGTATCTGTCAAGCTCAAACTGGTGTAGGGTGACAAGGAAGTGGTCCAGCAGCATGGCCTTGGTGCAGTCGTGGTACTGATTAGGCGTGTGGCAGTGGCAGTGGGCATGGACGAGGGCAGTTTTTTTTTTCCAGAAAATAACATTGTCGGTACCACTACTTTTCGGATGATTGTTGCCTTGCTGTGGTACCAAGAAAATCTTGTGGTATTAGTACATGATACTGATAAAATTTTAATAGGAGAAAATTTTCTTGTTCCTCGTTCACCTTAGTTGATGCTAATTGCTAAGATGCAATTTTGTTTGCTTTTCTTTGATCTTTTCTATTCATGATTTGCAATCAGTATGGTGTGCCAACTATATACATCAGATGTGCTAACTAACATTAGACAAATTGTATGCATGGCATTCAGCTTGAGAGAAGAACATTTTGACATCTCAGCATAAAAAGTGGTGCTGTTATTTATTACTCCCTATGTCCCAAAATATAACAACTTTTAGCATTCAAAATTTGTCCCTAAATATAACTTCTCCACTTACATTCTCTTCTCAACCAATCACAACCTTTCACCATTCAAATTTCCCACCTACTTTCTCTTCAACCAATTACAACCTTGTCCCATTTAATTCCACCTACATTCTTAATACCCATGTCCAAGCCTAAAACTTTTTATATTTTGGGATGGAGGTAGTAGTAAATAATTTATCGTTTTTCTGTTATAACTTCATTTCTTGCTCTGGACTCTGATTCTTCCGGTATTACGGACAGGTACTGTGTTTACAGGTGAGAGTAAGAGCTTAACTGATACACAAATTTGCTCAGAACTGGAGGAAGGCATCTCTTCGTTTGATCATTGCTGTCCAGAGGGCGATAATACTAACAAAGACTGGGCTGATTCAGTAGAAAATGGTTTCCACAATTGTGGTGAAGATTGCATTTCTGGCAAATGCTTTCTCAAGTATGGTTCAAAATATTTTTTCTTTAGTCTCTCCCTCTCTGAACAACATAATTTGATCAGTCAAATCCCATGTTTGTCCTTGCAGCCAGGATGGTTCCCGATGTTATGTTCATCCATTCATAGAGAGAAAGTTGCGGATTTTGTGGGACCATATTTTTAAGCAAAACAAGCATCCAATACATTGTCATGGTATTCCTTTTAGCACCTCTGTCAATTATATTGTACCATTTATATTTGCACGTTGAAATTTACTCTTTCTTGCCCACTGGAGTAGAGCAATCAACCTGTGATCCACATGATCGAATTGCTGGTAGCTCGTCAACAAAACTTGAACAGCTAGCAGACATAGCTGTAGCAGATCAAGTTTCTAAAGCAAAATCATCAGGTATTCTGGAGCATTCACCCCATGATGAAATAGAAGGAGAACTACTTCATTTACAATCCAGGCTACTAGATGATGTTGGTGGTGCAAAGCAGAGATATGGTAAGGGTACATTCTTTCCATTTCGTTTTTACCAAATCTTTTCGATTGCTGTCTTATTTATTCCAATGGCCCTTCTGCTGCAAAATGAACTATCTAGTTGATTTTCTCTCGCTTCTGAATCAATGCTTTAGTCCTACTTATATTTTGCAGAAGATTTAGTACTGAAGATTGTCCAGTCTCTTTCTCATGACTTGGATTCTTTCAATAAGAGAAAATGGGACCATATCATTGCAAACCAGTTCCTCCGCGACTTAAGGGAAGCCAAGAAACGTGGGAACACTGAGAGGAGACACAAGGAAGCTCAGGCTATCATGGCTGCAGCTGCACGTTGTATTTTACCTACCTCACGAAATGCACCAGTTAGAAAAGTGGCAGAATGTGATGTACTATCTGCCAAACAAGAGGTTAACACTATGCCTGTGCTTGTTCAATTAATTGTGTGTTTATACTATTATGCATATTCATTTTTAGCTTTTTGTTTGTTTGCAGTCTGTTCCTGTTGCAGTGCCTGCCAAGCAAGAGGTTCATAGTCCCAAACAAGAGGTTTATACCGTGCTTGTGCTCCTTCAGTTGATTATGCATTATGTATACTCATTTTTGTCTTCTCTTTGTTGGCAGAGTATCCCAAAATTCAATACTGGATCTTCAAGAGTTAGCCAGTTGATTTCTGTGCAACAAGCAAATGATTCGTCACCAAACAGTAAAGTCTCTGCAGATGCTAATATTGGCAGTTTTGATCTGGCAAAGTTTTCCAAGAAAAATGCTCTTCCCTGTGATATCTGCATGCGATCTGAGACTGTACTGAACCGGATATTTGTCTGCTCCAGCTGCAAGGTGCTTTGTATTCCAGTTTCCCCCCGTTTCTGCACTTCAACAAATTGTTAACTCCCCCATGTTTATCAGGCTGCTGTGCATTTGGATTGCTACCGGAGTGTGACGAATCCCACAGGTCCCTGGAAGTGTGAACTTTGCCAAGAGATGCCATCAGATGTTGTCGCTGGCAGTCAATCAGATTGCGACGGTTCAAAACCATGCTTGTTGCAGTGCGATTTGTGCCATGGAACATCTGGTGCTTTTAGAAAAACAATAAAGGGGCGATGTATTCATGCCTTTTGTGCTGAGGTTACTTTAATTGGTATATTTGTTTTTATATTGCTGCTTTAGCTTATCTACATTCTTAAACGTCCACATTTCTGTAGTGGTTGTTGGAGAGCACGTTCACAAGGGGACAATATAATGCAGTAGATGGGATGGTACTAATCTCTTTCCAGTACCCTAAATGCATTTTCATTTCGGTGTTCTTTATAATTCTTTAACCGAAAGTTATCTTCAATATATGTTATTGTTAATCATCTTACTATAGTATTCTGACTATTCAATCCATTAAAGGAGAGCCTTCCCAAGGATAAGGATACATGCGCTATCTGCCACCGCAATGTTGGCTCATGCTTGAAGGTTTGAAGTTTGAACTTCTAAGTTACTCTTTTTACCTGTCAATGTATATTGAAAACAGAAATTAATCCAGTCTTGCTATTTTTCTCTTTCAACCATACAGTGCAGTACTGTGGACTGTCAAATTACTTTTCATCCTACGTGCGCTAGAGATGCTGGTTTTTACATGGATACAAAAACAATTGGTAGTACGTTGGAACATAAAGCATATTGTGGCAAGCATGGCATTGAGCAAAGAAAGGTAAGGAGCTAATGATTGTTTTAATTTTTTTAAGAGGGTATATGGTGTTTCTAGCTCCACGCAATACGTGGCAAACTGTATTTCTATTTGCTAATACAATGGGAAATAGACACTACTGTTGAATTTTCTATTGCTGTACATATTCTTAAGTTTGTACTCTCTTTCAAAACTTGAACAGGCTGACTTACTACAATTACATGGACCTGAGGAGGTCAAGAATATGAAACAGATGAGGGTAAGGATCGCACTTTGCAGTTAATGAAGTTCCTAGTTCATTTCTAGTTTTCTATACTGGTAGCATTCGTGCGAGATCCATGTTATAATGATGACAGATGCAAGTAATTGCATATATCACTTACATAAAATTGTGTGGTCAAACAGAAATCTTTCTACTTTCTGTGTCACAATTGATGAACCCCTTAGAGTGAAATCTGTGTTCTATTAACACAATATTTGCCTTTTTTTTTCAGGTTGACTTGGAAGTATTACGCCTTATTTGTGAGAGAGTTGTGAAAAGAGAAAAGTTGAAGGTACATTTAACTGTCAATTATGTTTATCCTTTATCCTCTCTGTTTCCCTGGAAACTGAACTTTGCCAAGCAATATTATCATCTTATCCAGAATTACTTTATTTTATCAGAATTACTTGTTTATTTTCTCAGAATTATTTTTTTAAACAAAAAATAATATTGCTAACCATGCTGCTGCCTAGATTTTTCTAGAGTAAACTTAGAGACATGCCATTACAAAGTAACCAATTCACGTTAATCACTTTTTACATTTGATCTTTTGTTTCTTGATACACCAGAAAGACTTGGTTGTATGTGGACATGATACACTTGCTGCAAGAAGGAATTCTATTGCCTATTCAACCCGGACTTCATATTGTGGATCTGGACCTGGAGCAAGTTCAGAATCTGCAACAACTTCTGTCAATAACTCATATAGTGGGTTAATGCAAAGAACAGATGATGTCGCGGTTGACAGTATTATTTCCAGGAAACCTACTGTTAGGTTTTCTCTCAATAACAGCGATGCTGATAGGAACACAGCTGACAGTTCAACATCGTCAATATCGTACAAGCAGAAGCTGGATGACCGGGAATCACTTGCTGATAAGAATCTTCCGAAGAAACCAGCTACTGCCATGCAGATATCAGAAGAGGGTGAGACAAAATCATCGGATAAAAAGGTTTGTATAATCTGAAGGTTTTACATTCTTTTATCCCTTTTGATTTGCCGATGTTCTGTATAAAGATGCATTTAGCAAGCAACTTGCTATGACATCTGACCAAGTTCAATTGCAGAACCAACGCCCTCCAAAGAGTATCGTCTATACTCGACGTAGCGCCTTGTCCAAAAAGAGGCAATTGAGTCAGAATGTAGAAGGACCTGGTGGATAGAAGCCAACCAAGGTGGCTCCTTCGTGGATAGCCAGAGTGTTTGAAGCATTCTCCATGTGGAAAGCACATGCAGCCAGCGGAGCTGGCCAGTGTAACCATGATATTGCCATAGGGGCACGGTCGGCCAAGGTTGTAAATTTACAAACGGCGCAGATGGGAGTTCTTCAAAGTGTGACTTGAGCTTCCGACCAGAATATTCGAGTATTTGACCCCTCAAGGCTCAAGCTCACATCACTCAGACGAGGGGTGACATGGCAGAATTCATCCACTGATTTAGCTACTAGATGCTAATCTGTGAGATATGCTTTGTACAATTGTTAGTTTAGTTCTGTAAAAGAAAACAAGCAATTGCCATTAGTGGATGATTAAAGAGAAGCGAGGAAAGTCTTGTTAGGCTGACATCTGTAGCTGACAGTTTCCCAGTAGCTAACCAGAACATGAGTGAATTAAGCACATGTAGGTTCAAATGTGCTATGACGATTACCTGTTGCGTTGATGTATGGCTACATTTGTTGTGACTTGTAATGAATCCATGCCAGAGTTTTTGAAAGAGCAACTTCTTGTTTATGCTGCTTCAGCTTTCTTCTACGATATAGGATGGTGGTATGCTCGAGAATAGCGCGGTTGATTAAAAGCGGAGGTTAAAATCGTGATCCTGAACTGAAATCGGATCTCTTAGGATCGCAATTTTATGGAATTATATACATAAAGATTGTAAAATCATGAGTACATTCTACCTAGTAGAATCTTCATTGAATCAGGCCCAATTAAGATCATAAAATCACAGAATTGAGAGTTCGATAACCTGATATTAAGTGATTATATGGGGCTTGTTTGGTTTGTTATTTTTCTCCTTACCAAAATTTTGGCAAAGGTAAGATTTGGTTATTGTCAAAATTTTGGCAAATATCAAGGATTTTGTTGTTTTGCTAATAAAGTTGTGAGCTCAATTCAACTAAAGCTAAATACCTTGGTAATATCGATTTTTTTACTACAAACCAAAAATGAATGACTATTGTTTTGGCATAATCAGTTTTTTCTTGGTTGAGTTGGACCATGAACCGAATTCCATTAGCCAGTGTTAGTTTTGCCAAAAATATCAGAATCCCCCATAAAACTGGTGATAATCAGCTGGTTATTGGTTTTTAATCAAGAAATATTCGAATAGTATAAAATTTTGATTTACGGAATAGATACCAACGATAAGTATCAAGACAGGAAAATTTTGGCAAGGTTAAAAGCACATTTTTTTCTAGACCCAAAATGCATAACGGAATAATACATCGATCAAAACAATCATAATGCAATCACTCACGGGTGCATACATCCCAAAATATATTACTAGAGAAAATTCCTTACATTCCTCTGAAAATTTCCACAATCCGTTCTATACCTCTAAATTTTACCCCATCTCGTACATGTCTTGAGTTTTCATGTTGATCTTCTCACTTTCTCAGCCCCCATTAAGTTAGTTGCCCGTTAGATTTTTTTAAAATGACTATAGTGTCTCTTTTCTATACTTATGTGCAAAGGGGCAATACAGTCAATTTGAAAAACATTTAGGTCAACTCATGGTCAATTAACGAAATGGGTATAGAGGAGATCAAAATAAATACTCGGGAGCATATAAGAGATGAGGCAAAATTCAAGTGCACATAAGGGATTGAGCGAACACGGAGCACATAGGGAATTTTTCTCATATTATAATGTCAAAATTCATTGTGAATGACCGCGAAGTGTGCCAACAGATAACCATACAACGCAATTTGGAAGAGAGGATGGAGCTAACGGAGTTTTAAGATTTAAATTATCCTGGTTAGTATTGCAGGGTACTGATGGGATCTTTGATCAGATTTCATATCGCAGGGTTGAAATTATGTCGATGTCTCAAACTCTGAAACAATCGCCTACTAAGTTTACCCCAAATGTCAAGCTTGTCACTTTCGATTTTTAATGGTGCTATCTCTAAGGGCCTGTTTGGGAAACAGGGACTTATTTTAAGTCCCTGTCACATCGGATGTTTATACACTAATTTAGAATATTAAACATACACTAATTATAAAACATATTCTATAACCTTGGACTAATTCGCAAGACGAATCTTTTGAGTTTAATTACACCATGATTTGACAATGTGATGCTACAGTAAACTTTTCATAATTATGGATTAATTAGGCTTAAAAAATTCGTCTCGCAGATTAGCTTTCATTTATGAAATTAGTTTTTTTATTAGTCTATGTTTAATACTCCAAATTAGCGTCAAACATTCGATGTGACACGGACTAAAAAGTTTTAGCCCCATCTAAAACACCCCCTAAGTTGTATGTGTTGATTCCATATGTCTTGTGAATGGTACTGTTGGTCTGTTATGACAGCTTGACACCTTCTCTTAACTACTTACAGATGTAGATTCCACGATTCATGGTTGCCTTGCCTTTTTTTTTCAAACATTACAAAGCCATGTCAACATCTCTGAACTTTGTAGATTATGATCCAAATGTCATAGAAGAGTGTGAACTCGCAATCATCATGTATATTCAAGCGAATCATGTCGGTGTACACGAGTTCGTTCACAAGTTTTTACTAGTGGCTTTTATGCATCATAGATATCACATTCACCTACCAACAAAGATAGTGAAATGAACAGCATATTCACCCACCAACCTCTGACACCTGAAAATGTCATGAGCCTTCAGAATTAATTACTTATGTGACAGTGCACCTTATGGACCTGAAAGAAGGCCATCACCGTTGAAAATCTTTACCTATGTGTTGTAACGGCAGATGAGTGTTAACTGGTGCACAATGGCATATCACACCAATATGAGAATACTAGAGAGGTTGCTTGGTTGGTACATCAATGTTGCTAGTATGGTTCAAGTTTGTTCCTAACTTACCTAAGGTTTAGTTGACCAAAAGAAGACTGCTAAAACTTTTAAGTTGATACTACTACTTGATAGCATGTAGGGTCAGATAAAATAGAGAATCTTTGCCTGAAGTGCAAGAGGTACGAGATGTGGTCAAACTAGGCAATGTTTTCTTCGGCAAAACAAGAATAAGCAGGAAGAATTGTTTATGTTTAAATTAAGAAGAAATGGGTCAATAAATCCCCAAATGAGAATCATGTCGAATTTTCGATTCAAACCCGGGTGGAAATAAACCACCTGAGCTACGCTTAGTTCTCCAGACAAGATGGCCCCTTTAGAGTAGTGGATTGGTATAGAATTTTTGGAGGACTCAACTTCCTAAGGATTTTTTTTCTATGGAACACTTTGGTTCAAAGGACAATACAGTTAAAAAATTCCATAAAATTGCATTCGTATGGTCCAATTTTATACCTCTTGAAAGATTTCCATTCCTTTTCTTTATGTCTTCCCATGGCCCAACGGGCTTTGTTTTTCTCCATGTGTTTTTCATTCCTACAATATTAGAAAAGGGGCCATCTAATTTTTCAGTCACCTGAAAATACCACAAATTTCAATCACCTAAAATACCGCAAATTTCAGTCAATGTTTATTACAGTGAAGATTGCATCGAGATTCGTGTACAAACAGTAACGCCTTCTCCCTCTGTTTCTTTTTCTCCCAACTAGGTGCTCGGGCAGATCTAGTTCGCTCACATTGCCTCTTCCCTAGCCCCGTGCTATCCCCTAGCTCACCAACACCCTGGCAAACCCCACCCGATCGACCTCCTTTCCTTCCCTCTATCCTCTTTCTCAAGCTGGGCGACAACGCTATTTTCAAATATACCATATTTTCCTTCTCTGGTGGTGAGCGTCGAGGGTGTTTCTGGTGACAACCACGTGGCCTCCTTTGTCCCAATCCACCATCAACCTCCATCACCATGGCTTTGGCGGTGTTCCATGTCACCGGCGCCCATTGCTGGCCTGACTGCCATCGACGGTCATCCCTCTAAACTCGAGAAACCCCCCTCCCTCCCCGAAACCCTAAACTCTAACATTTTTATTGTCCAACAGGCTACCGCGGGTCGTTGAGAGGTACGATCGAATGTGGGGTATTGATTGGTACTTCTAGGTACCATTCACTCCGTGAGGTGGTATCGGCCAAAGGCGAATGAGGTTGATGAGTAATATCGTATTTTCGCATTAGAAATCTCACTGAGTCGATCTAAGCCTCTTATATGTTGGGATGAGGCTTGTAAAGGAAAAAGCCTAGTTTTCTAATCTTGAATCCCCGAGGCCAGCGATGTAGGGAAATTCTATTGTTGGAGACGACAATGGTGGTGCGCTAGGAGTTGCTTGTAGCAGTGGCGACAGAGTTGGGCACATTAAGGGGGATGGTGTCGAACGTGGGGGTAAGATAGGCTGTTGCGGCGGCTAGGTGGCGATAAAGCCACGCTCGAACTGAGGAACAATGTCATGGCTAGGAGAGGGCAGAATGTAGTGGTGTCAACTTAGATACCCATGAGAAGAGAGGAGATTGCATGATCGAATGTACAAATTTTGTTTTGTACCAGTTGGTAAGATGATTATAGTGTCTAGGCTACCAACTGCTAGATCGGAACAAAGATCTAAACTCTAATCTCATTGGTGCCACCACACTTTTGCCGGAGGAGAGGACCTCACCGTTGCGGTGAGTTTCTCTCCTCCTCCCTTCCTAAATCCAGGGTGCTAGTTCGATGGAACCTAACACTATCCACTAGAAAAACATACTCCCACCGTTTTAAAATATTTGACACCGTTGACTTTTTAGTACGTGTTTGACCATTCGTCTTATTCAAAAAATTTAAGTAATTATTCATTCTTTTTATATCATTTGATTCATTGTTAAATAAACTTTCATGTACACATATAATTTTACATATTTCACAAATCTTTTTTGAATAAGACGAACGGTCAAACATGTGCTAAAAAGTTAATGGTGTCAAATATTTTGAAACGGAGGGAGTACTTTAATTTCTACGTTTTCCTTATCTAACATTCGAAAAGAGAACCTCAATACGGTGACACAAATTGCGACCAAAAGTGAGACCCTCTTGATTCAACTCTCCCTCCGATCCTTTTACAGTGGGCAGGTTTCACTTTCACCTGATTAGTAATTACTACTACTAAACACCCTACTTGCTTTCTTACAAAGTTATTAGTAGTAATTAACTACACAGTACACACTAACTACTACAGCCTACAGTGAGGCCGCGAGCTTGTCGCAGCGAGCCGGCGCGAAGGAGAGCACGTCGTTCTCGAGGTCGTACACGACGTGCGTGTTCTGCTGCTGGTAGTTGCCGATGACCACCTGCTCGCCGGCCGCCGCGTCGAGCACGACGCACAGCACGCGCGCCGCGTAGTCCTCGAACACGTAGTTGCCCCGCGGGAGCTCCCAGTCGGCGCCGCCGTCGAGGTGCAGCGTCAGCGCCGGCACGGCGGGGCGCCGCCAGAGCGCCGCCACGGGCAGAGCGAAGCACAGGTCGAGCGCCGCCGATCCCGCGGCGGCGGCGGGGAGCCCGACCTGCGACACGAACTCCGCCTTCACCGCCTCGTACACGTCCTCCGGCAGCGTCGTGATCGACGCGCCGGAGTCGATGATCGTCGACGACCGGAGCCGCGACTCCGGCACGGCGACCCGCGCGCCGCCCACCGAGATGCCGCGCAGCGGGACGAAGTAGAGGGATGGCTGCGACGGGTTCTTGATGAGGCGGGTGGTCCTGACGTCGCCGGTGTGCGCCGCGTGGTGGGTGTGGAGGAGCTCGGCCGCCGCCGCGCCGAGCGTGACGACGCTGCTGCTCTTGGTGTCGAACATGGAGGTGAAGCAGTAGGAGAAGCTGGTGACGTTGAGCTGCGACGGCAGCGACCACCGTCCCCGGCCGAACCCGGCGATGCCCGTCTCGTTCGCCTGGAAGATGCCTTTGTTGATGTGGCCGCAGCCGAACGTGACGCGCCTCGCGGCGAGGCCACCTGCATTGTCGTCGCCGCCGAAGGTGAAGCTGTCGGTGGCGAGCTGGCCGACGGTGAGCGACCTGTCGCCGTAGTGGTAGACGTAGACGCAGCTCCGGTCGCCCCAGCTCCGCCCGCCGCACGACGTGAACGGGAGCGCGCGGCACAGCGGCGCGTCGCAGGGGAGCGCGGCGTGGGTGGACGACGCGGCCGGGTCCAGCACCGGGGCGGCGCCCTGCTCGAAGCAGTCCAGGCACGGCGCGCACTGCGTCCACACGAGATCGCTCCCCGTGTCGAGCGTCAGCGCCACGGGCCGCGGCGGCGTGCCCACGGACACGTGCATCAGGTACTCGTTCGTCACGATCCCGCCGCCGGCGCCGAGCCCGGCGCGCACCCGCGCGCGCACCGGCGCCGCCTCCGCCGCCGACAGCAGCCTCCGCCTCGCCCTGGCGCGGTGCGCCATGCGCCGCACGATCTCCGGCATGGCGAGGCCGCGGCCGGCGTCGGCGTGCGTGACCCGCGCCACGACGACGCCGCCGGCGCCGGCGCCCGGCGCGGACGCGGCGCGCGCGGGCAGCGCGATCAAGACGAGCAGCGTCACCAGCTGCTGCCTCATAGTGGATAATTCAGTCTAAGTGTCCAACGAAACACTCTGCTGATTACAAAGCTAAACCTGATTGGATTTTGGGTATTAAGCAGTGGAGACAACTCACAGTATATTGGTTGGTTAGGTGATGTGCCACTCATGCCTACTTCTTGGCAAAAGTCAGTAACAACATTCTTAAAGAGAACAGGAGAGTCACCATATTATACACTGCTTTTACACACATTTTTCCTCCATATTTTGCCCAAAAGTCTTTAAAAAAACGTAGCATAGAGTCAGCTTAGGACGGCAACAGCGTGTTGTTTGACTCGTAACTTCAATTCCGACACCGTCTTGTGCAAAACAGATGGATGAACATGAGACACACACAAGCTCTGTTTAGAGAGGTTGATTGCAGATGGTTAGTAGTCAGTTTTTAATAATTTGAAATAAGGGTGTTTTTCATCTTCTAACTTCAAGTTCATATTCTAAATTCTGTAGCTACCTATTTGCAATATCTGAGTGAAAATCTGTATTGTTTAGGCAGCCGAAAATTTTAGAAAAAACTACAACTGTTGAAAGCTCCACCAAACTAGGTAAAGAAATTCACAACTGTATCTGACTATAAGTGAGAACATATGACTTCAATATTGATAGCTTTTTGTTTGGCATTGACTTGTGAGCTGTGACCATACAAGATGTACATACTCCTATTATCATGTAAAGTTCTTACTACCACTTGATTCTTTTTATACATTTTAATTGTGCTCGTGTTAACCTTCAGATGACAGCTACAACATTGAATGCAATTTCATCTCAAGAATTGAATAATTGACCCTCCTAGTCGAATGGTCTACATGAATGATTACACACATATATGTACACCAAATGTTGCTTAGTGAGAGGTGAATATCATCATAATCCAGAAAAGCAGTGTCCTTAAGCTGTAACCATCTTGGGACATGACCACTACTTTTCTTTTAATAAGATGTCCAGTAAAATGTAGTTTTCATCATCAACTACCTGGAGGTGGAAGCGTCTCTGTCTGAAACCGGAAGTTGCAGCATGGATGGAGGCAGGCAGACAGAGTCAACAAGAGTTGTTAATCTCTCGTACGATCGAGCCCCCCTTTGTGCAAAAAGCAAAAGCGTTCGTGTACTAACCAAGTAACCATTCTTAAATGAAAACAGATTATGGCTAATGATAAGAGCTCCAAGTAGATTGCAGATTATGGTGGTGTTGGATGAGATGTGATGCAAATCGCCCTATAGGTTTTACAATTTGTAGCCGATAGAAGGCTTATTTCACCATCAGAGAAACATTACTTTTTTTTTGGACAATTTTTTTAATTTGTTTGTTAATTCTGATGTGTTTTAGTTTCCATCTCTCAATTCTAATACCAAGTATTTTTTTTCGGAACCGTTAAAACCATCTAAATGATTATGTCCCCGACCGATAGCATCATAATATACAGTTGCATGGTACGCGAGTCAGCTAAAAGAAGGTAAATGGACCTATACATTATCCACTATCACCTTGGTTTCATTTCACTTGTTTCTATTGATAAAGTACAAGAGAAAGGTCTAACGTAGCGAGTTTAGATGATGTGTTAGACATCATAATAAAATAGGACGATGCTATAGTCACCTTACTTCAAATAGACATAAATTCGCTATAGTTACTATTGTGTAGTTACCGTCACCGATACGATATGTGATGTGAGTCTACACTCCTATTAACCTATTTGTCAATGGCCGCAACGGATCTTCACTATCCTTCAAAGTGCTTGTAAGTCATGACCGTCCATTTCAATAACCGAGGGATGCCCGATAGTAGAAAATGACTCCAAAAATTACGGCATGCTCTGCTATCTTATAACCTACATAAGATTAAAAAAAAGAAATTTAGGACTGAAATGAGAAAAAAGAACCAAACACATCCTTTTCCCACTTTTTTCCGGTCATCATCATCAGATGGCAGCTATCCTATTAGTGTTGCTTCATTTGCACTCACCTAGACAGTTAGCCCCAGTTGGTAATGAGCACTCTGATCCTCCATTACCATGTGAAAGCGTTGTTAATTAACTCACCCACTGAACTAGGAGGTGATCATGAAATATTTGGTCCATCAGCCGAAACACGTACCGAATTCGTCCCAATCATCGTCAGTTCACTCGGCGACACCGACAGCAACCGGACCAACCAAACCACCGTATTTTACTACCCCAAGGTCGCCGAATAATCAGTCACCGGCAAGCAGGACAAAATGGCACCGGCTGCACTGCATGCCTGTCCGGTATGGCCATTGGCCAAATCCTGCCACAGCTAGCTAACAGTGCTCACTCGCTCTCTCGCTGACGTGGTGCTGGATAAGCTAACTAATGAAGGGTTTCAGATAATGACAGTGAAACGTTATGCAAATTTTTTTTGAGGATTTGAGTTTGGTTCGATGAGATGCTACCATGCCAACAAACGTTTGTATAGGGTTCATGGATTTTTAGAGTAAGGTTAGTGAACTGTAAATTAAAAGGTCGCCGTAACCATTTGATAAGTTGTTTTGAGTTCCTATATATATATATATATATAGAGGGCATGTAGCCTAGTGGTTATAGTGACCTGAGTGTACCCTAAGGTCCCGATTTCAAATATATATATATATATATAATTATTATATTTAACTATCATACAAGCATGCTATATTGTCTATAATTTTATAATTTATTAAATTTTAGAGATTTAAAATGCAAGCTTGTTAAATCATCCCACATAATTCATATAATATGTTAATATATATCTCCATTATTTTTTATAATATTCTATATACCTATATAGTTCATCCTCACTTTATTAATATTATCTCTCTTTTATCTCATTAGGCTAGATCGCATCAGTTGCTTTCAAATTATTTCTCATTTTCTTCTCTTATCAAGCCTATCATCTCAATTATTTTTAACCCTAAGATGTATGGTCTAAATTATCTTTCTTCTTTTGTTCTCTAATAAAGCTACATCATCTTACTTTTACATTTCAATCATCATTCTATATACTACTTAAATTTAAATCACATGAACTTATATAAGCTTATGTTGTTTAAGCTATCTTATACATTATTTTAACTTATTATTATTATAGTAAAACTCCCGCAGTAACGCGCGAGGTTTCACCTAGTAAATATTAAAATCATGTGGTGTTGGAGGCGTTAGTATATTTTCAATAGAAATTTTAGTGGAATAAACAATTTACCATCGTTAGTTTCAAATGATATAACCAATGCTATATTATGTGCTAATATTTTTTCTCGTTTTGTATGCAACTTCTTTTTGAAACAACCCACACAAGATAGTGCAACGTTTCTATCGATATAGTAGGAAAAAAACAAGTCTGTAATTCTGGGAGAATATGGTAAGAATATGGTAAGGAAAAGAAAAATACAACCACACCACGCATCACAAACAAGCACACAACACCTCTAAGGAAGGAAACTTCTAAACGCGTGCCGCCATCACCCATCCTAGAGAATCAAGATGTGGTTTTCACCTAAAGAAACCTTTGGAAGAGGAGGAAAACTCAACAAAGCTCCTAGGAGAAAGCAGCACCCGTAGACCTTGCCAATGCCGGCCCGAAGGCTAGGCTTTCACCCAAAGTTTTCCTACTCTCCCGCGTCATTAAGTGCCTGAAAACTTCAGCAGTCATCACCAGCTAAACCCCTTCAACGCGCAACCACCGTGCCGACGCCTCGTTGCCGGTTGGCCAACAGAGTAGGGCCTCAAACTCCGGTGCACTCCAGATCCATCCACGTGGGTGGGTTGGAGAGGGAAACAGTGAGAGAGAAGAATGGATCCCCTCTCCCGCACTGGCTCTTCTACCATGGCCATCTTGTGGCGGCAAGCCACCGTCGCAAGAGTACTGACGCCTGGAAAGAGATCGCCGCAGCCTTCGATACCCACCTCATGGCACTACCATCGTCGCCGCCTTGACCAGGCTGCCCGCCTACAATGGGTTGCTTGGTCGCATTGCCGTCGCCTCCGTCCTCCTCCTGGGGTAGCCTCGCCACCGTACCGACCCAGCCTAGCCGTGCTCCCACCATGTCAGGCTTGCTGCGACACCACTTCAGCTTCCGTGCCGCGCACCTCGCCGGCCTACCTTTCCCAGCTAGTCTACGCCACTGCCGGATTCGCCGCAGCTGCCTCCCTAACATCGCTCATGCCAACCTCCCGACGATGCCTCCCTGTCGATGCCCACGCCAGCGCCAGCCTCACGGCGACCTTCCTGCCTCCGCCACTACCAGGTGCGCTGGCCTCGCTGCCGGTCGCGTCCAGCCTTCACGGTGACGACCTTCCTCCTCCACCCCAGCCATGGCTGTTAGAGTATATGGTAGTTAGAGTCATATTAGGATAGGATTGGTTTGTTTGGATTCCTTCCATATCTGTAATCCTTCCTTATCTCCTCCCCATGTACTCCTATATATATCGGCCTCCCGAGGCTCAATACAATGTGTCTCACGTTACATAGTATATATCTTCTATACTATTTAACATGGTATCAGAGCGGCCTCTCTCTCACGCTTCCGCTCGTCGCCCCCGGGAGGGTTTCAATCTCCCGGGGGCAGCCACCGTTTTTTTCGTCATTTTGCTTCGCCGTTGAGGGATCGATCTCGATCTACTCATGCGGCCGTTCTTCGTCGAGTCCAGTCTCCGTCAAGCAGCAGCAACGTCTTCGGTTGTCTTTGCTGACGGCAAACTCCGACTCCACGACTGGCGCCGCTGGGCCGCCTCCTCTGAACCACGGCCGTCGACCGGGGGACGAGCTCCACGTGGCTGCGCCCACCGCCGCCGGCCTCGACAGGTCGCCGGTTCACCGTCAACACCGCCTCCGCCGGCCCTGCCACGGCTGCGCGTCGTCTGCACGCCGCCGCCACCGAGGGGATGGGCCTCTCCACCGGTCGACCTCGTCGCTGACCCACGGACGGCGTCGACGCGCCAGGGGCCTCCGTCGATCTACACTTCGCTCTTCTTCGACAACCGCGTGCTGCTCCAGCAATTCTCCCTCTATGCCGTTCTCGCGCCGCGACCGTCTCGAATTGGCGTATGATTCATGGTGGTCCCCTGTCTCGCCCGCGCGGTATTGGCAACACCGGGGCGCGCGTTTGTCCCGAGTTGTCCCGGGGTCTGGCAAACCCTGTGTGATATCTCGTCCTTCACGGTTCGACTACATCGGCTCTTCGGTGTCATCTTCCTCAACGACCGCCGCCGGTTGTGTCACTGTCTTCGTCTCTAGCATGTCTTCACGCACCATTGGTCCACGACGCCCTCCTGTCCGTCCACGACCAC